AGGAAAGCCCGAAGTGATGCAGGTCTCAGACGTTTAACACTCCGGTGAAACCCACGAGCAGGGGTATGGTGCTGACAAACCTAGACACATAATCGGGATTCGAACCCACAATCATAGGTTTCTGGCGTGTCCAAGGGACGCAACTCTGCACAGCGAATCGCGGCACCTTAGACGACTGGGCCACCCGTGCCCCCTGTGCTGTGGTGAGTTGCCCAAACCACAAGGCGCCAATACTGTCACAGAAGCCCGATTGTTATTATGTGTCTATGTACAGCTTCTGTGCGTAGGTATTGCCGACTCAGAGTGAACATAGGTTTGCGGTTGCTCAGGAAGAAAGAAGTTAAATCATGGCTTCAAGACATCACTAAACTCCATTGCAAATGTCAGAACGCCAACATCCGGACAACAAAATACGTCGACATGTCACGTTAACGTAGCGAAGACCGAAACACGTCAGCCCTTCAAGTGGGCACTCTCACACACACACACACATGCTTCCCTGGTCGCAGGAACACTCCAGTTGTAAACTAGACTAGTGTAAGCCTGACGGAAGAAACACTCAGGGACGGCATGGCACGCAGACGTACGTGCGTGTACACCAAAAGATAGAACAGAAACATGAGTATGCGTACAGTTGCTGATAGAATTACGCCAGTCGGTACGTAACGTACGTACGTTCGTGTACATCTAATGACAGAAATACAGCAAATGGTAAGTGGGGAGGTCCATTTCGTCGTTAAACTCAGATAGAAACTGACTTTCGTGTTTCTCTCTGTGACGTGTGTTGTTGCCCGAATGCTTTACCTGTGCGACAACTTCTGATTTTACCTTTACAGTTACTTATTAAAAATACATATTAAACCTTAATAACGCCACATTATTTCGCATATGTACGATATTTATCACAATACATAAGAATTTATGAGGAGCATATACCAATCTCATTAAAATCGGACCTCAGTTCTCGTGCCGCGACACAAAGTTCTGAGGACATCCCATCCCGACCAAAGAAACGACTAACAAGAAGTGGCCATTAGCCAATCAGAAATCAACAATCTCGAGTTTTACGGCACTAGTTTCAAACTGGCGACTTCCATTCCAGACTGCGCTTTGAAAAAATATTTTGACAAAGTTGTCGGTCCAAATTTGAAAACTGTACAAAAGAAAATTCTGGAAATGTCTAATAGATGGCCAAGGTGTCAGTGTTTCCCACGGGCTATGGGAAGTTTCTCCCGTATCAAATGTTTATCCAGTTAAAGTTGGAGATGTACGATGATTTTGATGGAATCGGTCGTCCAGCCCGTAACTGTGGTTCGGAATACTCGGTGTTAACCTTTTCGAGGTTGCATGATTTGAAAACACATTCCCACGACGCCCTGATTGGTCAGATGAAACATAGTTCCGGCGTGACCTGTAATGGGATGTCCTCAGATCTTTGTTTAGCAATAGCGAGGACTAAGATCTGATTTTACTAAGACTGAGCATGCACGGGTATATAACAAAGCAGGATAGTCTAAACCAGCAGGTCTCCATATATCAACTATATCCCATTAAGAGGCTTTTGTTCAGCCCTGCAGCAGTGATAGGTGGAGCATATATATACATTGCAGATGCAGGAAGCTTAATGTCTAAAGCAGTGTAGACATTGTTACTTGGAACCTGAAATTATGAGTGTTCGTGTTGTGTTGATTAGGAGTGCTGTCAGCTCTGGATATAAAGAAGTCGACGGAACGGGTGAGGTCTGTTCATGTTCTGCCAACGTAACCTATTCCCAATAACCTACCCTTTGTGATAACAGTAAGAAGAATTAAAGGGGGATATCTGTTCTGTCAAAATGACTTACTCAATTACCAATATTACATCAAGTAATAATAAATTAAAGGGGGGTCTCAGTTCTGCTAAAGGTATCTGTTCCCAATATCTTTAATACTCACTGTAATAGTAACACGATTTAAAGGGGTTTCTGTTTTGCCAAACTTACCCACCAAAATAACTTTTATTACCCCTGTAATGATAAGAATTAAAAGGGGTCTCCTTTCTGCTAAAACTATCTATTCCCTATGCCTTTGATACTCACCGCAATACTAATAAGATTTAAAGGGGATCTCTGCCAAAATTACTTATTCCCAATAGTCTTTACTACTCCTTTAACAATAAGAACTAAAGTGAGTTTATGCTTCACTATCTAATATCTTGGTTCTTATTATTAATAACACGTTCTCTATGTGTATATGGATAATTATTAACTGCAAATTTGAGTTGGCAGATGAACGGATGGGTTTGAAATAGTTTAGTTTTCATGAAACTTTCTTTGAGTGCCAAATGGTCCAAGCGTAGCTTCTCTTTACATTTTCTATTGCCGACCGTTATATCCAGAGTTGACTTTTAATGAAATCTTGTTAACTCGAAGTCGTTTATCTTCGTATATACAGTATATGATTAATCGGTAGTTCGAGACAAACTAAGTGCATATGCCCGACCAAAAGGATTCTGCCGGGACTATAATGCCATATCGCCTTAATCAATATATCGATCTCACTGACTTCGAGTTAACACGTTTTCATTGTATGTGATTTCTAAATACAGTGCTGACCTGGATGTAGTCCAAACCTTCAGGCTCTCACATCAACCGTACCATTACATTGCCACCAACACCAATAGGAGCCTGGAGATTTGTACTACAACACCATCATGCATGGTTACACGGTACGTGAACTGGGACCGGTACTGCAGCGTGCCCGGCCACGTGGTGGCACCGCTCGGGGACGGATAGCAGGGGAGGCGTGAGGGGGGACATATCTCACCATAGGATAGGGCGGGGTTAGGAGGCGAATTATTACTAAAAGGCCATATGTTCCCGCTACATCATGGCGGTTTATTACAGTCTCGCCAGCCAGTGACTACAAGCATGAACAACATTCAACCATCGGGGTATGATGACACCCAATCAGTCAAGTCAGGGCTTAACCCGTGAAGATCCGGGTTAGAATTAGTCTTCAGGAACCCATGCTTGCCTAAGAAGTGACTATGCTTGTCGTAAGAGGAGACTAACGGGATAGGGTGGTCAGGCCCTCGACTTGGTTGATGCATGTCATCGTATCCCAATTGCGTGGATCGATGTTCATGATGTCAATCACTGGATTGTCGATTATTCACAGACAGTGGTCATACAGCTGGAAATTGCTGAGTGGGGCATTAAACAGCAAACTAACAAATAAACAAATCAGGGTTTGACCACCTGATTATTTAAAGGGTACACTGGGACGTATTCTGACCCTGAATCTCCCCAGAGATATATATTTAGAACAAGGATTTGACAAACATCCCCCTGGCAACGTCCCCGAGCGGATGTAGCATAGCAACAGTGGTGCAAGGCAACATTGGGAGGAATGTAATTAAAATATTCTTACCACACGAGAAGGAAACAGAAACACAATCATTAGGAAAACATGTTTAAATGTAAACAATACCAATATGAATACGTATCGTTAAAATATAAAATACAAATATAAATCATGTATTAGGTTCATACCAAAGCAGCTGTATATTTACTTACGTGAATAAATCACTGAAATAATTTAACCAGCATTCGCTTATATTTAATTCAACGTTTCTCATGCATAAGCATATATGAACATATAATTCATCTTCATTAGGATACATCAATCTGTCAGCAATGTAAAATATATGAACATGAAAGACAATCACACATGCTAATGATGTATATAATTAAATATTATACATTAACTGACTAGAAAAAATTACATTCACGAGTATAATAGAGCCATTTAAACCATATTCATACATAACACAATATCTACTGGAAAATTGGCGTAAATTCTCTTTTAATGTAATTGAAAGGGGCCCTGACAAGCCTAAGTTAAAAGTACTCTCTATATAACGAAGTTTAGGATATCACCGTTCTTATCCAAATTAAGGAGAATCGCTATATATTGAATTAAAAAGTGCTGTCCGATACAGCCACAAAATCAAGGTCAAATTAAGAAGACGACACAGTGATAATCCATGCACGTGCATCACCCATTGATTTTGCAAAGCAATACAATTTCGTATTTAAAAAATCAAACAAAAAGTTGATACCAATTACTTTTTTGTTCTTTGACAATTAAGTAGGAAATCAAAGAAGGCATTTTCGATAAAATAGATGGTTATTATTTCTTTTGAAAATTAAAAGTTTCATTTCTTTTCTCGACCGTTATTAATATACAACCGTCTCATCAATATCATATTTATTTCTTCTTCCAGTTTTATGAAATTTCAATTAAAAGGAAGACAGGGCGAGGATGCGAGTGGTATGAAGATCATGTAATAGGTGGAAGTCTTTGAAAGGCATTTAGAAGTGATACACATACGGAAGAAAATTCATGGATGTCAACTTCTTTATTATGAGGAGCACAACGTTAAGGAGTATATGCTTACTCCTTCATCGGGTGAATGAATGCTAAGAGGCAGAGAGCATATATTTGTACAGTGATAATTTCGTCCTGGCTTCCAGTTGTCCATAACTATCAGCGCCAATTATATGTTGGCTTCCCTTGTTAAGTTTCCACCTTTTGTTATCTTATTACCGTTGTTGTTCTTACATGTACATATATATGCTCTCTGCTTCAGAACATTAATTCACCCGATGAAGGAGTAACCATATACTCCATAACGTTGTGCTCCTCATAATAAAGACGTTGACATCCATAAATTCTCTTCCTTATGTAAAAAATTGAAGGTAAATTCATTTTTCATTTTCAGAAATCTTTATATCAGAATTCATGTCGTTCACGCGAATAAATATACAGACAGTTCTTCATGTTACCCTGCAACGCGGTATCCGGTAAGACAAATATCACACCTAATAGTTTTAAGACAATAATACTAACGAATTATGTTTAGCTGATCGTCACGTACACCACGTATTGACGTGACGTGAATATAAAGAAAAAACGCAGTTAAGCCTAAAGGACTTCAAATGACTCATGAAAGCTCACCACATCTCCAAGTCGAAGGTAGAAGTCGGTTGTTGTCTGCCCACAGGTGACGTCGAGCGGCGTTACCGTCAACGTCGTGTTAATGTTTTCAACGTTCTCCGACGAGGCAAAACATGCCAAGTCTTGACCCGTGCTTGACACACAGTTACGGTATGGAACTACAGAATTGGTACATATTATCACAGAGAAAAACACAACACAATACACAATCCACTTGATGGAGAAGGCCGTCTCCCTCTTCCCCCTGTCGATGTAACGGTGATCAGACATGTAGCCTTGCGGGGATGCTGCCATTTTGATAAGTTGCTGTCCGTTTCCGAGTGAAACTTAAACGATAATCCACAAAGAACATCCAGCTGAACACAAGTCACATAGTTTGAAACTACATCTTTCTGGGGCTACTTCGAAGATCGTGAATTCACTCACATTGACGCCTCAACACATGTTGCACACGTCGATATTGACTGCTGGTCGCTGATTGGCTGAACTCATGTTGAATAGCATGGTGGAGGTTGGGAGAATTTGAGCCTGCCGTTGATACACGTGGTTCGTAAAGGCAGGTGGTTGAACTACAAATGGCTGTCGATATTTATTTTGAATTCTGTCACGCACAACATATTTAATTTTACACGCATTGACTCAGTTTCCAATATATGTGAGGGACAGGTTTAAAACGTCATGGGTGCCACCGGTGGGGCAGGATACGCTCACCTTTTCGCGATCACCCGGTATCATTACTATTTTATAGTGATTCATAAACACATGCTTATGATATAGTCGGAATCGTACAATCGACTCTGCTTTATTCAGAAATTTCTATTGAATATGGAAAGGGTTTTGTCGTTTTATTTATATTAAACTTTCCCTTTATGTCGAGCAATATTCCAGCAGCGCCAGCCTTTGGTGTCCACGTTTCACAGCGTTTGAAGTACAGTTCAGCATGCTGTGTCTCCCAAAATTTCAAAGAGCGCCATGATACAACCCTTAATGTAAATATTACTCTAAATGTAAAAGATTTTACATTAAGGGTTACGTGTTAACTCTTGTTACAACCCTTAATGTAAAAATGACTCTTAATGTAAAAATATTTTACATTAAGGGTTGCGGGTTCATCCTTGTTACAACTCTTAATGTAAACATTTTTACATAAAGGGTTGAAGTGATAGATAATATTTTTTTACATTAAGGGTTATCACTATGAAATAATACTTATCGAACTTTCTTGAAACTTCGTAGATTTAACTGATCGTTACTTTGTCTAGATGTGCAAATGACTAATCATTTTTAGATTCTCTCTATACAACGACCGGCCACCTGGTTGTTATATTCAGGCTTCATAAAAGGATTTATGACCCCTAACCCTTTAACCGATTTTTATCAAACTTACTGTTTTACACAGGTTATTTTTCGATACTCTGCAAGGTAACCTCGTTACTATCCTATACCGTAACGACGGAAAGGAGGACTCAGCCCAAGCAGATCAGACCAAGTTGTTGGGTTGTTAGAATGGTCCATTTACAGAGTTTTAGCAGAGACCATATCGGTATATGGTCTCTGGTTTTAGTCATAAAAAATTGGACATTTTGTTGCAGTATTACGGATATGACAGTTAAGCATACACCAGAATCAAATGTTATTACAAACGAAAGGAATTCCAATGCAATGATGTTTGGTTAAAAAAAAAGATTTCTCAAGTACCGTGCCGAGTCAAATATAGCCACTTAAAGTTTATATTTTTCGGATATGAAGTCTATACCTTTTCTATAGCAGTTTAGCATATCCTGAAGTAAGACCATTGTTGATTGAAAACAGCGAAAAAGAACATTAGGCATACGGCCTGTAGAGTATTTCATGTCAGTTAGGAACCGACCATTCGATCTTCTGTGGGAACTGACATAAGCTCACCACGGAACTTCGTACCAGGTGAGCTGTAAATGCTATCTTTCGACATATTTTAGGTATAAATCGTATTGTGAATAGATTTCGCATGACGGATGACGCACGCCGTACAAAGACGGATGGCAATACGTCACATAAGCCTTTCGGACATCTTACAATACGACAATGCCACAAATGGCCCAAATGTCGCGTTGTCGCATTGTCGCCATGTCGCGCTTTGGCTAATTTTGACACTTTTTGCTTGTTTTCGCAAGGGCGACAATGCGACAACGCTTCAATGTCCCTTGCAGTATTCCACATACAACCGCAACATATTACAACATGTTTGGGGGTAAACAAGATTATAAAGATTATATATTATTATAAAGAGACAAGAGACAATAATTGACACATTTCAAAACAGGGAGCGACTGAGTAGAACATCTGCCAGACTCATCTTGCCTAGAAACATAATCAATCAGCTGGCCTTGACGACATCTATGGAAGCCATTGTACAAACATGGTTTGAGTGCTAAAATGGGAAAAATGTTACAATCCTTGTACAGTAATGTAAAGGCTTGTGTTCGTTCAAACAACAGAGTGCAGAGTTGCGTCCCTTGGTCACGCCAGAAACCTATGATTGTAGGTTCGAATCCCGGTTCGCCCCGATGATGTTTCTAGGTTTATCAGCACCATACCCGTACTCGTGGGTTTCACCGAAGTGGTAAACGTCTGAGGCCTGCATCACTTCCGGCTTTCCTCCCACATTAAGGTGACTCGCCGTGATATAAATGGAATACTGTTAAAAATGGCGTTAAACCCAACTCACGCACTCACTAAATGCCCAATAAATGTTCAGTCACCGATTTGATAGTCAGTTCCAAATCTCCCTTTCACAAAATGTATGTTCAGAATTGAACACATTTCCAAAAGAGTTTTTCCAAAGTAATTTATCACAAGAATATCTTTCCATCTCAAATTGTGCAAAAACATCTACTAAGTAATTATTACTTTCAACATGGTGAATAACATCGTTCTCAACATAGTCCCGCGTCACACCAGTTCTGCTGTTCATGTACAATGGACCTGTAAGGATCCGGGGTAGAATAGGTCTTCAGCAAACCATTCTTGCCGCAAAAGGCGACAATGCTTGTCGTAAGAGGCGACTAACGGGATCGGGTGGTCAGACTCGCTGACTTGGTTGATTCATGTCATCATATCCCAAATGCATGGATCGATGGTCATGATGTCGACTACTGGATTGTCTACATTTACAGACCACCGTCATGTAATAGAATATAGCTGAGTGCGGCGTTAAACAACAGGCAAACAAACAAACAAACAAATCCAAGTACAATGATAGAAACAGCTGGGGACTCTTCCAGTGTACTCAATAAAAAATACAACAAAATCTCTACCCCATTTTGTCTATCTTTGTTATTATTACCAGGTCGATCTCTCCGACTGGATATATGTAAACACACGTAATGTAGCTCTACAAAAACCAAACATACGTTTATCCAACAGAATAGTAATAGCATGGTATCTGTATCGAAAATCAATAACACGTCTTACCAGTGAATATTTTATCAAAGGTATTCCTCCCGAATACCTCCCGAACTTGGACCTTTTTGTGGCTGGTAAACAATAAAGTTTATGTATTCTGGAAAAATGTCACTAAAGTAATTTTCTATTGACTATTTTTCATATAAAGCAACAATGTCATGTTCAGATACAAAAGAAACAAAGCCAATGTCGGACAGTTTGATGGTTAAATCTTCTATATTCCTTGCAATGTATTTTGTTGTGCTTTTGCATAACCTTCGACCTTGACGGCAGCACCCGCTCCTGATCCACAGTTGACGATGTTCCACTTGCGTCGTGATCTGCGACTAGAGCCGACAACTGATGGGCATCACCTTCCAGAGTAGTAGCTGGCATGTCCTCAATAACGAGCCTGCCATTCTTATAATAGCCCCTCTTGTTCTCAGATCTGAGCAAAGTCAGTTTCTCACGCTGTTGCTTATTACGAATAATTGCAAGAAACCGAGGAAAAACAATAAAACACGTGACAATTGCAAAAAGTATCCAATCAAACTTTGTTTACAAGATTATTTTACATAAAGGGGCGATATGTACGATATTAACCCTTAATGTAAAAAAAATATTTTTTACATTAAGGGTTGCGGGTTGTTACTCTTACTGTAATTTTGTTTACACTAAGAGTTAACACGTAACCCTTAATGTAAACATTTTTACGCTAAGAGTATTTTTTACATTAAGGGTTGTAACAGCGCCATACTACCCTTGCTCAAGAGTTATTGTCAGCGTAAAAAACATCCAAAGCCTTAGTAAAACTTTCACATAGGTTTATGGTAGCTAGGCATGTGGAGGACATTTCCATCAGTTACCAAATTGTCTGATGCAGTTCCCTGTGTTGACGTGTACTATGTGGTCTTGCATGTGTTTGTGACGGGTGCCACCAGTAGGGCGGGAAGGATAGGCTCACCTTGTCGCGATCACCTGTTATCATCACTACTTGATAGTGACTCAAAAACACATGCCTATGACACAGAGGGTGTCGTACAAAGATCTCTGCTTTTAGCTTTTAGCAGAGCATCCCTATGGTTATTTAAATCGTTTTGTGACTTTTATTTAAAATCGCCATAATAGCTCACTCACTGCTACACCAGCTTCATGCACGATGCAGCAATGCGAAAACGCTCGTGCTGACCGTGCACTTATCGTAACTGACTACCGCCAGCACCAAAACATCACCGAAATCAAATGGACAGCAATGGGTCCCGATCTTCCCCTCATAGACCTCGTCTGGGACGTCAGAAGGCCCGCCCTACGATGTCCGAACTGGGCTAGGTGCTGCAAGAAGAGTGGAATTTTTTAATGTGAGATTGATTCGGACAATACCACGCCGTATGAATGGATGCGTGACCAATCGTGGGTTATACCCCTATGACCAGTCGTGGGTTATGTCCCTATGACCAGTCTCGGGTTATGTCCCTATGACCAGTCTCGGGTTATGTCCCTATGACCAGTCTCGGGTTATACCCCTATGACCAGTCGTATGTTATGCCCCTATGACCAGTCGTGGGTTATACCCCTATGACTAATCGTATGTTATGCCCCTATGACCAGTCGTGGGTTATACCCCTATGACTAATCGTATGTTATGCCCCTATGACCAGTCGTGTGTTATGTCCCTATGACCAGTCGTGTGTTATGTCCCTATGACTAATCGTATGTTATGTCCTTATGACCAGTCGTGGGTTATAGCCCTATGACTAATCGTATGTTATGCCCCTATGACCAGTCGTGTGTTATGTCCCTATGACTAATCGTATGTTATGCCCCTATGACCAGTCGTGGGTTATACCTCTATGACCAGTCGTGTGTTATACCCCTATGACCAGTCGTGGGTTATACCCCTATGACCAGTCGTGGGTTATGTCCCTATGACCAATCGTGGGTTATACCCCTATGACCAGTCGTGGGTTATACCCCTATGACCAGTCGTATGTTATGCCCCTATGACCAGTCGTGGGTTATACCCCTATGACTAATCATATGTTATGCCCCTATGACCAGTCGTGGGTTATACCCCTATGACTAATCGTATGTTATGCCCCTATGACCAGTCGTGGGTTATACCCCTATGACTAATCGTATGTTATGTCCTTATGACCAGTCGTGGGTTATAGCCCTATGACTAATCGTATGTTATGCCCCTATGACCAGTCGTGTGTTATGTCCCTATGACTAATCGTGTGTTATGCCCCTATGACCAATCGTATGTTATGTCCCTATGACTAATCGTATGTTATGTCCCTATGACCAGTCGTGTGTTATGTCCCTATGACTAATCGTATGTTATGCCCCTATGACCAGTCGTGTGTTATGTCCCTATGACTAATCGTATGTTATGCCCCTATGACCAATCGTATGTTATGTCCCTATGACTAATCGTATGTTATGTCCCTATGACCAGTCGTATGTTATGTCCCTATGACTAATCGTATGTTATGTCCCTATGACCAGTCGTGTGTTATGTCCCTATGACTAATCGTATGTTATGCCCCTATGACCAGTCGTGTGTTATGTCCCTATGACTAATCGTATGTTATGCCCCTATGACCAGTCGTATGTTATGTCCCTATGACTAATCGTATGTTATGTCCCTATGACCAGTCGTGTGTTATGTCCCTATGACTAATCGTATATAATGCCCCTATGACCAGTCGTGTGTTATGTCCCTATGACTAATCGTATGTTATGCCCCTATGACCAATCGTATGTTATGTCCCTATGACTAATCGTATGTTATGTCCCTATGACCAGTCGTGGGTTATACCCCTATGACTAATCGTATATTATGCCCCTATGACCAGTCGTGGGTTATACCCCTATGACTAATCGTATATTATGCCCCTATGACCAGTCGTGGGTTATGTCCCTATGACTAATCGTATGTTATGCCCCTATGACCAGTCCTGGGTTATACCCTTATTACTAATCGTATGTTATGCCCCTATGACCAGTCGTGGGTTATACCCCTATGACTAATCGTATATTATGCCCCTATGACCAGTCATGGGTTATACCCTTATTACTAATCGTATGATATGTCCCTATGACCAGTCGTGGGTTATACCCCTATGACTAATCGTATGTTATGTCCCTATGACCAGTCGTGTGTTATGTCCCTATGACTAATCGTATGTTATGCCCCTATGACCAGTCGTGTGTCGTGTCCCTATGACTAATCGTAGGGGCATAACCCATTATTGATCGACTCATCTCAAACCTTCAATTTGTTACGACAACTCCCTGTCGTCTTTCCTGGCTGTTTGCTCCCTCACAATACGCCGCCAACGTTTTGCTGATAGCCATGTTACACCTTATCCTCCTCTTATCCACCCATTGCCATCAATCGATACCCTTTTTGTATTTCTGAAGTCATCTGTTATTTTCGAATATACTATTTTTGGAGAGTATAAATGAGTGGTATAGACGCATAAGTGATGACACGTGCATATGACATATGACAAATGAGGCATTCGGGATGCTTGTGTATGTTACATAGAGACCCCACCCTTAAATTCATAATTAAGACATAATACTGGACGTATACAAATCATGAATCAATACACAATCTGTCCTCGAGGACAAATTGATTTTGCACCATATGTGACAAAGGCACATTGTCAGATTACGTCAAATAATATAAAGGGAAAAAAGTATTCGATATAATATATATTACAAACAACACACAGGCTGCCACGTGTGGATCCGTGTGTCGCTGCCACGCCCATCAAACAATCATGATGAATACATACCATGTATTAACATAGGAAGGAAATGTGGAATGTTTCGTTACCAACATTAACCCCTTTTCCACCCATATCATTGACATTGAAATACGATTCTGAGTGTTATATTACCCCAGTTGTGATCTTGCAGACTCACGTGGACTCTCATGGACTCTCGTGGACTCTCGACCATAATGTAAATGAGACAGAACAAGACCGGGGGCATTCAGCAGTTACCTTAGACACGAACCCGTTATTTTTGGTAAACTATTTTAAAACATGAGAACCGTTATGAACTTGACACAGGGTCACCATTCACAATCATTCGGCCAGACCAGTATAATCGATGCTAGAATAAAAGATCTGCCATTTTCCCATCAAAAGGGATTTTATTTCGGAAATTATCGTGTCTTGTAAACCTTTCATTCAGAATTTACAGTTCCACTGATATGTTTGCCATGTTTGTTCCTTCTTGCTCGCTCAAGCAACCAAATTAGTGGCAGTTTCTCTGTCAAAGAGGTATGAGTGTATTATAAACAAGAAAATATGGCAATTGGCACAGTTATTAATTAAGTCATGATTTAAAAAAAAAATTCCTTCCCTCAAGTATTCTTTTGATGAAAATTCGTCAAAAAGGAATACATTAGTTTGGCCTCAGCATACTTTTACATGTATTTATGAAGTTACTATCAATCTATAAAATCATATAGCACTCAGCTTAATGTCGAGTCTTTAATCTGTGGAAGATTATCTTATTCACGTTGTCATATCATTTTTTAATGTGAAATTTACACGATATACGGATTTACCATTGGACGAGAGGCCGGTCACATGACCGCGAAACCGACGTTTATAAGTGTATGAACGACACATTTTGACGTTCATACCTTTCTTCACTCGCTTACTTTTTAAATAGGCGTTGCTCCAGGAATGTTGAAGCAGTACGTCAGTGTTTTCGTCAATTAAATCAATAATAAAATTCATATTGATCAAATATTTTAGTTTCTTTTTCTTAACGATTGAAAGATGTACAACGTCAAAACTGGCTTTGGAATCTACATGGGAAAGTAAAATTAAGATTTTATTAACAGTGTCATTATGTGCTACAACCAGAACAGTATCTAGTAAGTATTAATAGTCAGTAAATTCCCTTGTGGAAATCATTATTTACCCATTGAGTCTGGACGATGGGAACATATTTTGTACGAGGAAAGATTATGTTTATATTCCAAACATATTTGTTTAAAGAAAGTTAACGAAGACGAAGAACATTACCTGTTGATCTGTCATTGTATGAGAATTTGAGGAGTCAGTGTTTTAGCGTTGTGAAAGGACATTTTAAACTTTTCAATATCATGACATTTGTGACAACAAACATGGCTGGAAACAAGGTGCATATATATTTTCAATGAGAGAAAACAATGGACTGAAAAACTCTCGGATATGACTTAACATCATTTGTTGATGATATACCGTATTCGACGTAATAAGCGCCCAGTGGGCTCTCAAAATTAGAAATAGGGGGCTCTTATTAGAAATATTGGTGAAAAAAACAAAGTTAAAAGATAAGTTTCTTGGTTTCATCAATTTATTGTTGGTAATTGTTTGTGAAATATGGTCCGGGTGGCCTACATTTCCGATATAATAACAAACAATAATCAATTTTATTTCCCAATTTTGTTTGTTTTGTCTACAAGTTCACCCTGAATTTTGTCGACGAGGGTGTTCACTGCTAATGTTTCTTAAGGTTCAGGCGGGTGATGAGAAAAAATATATTATAGTCTTACTGAATAGTTGCAGCACAAAAATCACTTAATAAAACGGGGCCTGCTCGAGATGTGATAGTTAAACACAATTAATTGAATGTGATGGCGGATCCCCACAGCTGAAGTGGTAAAACAATGCCGGCGAAATAAAATATTTATAAATGTCAAAAATGTGTTTCATAGATTTTACTAGATAATTCGTTTTATACAATTTTAACAAATATACTTTGAACTCGACGTTTAGCTTGCACCTTTTGACTACTTGATCATAACAATATTTTGTGAGTGAAATTTGTGTTCAGTCGTGTTTATGCAAAACAGGGGGTGTGGTCAATAGGTATTGTTGTCGTAAACAAAACAGTACCCCTATTAATATCTAACACATATATTTATCCGATCATGGATTCTACAAAGTAGCACTGATTTCGTAACATCAAATATTGAACCATGTTGATTAACAAACATGAAATTAGTTGTCGTAAAAATGCCGGAAAGCGTTATATCAAAATGGCGACCCGCATGGCGAGTCGTGTTTGGAAAAGAGGATGCCAAAGGTTAAAGAGGTACAGACCTAATTGTAGTTTTGGATGATTCAAACTAACTGTTGCTAATTGCATGATGTGTATTTACAAATCATTGTCAGAGCCCGAACATTAGTGCAAATGATTAGCGAACCGTTTGTTTGTGTGACATTGAGAACCTCGTTCTTTCCATAAATCGCTGTTAAATCATTGCATGTAGATCTAAACCGTAAACGTATACAAGTGTTCAAAATTAGAAATAAGCCTAATTTCTGGGGAAGTATAACGTGTCACTGTGAAAATTTATCAGAAATAAAAGGCATACCCTGATAAATGTTTGATGAAAAGTAGGCTAAATAATATTTTCTGATGCAACTCCGATGGCTTGAATGATTTAATTGTTTTTCTCGCTGGTCCCGTGATTATAATTCAAATAAATAATATTCTAGATGAGGCAAATGCATGTATCAGTCATCGTATGAAAGTTACTGTTGGTTGTACCTGGGTTGGTTGCACGTAGGTTGTAGCTGGGTTGGTTGCACGTAGGTTGTAGCAAGCGTGGAAAGGGTTGTAGGCAGCTGTAAGTGTAACCTGTGGAAGGACCGGTTCCACAGACAGGAATTTCCATGGGTACTAGGGCTGTCATGAATCACTTGCATATTCGGTGAATCGAACCGTATCCATTCATGAATTCGTTATTCACGGCCACTAGAATCGAATATTTATGAATATGCAATCATGTGCGTTTAAATACCCTGTACCTATAAATATCCATAAGAACAACATATTATATGCATAGATTTCTTCAAAGACAACACTCTTATAATACTTAATTTGACAGTATTGTTGTCACTGGTCAATGTCGCATTCGAGCAGATACTAGTACCTGGATAAGTGCAGTATTTAAATGTATAATATATTAATAGTTAACTAACCATGTCAAATAATTTATGTTGGTATCGTTTCACTGAATATAACAAATAATATGTCAGCTACTGACTTGTTATTGCCTTCATGAATTGATATCCGTATTCATTACCCTATATTCATGATATGAATCATATTCGCCTCATAGTGTAATGGGTACAGTCCTTTTTTCAGTTCAAATCGGCAGAATAATGTAAACATACGTTTGTTGTTCATGTTAACATTTAAATGCAAGTCATCATTGAACTCACATGCTGTACACCCGAGTTCCAAAATATGTCTAATATAGGGATCATCAAGGGGTGCTTGTTTGGAAAGTAGTGCACAACTCCAAGGGCTAAGGATAGAATTGGGGGTAAAGTACCCAAACCCTAGCACAACTGACCATAAGACTCGAAGAGATATGCAAGATCTGTGAAGCAAGTGGCACTGGCAGCAGCCTCAGCGAATAAGCTAAGCTGCACTTGTTGCCAAGACTTTTAAAACTAATTCCCTCATCAACATGACCACTCAAATGATTCTCTCATGTTCCAGCAGCCCAAAATGTCGGAGTTTCTGCAGCAGCACTCCTGGGGCAGACATCACCTCTGTGCCACTGTCCAAGCCCCTACCGAACATGCCCCTCCCTCAGTATGCCTCTGTTGGGGGGTCATCAGCTGACACTCAGGTCACGGTACTCAACAACGGCCTCTCAGTGGCGTCACAGAACAAATTTGGACAATTCTGTACAGTAGGAGGTAGGGAGGGTGTCTGGTGTGTTTGTTCTCATGAAAGACTTATTTTGCCAACAACATGAATAAGCATGATAAGAATTAATGAAACTAAGCTCCAATGCAATATAAAGAGAATTTTGCACAAGTGAGTGTCAAATTTTCATACTGATTTTGAGAAATGTGTATCAGATTTCTTAAGTGTAACCGTTATGGATTAACAGTATGATAACCTAGTTCTGAATGTTGAACCAACCTGTGCTATGTTTAACAGTCACATTCTGTTTATTATATCTCAATGACTGAATAATTCCTCCCCAATGTTTTAGTTGTGTTGGACTCAGGGTCAAGATACGAAGTTGCTTACCCCAGTGGGGTCTCCCACTTCCTGGAGAAACTAGCTTTCTGTGTAAGTAGTTCATTACCCGTATACTTGCTATGTGAACATTGGAACTAAACAGTATGTTACTTTCATGTGGGGGTTAGCAAGCTTAGAAAAGTTCCCAGCTTTCAACTGCTGTTATGAGAGAGAGGGGCGATCGGGTAGCCTAGTGGTTAAAGCGTTCGCTCGTCACACCAAAGACCTGAGTTCGAATGAAGCCCATTGCTGAAATATTGCTAAAAGCGGCATAAAACCATACTCACACACTATGAGAGAGAACTATGTTTAAAATGGTGGTCAGGCTCTGTGACATGGCTGATTGTGTGCCAACATACCCCAATGGCGTTGATTGTTGCTTGTGTTTTTCAGCCACTGGTTCGCCTGGTTCAGACTCTATTGTTCACATCTCGTTATGATATGATGAGTGTGGTGAACATCATGTAGTTGCCCGTACACTCAGCAGGTACACAACGCTGCTAAATATGCCTAATTCATCATCCGCATCTTTAGTTGTGTCCTGATACAAATAATTAATTGATACTGGAAATAATATATATAGCTTACATTTATATGGCGATCATTATCTATACAAAAATAATGGATAGATAATCCATTGCCATGATAATTAACATCCTTGTCATTCAACTTGCAGTCAACAACAGAATATGAAAATCGGGATCACATTCTGCAAGAACTTGAGAAGCATGGTGGAATATGTGACTGTCAGGGGTCAAGGTACTGTATATGGAGGGGGGAGGGGGAAATCGGCCTGGTGGTTGAAATTGTGCAGCGCCAAAAATACAAGTAACCCGTTTTGATCCCAGTGGCAGATTTTGCCTTTTGAGTGATAAATTAGCTTACAATTTTTTATTCTCTGTTTTACGCTGTATTATTTTTTTAAGTTTGGTTGAGCATTTGTTTTAGGATGTGCAAAGTTGCTATGTTGACTTTACTTGAACAATGCATGACCTGCCTCATGTGTAGTTGACCCCCAATGACATGGCTTAGTGCTCATGCTATCAACACCCGGTTTACGAGGTCAAGACTTGATATAGCAGGAAAACTGTCTACTTCACAGCATAATGACATTCACTCACCTATTCTCGCCATGTCAGACTGTGTCATGAGATTGTGTCATGTTAGGTCATGTCATGTCATGTCGTCACCTGTGTTTCAGAGACACGCTGATATACGCGGCCTCGGCAGAAACAACAGGACTGCCAGCTGTCATGAACATTCTGTCGGAGGTCGTCCTGCGCCCCAACATAACAGACAATGAGGTCAGCTTGTTTGTGCTTACATCTAATCAATGTCATTGATTTACCTTCTCACTGCGTTGAGATTCACAACATAAAGCGTCGGTTACAAGCTGTTGTTTATCACATATTATTATGCTGAAAAGGAGTTGTTCAGCTGTTACAGGTAGACAAAGATCTCAGCTGGGTGCTAGAATGCATCATTTAATGGCAGCAGATATATTTTTAAAGCTGGGGCAGTTGGTTAGCCTAGTGGTTGAAGCGTTGGCTCAAAGACTGAAGACCTAGGTTTGAATTTCCAGATGGGTTAAGGGTGTCATGCTTGTACTTGTCATATGATGAGGTTAGGCGGTCGGGTAGCCTAGTGGTTAAAGCGTTTGCTCGTCACGCCGAAGACCCAGGTTCGATTCCCAACATGGGTACAATGTGTGAAGGCCATTTCTGGTGTCCTCCGCCGTGATATTGCTGGAATATTGCTTAAAGCAGCGTAAAACCACGTTCACTCACTCATGATGAAGTTAGCCTTTGTTGTTACATTTGGCTCATAAAGATCCGGGAGGAGAATAGGTCTTCAGCAATCCATGCAATTTGTAAGAGGCGACTAAAGGGATCGGGTGGTCAGGCCAGCTGACTTGGTTGATGCATGTCATCGTATCCCAATTGCGTGGATTGATGTTCATGATATCAATCACTGGATTATCTGGTCCAGACTCAATTATTTACAGACGGACGTCATATTGCTAGAGTATTGCTGAGTGTGGCGTAAACAATACAAACGCACTGAAAGTTAACAAGTTGAAACATCAATATTATTATCTTCATTTCCAAGAAAAAGAACCAAATGATGAAATGTTTGATGTATGCTACTCAAGAAGAATACTTGACTGTTTCGTGTGATTAAAGTTAATCTGTCATGGCTGGTGAGTATTACAACACACAACCATCCAATTGTGGATGTTCTTTAACTTGTTTTGAGTAGTATATTGTAAACTGTGTCTGTTTGTAAAGCTTGAAGACTCCCGGGTGGCGATATCATTTGAACTGGAGAATCTCAACATGCAGCCCGACCCCGAGCCCCTGCTGATGGAGCTTATCCATGCTGTAAGTTGTACTGGAACATTGATCATCGGGCTAACATTAGGGGTCAGTAGCTTGTCCAGTGATAAGTCGTTACCATGCTGTAAGTTGTGTTGGAACATTGATCATAGGGCCAACATTAGGGGACACCAACTTACCCAGTGATGAGTCGTTATTATGCTGTGTTACTATTTATTGCTAGACATAATATTGGTAAGGTCAGATTTTGTTGGCCACTATACCAAGGGGCAAAATGAAAAACAATTAATATCAGGGTTGATTTTGTGGTTAATTTCATAAAATAAATATTTTTTATACAACACTTGCAAGCAAAATTTTGTTAAAAAACACCCAAAGGAATTTTGGGGCTTTTTTGTCCAGATGACAAAAAAGTGAATTGGTGAATCTGATCGCATATTCCAGGCCGCCTTCCGAGACAACACTGTAGGTCTGCCCAGGTTCTGTCCCACTGAGAACATCGCGGTCCACACCCGGAGCAGTCTGTACACATACCTGAAGAACTTCCACAGCCCCAGGAGGATGGTGGTGGCAGGTGTGGGGATGGACCACCAGCACCTAGTGCAGCTCACACAGGAATACTTCGTCAACAGGAAGTCCCCCATCTGGGCCGAGCATGTTGGGATCATCGACACCAACAAGGCGGATGACAAGTCCGTGGCACAGTACACCGGGGGCAATTTACAAGTAGGTCGGACTTATTCAGTCATCATGTTCATATAAGTTGGTTGTGTTGTGAGGTAGGATTGTCATAATTGTAGGATGAATGTCTCCAGTGAGTTTGAACTGAGACTCTTTGTACGGATAGTGTTTGAACTGAAATCCTATGTACAGATAGTGTTTGAACTGAAACCCTATGTACAGATAGTGTTTGAACTGAAACCCTATGTACAGATAGTGTTTGAACTGAAACCCTATGTACGGATAGTGTTTGAAGTGAAACCCTTTGTACGGATAGTGTTTGAACTGAAACCCTATGTACGGATAGTGTTTGAACTGAAACCCTTTGTATGGATAGTGTGTTTGAATTGAAACCCTATGTACAGATTGTGTTTGAACTGAAACCCTATGTACAGATTGTGTTTGAACTGAAACCCTATGTACAGATTGTGTTTGAACTGAAACCCTTTGTATGGATAGTGTGTTTGAATTGAAACCCTATGTACAGATTGTGTTTGAGCTGAAACCCTATGTACAGATTGTGTTTGAACTGAAACCCTTTTTATGGATAGTGTTTGAATTTAAACCCTTTGTATGGATAGTGTTTGAACTGAGACCCTATGTACAGATTGTGTTTGAACTGAAATCCTATGTACAGATAGTGTTTGAACTGAAACCCTATGTACAGATTGTGTTTGAACTGAGACCCTATGTACAGATTGTGTTTGAACTGAAACCCTATGTACAGATTGTGTTTGAACTGAAACCCTATGTACAGATTGTGTTTGAACTGAGACCCTATGTACAGATTGTGTTTGAACTGAAACCCTATGTACAGATTGTGTTTGAACTGAAACCCTTTGTATGGATAGTGTGTTTGAATTGAAACCCTATGTACAGATTGTGTTTGAACTGAAACCCTATGTACAGATTGTGTTTGAACTGAAACCCTTTTTATGGATAGCGTTTGAAGTGAAACCCTTTGTATGGATAGTGTTCGAATTAAAACCCCATGACACACAATATTATCAGACTAAAAAAAAGACTCTGTAACTTGTGGACTCTCAGTGATAAGTTTGTTTTATTTATCAACTGTTAGATGTACATGAGTGTACGAGCTGTTGCACAGCATGTAACTCTCGGAACACACAGAACAGACCTGGAACTGACTGGCTTTTGTCTCTCATCAGGTGGAGAAAGATTTATCGGATGTGAGTCTAGGGCCAACCCCGTTCCCTGAACTGGCGCATGTTGTGATCGGGTTGGAGAGTTGTTCCCATCAGGACTCTGACTTCGTGGCCTTCTGCGTGCTCAACATGATGATGGGGGGTGGGGGATCCTTCTCTGCCGGGGGTCCAGGCAAAGGCATGTACACACGGCTGTACCTTAACGTTCTCAACAGGTAGGGAATGTTAGAACAAGCCACTATGTGTCGTACCACTCAATATGTGGTATTGATCACCTAACCATTCTTCTGGAAAACAACTAATCCACACCATGCTCAGACACAGTACAAATACCATGGTCAGTTGACCCGTGAAGATCGGAGGTAGAATAGGTCTTCAGCAATCCACGCTTGCCCTAAAAGGTGACTATGCTTGTCGTAAGAGGCGACAAAGGGGATCAGGTGATCAGGCTCACTGCCTTGGTCGATGCATGCCATCGTATCCCAATTGCATGGATTGATGCTAATGATGTCAATCACTGGATTGTCTTGTCCAGACCCAATCATTTACAGCTATATATAGCTGGTATATTGCTGAGTGCGGCGTTAAACAACAAACAAATCAACAAACACTAGTCAGCTCCCTGGGGCGTATACGATGTCCCTCCTCTGTGTGCAGGTATCACTGGATGTACAACGCTACAGCCTTCAACCACGCCTACCAGGACACTGGCCTCTTCTGCATCCACGCCAGCTCTCACCCCTCACAGGTAACTGTCACATGTCCCCAAGTCGTGTTTCTCAGTGTCTATACCCTTCCTGGGGCACAGGTGGCCCAGTCGTCTAAGGCGCCGCGATTCGCTTGGGCACGCCAGAAACCTATGATTGTGGGTTCGAAACCCGGTTCGCCCCGAATATGTTTCTAGGTTTGTCAGCACCATACCCGTGCTCGTGGGTTTCACTGAAGTTGTAAACGTCTGAGACCTGAATCACTTCGGTGTTTCCTCCCACATTAAGCTGACACGCTGTGATATAACTGGAATACTGTTAAAAGCGGCGTTAAACCAAACTCACTCACTCACTCACTATACCCTTCCTTGTCATTGACTGTCGATAGAAACATATCACCAGGAATTGATCTGAGATTTTAGATTTCTCGTGGCAGGCAAACTGAGAAAATTTTACTTTTTATTACTTTTGAGGTGGTGGTGGGGAGTGTTCCAAAAGCCATAAAATTCCTTTGTTCAATCATTTTCTTTTATACAGCTTACCATTGCTAAGCTACTTAGTTATAATTGTACCCTCACAGGTACATATCACACGTCCACCAAGAGTGAGTGAGTGAGTATGGTTTACGTCGCTTTTAGCAATATACCAGCAATATCACGGTGGGGGGCACTGGTAATGGGCTTTGAACCCGGGTCTTCGGAGTGATGAGCGAAGTCTTTAACCACTAGGTATCAAGTTGCATCCCTGATGGACAAGACAAGTTTTGCCCCTGTCCCATGGTTCTGAAATGATCATATCACTTAACCAACATAGCCCATAAGTACTCAAAAATATTTTAAAGGTTTCATTTTCCAATTTGCCGAATGTACCCGAAGTCAGAATTGCTGATCATACATTCTTTCCAAATGATTTTGGAAACAATTCTTGCCATAGCATTATTATGAATTGTTTTTTCTTTGAGGGAGTAATGGAAATATCCTTATCAAAAGTGAAGCAACATTTTATCCTCTGTATGATGACACAAGTGTACCCTATGTGTTCTCACAGTTGACTGAACTCGTGGAGGTCATTGTCAGGGAGGTCGTCAACACCGCCGGCAAAGTCTTCCCGGTAAGCCTTCACCAGTCTTCACAAGTCCTCATCCGATTTTATCAGTCTTCATAGGTCAAGAGATATATTTCACACATCTGATAGAGTACACGTTGCCATGTAGTCTAAGTTGCCACATTTTGCTGTACATAGTTACATCCCTTGGCCATGCCACGATCCGCTTACCTTCGGTTATTCTTGGTTTTGATCTTTGGTTTGTCGGCACCATACAAACTTGATAAGATGCTGCAATCTGCATCACATTGGACTTTCATAACAAATTTAGAAGGCATGAATTCAAAGTGAACAAAATTCATTCACTCACACATTCATTCACAAATATGTATTATGCAGGCATCCAAATGGTCACTCCGGGGCTGAATTTATTTCTTTGTTGTTTAACGCCGCATTCAGCAATATTCCAGCTATATGACGGCATTCTGTTAATTATCATGTCTGGACCAGACAATCCAGGGATTGGCATCATGAGCATCAATCCACGCAATTGGGATACGATGACATGCATCAGCCAAGTCAGCGAGCCTGAAAACCCGATCCTGTTAGTCAGCATAGTCGCCATTTACGGCAAGCATGGGTTGCTGAAGACCTATTCTACCCCGGATCTGGTCCCAGGTAAGCTATGCTTGTGGAGTCAGGTGGCTCAATGTAACAGGTGATCAGACTCTGTGAATTGGCTGATCAGCACTCTATCGGTCATAATATCAACCACTGGTTTGTCTGGTCCAGATTTTAACTTTTACAGGCTGCTGTCATATAGCTGGAATATTACTGGGTGTGGTTTCAAACTATTCACAAACCCACCCACCCACCTGCTTCTGTGGTGATGCGGCCATCAAATCCGCTGTTTCAGTCAGAGGTGGTTATTATGATTTGATACCCCTGATTGACCAATCAGAATCGAGTAGTTTCCAAATTCACGATTTAATTAGATGCTAATTCCCTCCCTCCCCAGGATGAGTTGGACCGAGCTAAGCGACAGGTCCAGTCTATGCTGCTGATGAACCTGGAGTCTAGGCCCGTGGTGTTCGAGGACATTGGTCGACAGGTGCTGGCCAACGGCCATCGCAAACCAGCCAAATACTTCTACGAAGAAATCAGTGAGTATCTGTGAAGTGATCTAGCACTATGTCTGTTACCATGGTTACTAAGTGAAGGAAAGAGACAGCCCTAATTATATGCACGAGTGCACAACTTGTGTCAACAAAAAATACAAGAGTGAGTGAGTGAGTTTGGTTTTACACCACTTTTAGCAATATTCCAGCAATATCACGGCGGGGGACACCAGAAATGGGCTACGCACATTGTGCCCATGTCGGGAATCGAACCCGGGTCTTCAGCGTCACAAGCGAACGCTTTAACCACTAGGCTACCCGACCGCCCCCAAAAGACATAATATAAGCATGATAAGGTTCATGCTATGGCCCACTGGTTCACATTTAGCCTAGGCCTCTCTTTTTCTATAAGTTGTGAACAGAATTATTTTTTTCACGTTTTGCCAGGTTGATCAGTAGTTGATATGAAAATAGCATTTTCAATTATTATTTTGTAATTGTAAGAAAATTGGGTCAGTAGGATGAGAGAAAAATAAAACTACACTAAATATGAATTGAAATTATTAACTGTTCCTGATTTTTCTATAAGTTAATAACAGAATTCTTTTTAACATTTTGCCATCAGTAGTTGATATGAACATAGACTTTTCAATTATTATTTATTTATTGTAAGAAAATTGGGTTGATTGGGTCGAGAGAAAAATAAAACTACTCTAAAAATGAATTAAACTTATTTTTCCATTCCTGATTTTTAGGGTCTGTTGATCTGTAAACATGTAATTAAATAAAATAAAACATTATTTTTAGGCAGTTGTGATATGCTTGTTATAATATAATTACTAGTCAAGGTCATTACTAGGAGGATATGGGATAGAATAAGTCTTCAGCAACCCATGCTTGAAATAAAAGGCGACTATGCTTGTCGTAAGAGGCGACTAACGGGATCAGTGGTCAGGTTTGCTGACTTGATTGATGCATGTCATTGTATCCCAATTGCGTGGATCGATGCTCATGACTCGATTATTTGCAGACCACCGTCATATAGCTGAAATATAGCCGAGTGGGGTGTTCAACAACAAACAATTAAACAAAAAAACAAACAAAACAAAACAAACATTTCTGGGTGAGGAATTCAAACAAACAACATTCTGAGTCAAAGTGATGGCTAATCTCATTCACCTTGCAGACAAGATCACCGAGGAAGACATCAGAAGAGTTGCTACCAGGATGTTGCGAAGTAGACCTGCTGTAGCTGCCTACGGTTCTCTGTCACAGATGCCGTCTTACGGGAACATCGAGACTGCTCTGGCTAGCAAAGATGGCCGCATGCCAAGGAAATTCTCACTTTTCCGCTCTTCATGATTGAAGAGTTCTGTAGTTCTAGACTTGAGATATTTACACCTGTGTCTCCAGACTGTCAAGAGGTAGTGGAGACACGCTCACGGCCAAAGATGTGCGCACCTCAACATGGTTTTATTGGAATGGAACACTGGATGTTTTTTCTGTGATTTATGTCACATGTGCTCCACTAATCTTCAATACATTTGTATGAAGTCTTTATTTTAGTGATATTGTCAAGGGCAAATATCGTGACTGGTGTTTATTTCAAACATTTATGTTTGTTTCTACAGTGTACCCTGTGTCTGTATATGTTCTTTGTAACATTGGGATTGAACCCATGATCAGCAGATCCTGTCAGCTGTGGTACACAACTCTGCAAATTGATTAAGAAGACAATTTTGCCAATCAGTCCACCAGATTTTGTATTGTGAATTTTGTGCTGTTCATCTTTGTGCCCCTACTTGTCCCTGTAATATATCATGGACTTTCACAGAGACGAGATGACACTGAACTGGGGCATTTGCGATGTCAGGAAAGGCATTGTGAGACAACCTAAATAAAATTATATAAAAGTTAAGTTTTTGTGTGTTTTGTATACAATCTTTGAACTAAGAGACTGGCCATTGATGGTGGTGGTGTGTGTGTGTGCGTGCGAGCGAGCGTGCATGCGTGCGTGTGCATGCGTGGAATTTGCATGCGGCCAGGAAGCCTAGTGGTTAAAGCGTTCGCTCGTCATGCCGAAGACCCGGGTTCGATTCCCGTCATGGGTACAATGTGTGAAGCCCATTTCTGGTGTCACCCGCCGTGATATTGCTGGAACATTGCTAAAAGCAGCAGAAACATTCTCACTCACTCACTCACTCCATGGTCTGGTGGATAGAGTATCTGCCCGGAGAACAGAAGGGTGGTGCTTATTGCACTTATATTCAAAGTGTTTAGATGGAGCAGGAGTATGAATATGCCTGTCAACTGGAAAACCTGCGTGTGTATAAAAGTACAATAATCCATACATATGACTCCTGAACGTGACGTTAAACGCCATCTCGTTTCACCTCTCTGGCTGCTCAAATAATTATGTATGTCGATCAAAATCGAAAAATTAGCACGAACAGCGGAAAATCCACCAGGTTCATCACAATGAACTGTTTGTCTGTTTGTTGCACACAACAATATTCCTGCGATATGGCGGCGGTCCGTAAATCATCGAATCTGGACTAGACAATCCAGTGATTGACATCATGAGCATCGACCCACGTAATTAGGATACGATAACATGCATCAACCAAGTCGGGTAGCCTGACCACCCGATTCCGTTAGTCGCCTCTTACGACAAGCATATTGGCCTTTTACGGCAAGCATGGGTTCCTGAAGAACTATTCTATCCCGGATCTCACGATGAACTGGCATTATTTGATCAAGTGTTTCACGATACAAGAAAGGTGATGAAGGACACCGATTAAACTATATACCTGACTCCACTCGGGTTTACAACTACATGAACTTCACATCAAACAAGAAATCAATAGAGCCAGACACGAACTATATCGATCCACAATTTGTACATTTTCCTTATCCATAAAAAAATCATAAATGGCCAATAAGTATCCATTTCACGATAACCGAAAAGAACTCGTTGCTGTATTAATTTTTTTATGTCCCCGTGTATATTGATAATCATCAATAAACACACAGGTGTTGAAGGACTCAGGTGCGCCACAGACATAAATCGACCTGTTGAAAATGTCGTGTATGATGGGGAATTTATTAGTTTTCAGGGTTATAATTATTCAGTCCACAAAGCGACCGTAGCCCTGCGACTGTCGTTAGTTTGTGTTAAAGTATGGGAGTTACAATCACCTCAATGCCACGGTCCCTTTGTGGTTACCGGGTCCTGGATTATAGGATTACCTGGTGATTGGTCGACCGTGTACCTGACACACTAAACTACACGCACTTATGAAGCCAGTACACCTTATAACAGTGTCGACAGGTCGAACTGCTGACATCCAAAATATTTTCACCTCGTATGTTATGCATTGCCAAAATATATTTGATTGTAATCAATTTCTAAATTCGCTGTAGGTTGTTATTTGACCTAGAGTCGTGTCAGTTGAGCTTATCCATGAATACAGACACAGCACCATTTTTCCATTATGAAATATGAAATATTTGGATTTGTTTACATCAACATGTGTTTTTATTGTGAATCAATAATCAGTGTACAACTGCTGGCTGGACGCATCACTGTATGTGGATCTAAGAAACGTACTTTTTTAGCCACTATTATTATCATTATTATTATCATCATCATCATTATCATTATTATCCGTGCTTTTGTGTTTCATCGGAAAGACGGTGCAAGTCTTGTTGCCAAAGAATTCGCTTGTCGGGCCGAAGACCCTGGTTCGATTCCCACATGGGCACAGCTTTTATCCCTTAAAAAAAAGACCTTAAAACCGATGTGTAAAAACCAATACAATAACCCAAATCAATGGCTCATATCATCGAAAACATAAAAATAAACTAAGCATATTATAAAAATTTGACGAAAAAAAATTCAGGCACTTTCGAGCATTCCGAGAACTCGTGTACTGGAACATGTCCGCCGTTGTGCCTACTGACATATCGATGTATCCATGCTCCTGTCACATATGCATTGATCGACTAGTATGTGTAAATTCTCCCAACACTGACCCCGCCCAGTCGCCGTGCACAGCTTGGCTTAATGGTCGTGAATATACAAACCGCGCGCGGTCCGAAAAGACGATCGATGGGTGCAACATGTGTTCACGGGCGAAGTAATTCCAATTCAGATATTTCTCGGAAGACTTATTTTCACGAAGGGAGGATACCTCGAGAAGTAACCAAGACCAAGGTTCTCATTCCATTTGGATTATTTAAGTGAAAGATATTATTTTCAACTTGTCCGGAAGAAGAGCAGATCGTGTCCAGAATCAACAAGTGTACATTGATTATATAGGGGTTTCGTGACGTTCTGAAGTGAACGGTGTGTAGATGTGTGAGTCATGGTTAAATCAATCGTCTGAAGGCGTGAACGACTGATGTAGACTTCAGCATAGACGCTACTAAGTGCTAACTACCCACCGCTAATCACCACGATGTTCGTCATGGCACCGTATGCTCAAACCACTGTTTACCTGTGTGTCATTGTCTTCATACATCTTTGTTGCGGTCAGACTTGTCCAGGAGACCGCGGTTGTTACCCAGATGACCAGGAACTTGTTTGGGCAACAGCTTCAGCTCCATCAGCAAGAACCACAACAGCTAATTCGACATGCGGCGACCCGAATCAAACGATATATATGAGTTTGGATACCAATGATACCGCGAACCACACGTGCGCGTCGAACGCTCATCCTAAGGAACATATGATAGACAAAGACAACAAAACTATCACGATAGGCAGTGATACGTATTATGAACTTCAACCTATATGGACGACGTATTGGCAGTCCCAAAATACTGTTGACGCTGACGGTAATCGTACCGTTGTAGAAGTCGTTGTCAATTTTACGGATGTTTTTCTTATATCCGAGGTACAGTTATATTTTGCTGCTCCTGGCGTCCCCAATGTCACGGACGACGCCCGACCTGCCGCCATGTATATGGAGCGTTACTTGAACGGAAACTGGACAGTATGGCGTTATTTTGCTGAAAATTGTAACGATTTCCCCCAAACACTACCGTCGGCAACAGATCCCATCACAGCTTTCTGTACGCAAATGACAAGGGGCGATATTTCAAAAGAACAACAAAACGCTTTCAGGGTAAGTCAAACACATTTTACACATTATAACGTAACGGTATTCTACGTTTATAATAATAGGCTATTTATATTGCGCATTTCCACACCACTCGGGGGCATGCTCAAAACACTATTATTACTCATGTCACATGATCAATGTGCACTCAAGAATCATTCTCAGCTCCCTGGGGAGTATGCAACCCAAGCTGCCTGTTAGGTGCTAGAAGGTTAACAACTTTGCCATCACATCCTACCGTGTACCCTTTCACTGCTGGGTGAACAGAGGCACATTTCGAACATATTCACTTGCCCAAGGAGACGCCACAAGTGTTTACTTCATACATCTGACTAGACCACCAGTGTATTAAAGGCAAAGTGAGTGTTTTGTTTGTTATTTAACGCCGCACTCAGCAATATTCCTGTTATATGTAAATAATCGAGTGTAGAGTAGACAATCCAGTGATTAAAAGCAAGAGCATCCATCCACGCAATTTGGATATGATTACATGCATCAACTAAGTCAGCGAGCCTGACCAACCGATCCCCTTTGTCGCCTCTTGCAACAAGCATAGTCACCTTTTACGGCAAGCATGGATTGCTGAAGACCTATTCTACTCCCAATCTTCAGTCAGTTGTTCACCTGAAAAGACAGGGGAAAATAGGATACAAGTCTAAATACGGAATTGAATCGAAGATCATTTTTGTCATGAATGTTTTTTTAAATCTTCGTAAAAGAGCATGCTCAACGTACCTCATAAGCTGTGATATGTAGACACAAAGGCTGGAGCTGCAGACATTTTGCTCGACATATAGGGTCACTCTGAATCTTTATACCTTGATCTAAATATGAGACAAATGAGGCGGTCTCACGGATCTCTGTTTCTTGTTCAAGATGGTAAATCAGTAGAAGGGAATATCCGATCATCAATATACCTGAAGCTGAAGTTTAACTTCTTGGCCAAATTCCTTTGTTTTTATTTTGCCAATCGGAGCTGAAATTCAGATTCATAATAACATATAATATAAAAGTCCACTTTTAAAAGTCCATATAATATAAAAGTCATGCGCTAATCCATCTATTAGGGGGTTGATCATAACGGCACACGAGAGTTTCTTTACAGTACATTGTTCTGAAGAGATGTGTTTTGAGGGTTGGTTTTAAGGCTTGGAACGTTTGATTTCTTGTGGTAAGGAGTTCCATAACATCGATGCACTACAGGAATAGGTTCTGGACCCAATACGTTTCCATCTGTAAGTGGTGGGACAGAATTGTTGCCATTAGCCTTCATTTGGGACAAAATGTCCCTAACCTGTAAAGACAGAAAATTATGTAACTATATCTATGGTCACCACGTGTAGTGACAGCTGTCCCGTGGATCAAGGAATGCAGAGTTTCCAACTGAAGTTTGTCATGAGTGTGGGACAATCAAATGTTTTGACAGAATTGAACTGGGTTCTTTTCTGAGATTGCAATACAGTCTAGCAATTTCTTTGAGATATTGAGAATCACTTGGTATTAATTCCAATTGTCTCAAAGACGTTCTGTGAATATAAAGAATGATCCTCCTTGATTACATTGAGGATTGATTATGGTTCATCTTTGAAACAGGGAAATGGCGGTACAACATATTTCTCTTTGTACGGATTTTATGGAGCTTTGGAATCCAGTACCAAACATAAATGGTCAACGTCTTCTAGTTTTTGATTCAAGTCAAAAGTTGATGGAGCTGATTCATGGCTTTGACAGACTCCTTCCTCTGTTGCATACTGGCCTTATGTGACATTATTTGATGTGTCACTTGCACCAAGTTATTTGATCACACTATTCACATTATGATGCTTACATATTATAGTTATGTTGTGTCAGACCTCGTCAGTGGGAACACCAAACGTTTCATTTTTCAACTTTCAAGCCTTAATCGATTTCACTCTTCAATTTCCACTTTGAAAACATTAATTCTGTTTAAATATTTTGGGATTCAGGTGTATTTTGGATGGATTTCCTGCAGTTAAAGAATATTCAAATGGACAGCATTTAAATAATTTCAATACTTGACAAAATTTACAAACATTATTCAAAGCTGTGTCCAATATTCAATAACGGTCATAGTTTTACAAGGCACGTGCCGCCCCTTTGCTGTCTTCGCGCAGTTAGGACAATCCAAGGAAATCGTTTTCATTTTTTTATTTCTTTTACTTTGAACTGGTGTGAGCAAACATTACACGATGCATATGCGACCCCTTTAAACATGTGCAATATTCCAGAAATATGACGGCCAATAATAATAATAATAATCGAATTCTTTTGGTCCTTTCGTATTTGTTTGGTCCTTTCATATTCTTTTGGTGTTGTTGATTGGAAGAAACTAACAAACTCTAGGTATTGACACCCTTACACGACGAATCATGTCAGAGAATAAATCCCACCTCCCTGCTCTTCTCTCAATCGCTTATATCTACCAATTAGGGCGTGGTTTGGGAGGGGGGGGGGGGGGGGGGGTGATTAACGTGGAGGCGCTTCATGATAGAGTTGTAATGTGCACTTTTGCACATATTTACTTGTCTGATGATCCTCTTGTGAAGCATGTCAAGAGTAAAGATGAAAACAAGGCATTCCAGAGTTTCCTTAAGCGAGCCAAGGATGCGGGACATAATCTCAAAGTCAATGTTGATTTTGTTGATGGTTCTGTACTGCTGGACGGTACAGAGTTGACTGTCAACCAAGCGAAATGTCATATCAAATCGTTCCAAGAGAGGCTATCTGAACGACCACTGCATCGAGTTTATGTACCGTGTGTTGAGAAGATCAGTAACTCTGCAGAGTCCTTCGCTTGCCTGAAAAGTGAAACAGAAGGCTTTCTGTTTGCTGCTCAGGACCAGTCACTTCCCACTCGAAACCGTCAATGTGTGATTTTGTATCAAAATATAAAATTGAGGAGTGAATTATACAATGAATTCATATGAGACTGTCTATTGTCAGTGGATGCCCAGCTTTGGCACAAACACCGTATCTTAAGCGACATGATGGAGTTGCTTGATCCTTTTTTTACCGTCTTGGCCATGCTTGTGGTTTTGACATAGAGGTCCACCCATGGTACGACCCAGAATATGTAGAGGGCGTCATGGAAAATGATAAATACAAGCTTCTTTGGAATAGGCCTCGAACCTATCCAGGCCAACAAACCGGAACTTATCCTTTTATATAAATACAACGAAAGCATTTATATCATTGAATTTTCTGTCCCTTTTGACACTAATGTGATTGACAAGATTCAGGAAAAAACATGGCAAATATGCGGACTTCGCTTTCGAAATGTCACGCTTGTATCCCAAGTACCAAGTTGTCCCACTCCCCATTGTTATCAGTGCCTTAGGTTTGGTACTTTCCAATCTGCATTGGGAGAATACCGAGAATTCAGCGCTCCTGACAATCTCGGTAATACAGAAGGCTGCAGTATTGGGGAGTCTTCAAATTCACCGAAAAGTTCTGGGTGGGGACTGCATGCTGGAAAGAAGGCACGAATGGTTGCCAATGCTTTTAATGTCCACGTGAGAACCATCTACAGATTACAGCAATACCAGGCCACCAACATGCAGTCGTCATCAAGCCTGGTTTCTCTGATTGTTCGTCATGGCATGGTCGCCTCCGTGGTCCAGTGGAAGAGCGTCCAATCGGAGAGCGGAAGGTCCGGGGTTCGATCCCCGGCCGCGTCATACCAAAAGACGTTAAAAGATGGTACTTGTTGTTACCCTGTCTGGCGCTCGGCATTAAGGGGCTAAAACAAGGACTGGTCGGCTCGGAGTCAGTATACTGTGTCTGAGTGGGGTATTTATGTTAACCTGCGGCATGGTATCTCAGTGAGCTAGCACTATAAATCGGCATCAGTCCGGACTAGTACAAGCAGACACACACACAAACACACGTGCATGGACGTCGCTATTAAACCCAATGTCACCTCACCTCGTCTTGCCATGGCGCTAGTATCGATACAAGAATGTTGAATCGACGTATTGGGGTGTCGTTTATCAGAAAAGGTACAAGGAACGCGGGCTCATTTTGATTTTCATAGAAAGCATTCGGGACTTTGTACCATGGTCGTTTGTTCAGCTGCGTTGTGGCGACCCATTCTATCCGTATTTGTGTAAATGTTTGGTAGTTAGCATTTAATGTGGAGACAGGCTAACGTCAAAAACGAGATACCTCCAAAAGTTGCATTCATATTTCAATGGGAAACCTTTATTAAGTATTTTCACACGGTTCAGTATTATGTAGGTGTAATGGCGGAGTATATCAGAGGCTCTACAAACAGGTATTATATTTTCAGCATAACCCATCTGCCATTGTTTCCAGATCGAGCTTCACCCTGCAAACGAATACAACACCGCGTTCAGGTCGAACCGGACAGTGGGGGAGTACTACACGGCTTCGGCAGTCCGGGTCACCCTCATCAAGCCAGCCAGCCCGACACCTCTCCGGTCTTATTATGCTATAGCGGATATCAAAGTAGATGGGACCTGTCACTGCCTCGGACATTCAGCAACGTGCACGGGACCTGTATGTAGCGCTGTAATTTTATTTTTTTTGCAATAATTAATTTAAAGTTTATTGTTGTTATTTATTTCAGTCCTTATATTAACAGCAGGAGGAAAGGAAGTGTACAGTCGAAAAGAGGATTTGACCAAAAGATTATAAAATATCAAAACGTTACTAGGCTGAAAACAGTTCCCGAAATACTGCGAACTTAAGGTTCAAAGCACAACTATGAAACACGTATCAAATGCATCAGCATCGAATACCATTCCTGACTGTTTCATCTCTAGCCACCATCAAATATGGGTGTATCCTTTCATTTACCCTGCAGTGACAAGTCGTGAACGTTTACGGCTACTCATTAGTCACACTATGCGCACCTCTACACCACTCGACTGCATCACTATATTCTACTGCATCACTGTACTCTACTGCATAACTATTCTCTACTGCATCACTGTACTCTACTGCCTCACTGTACTCTACTGCATAACTATTCTCTACTGCATCACTGTACTCTACTGCCTCACTGTACTCTACTGCATCACTGTACTCTACTGCATCACCGTACTCTACTGCATCACTGTACTCTACTGCATCACTGTACTCTACTGCACAACTGTTCTCTACTGCATCACTGTACTCTACTGCATCACTATACTCTACTGCATCACCGTACTCTACTGCATCACCGTACTCTACTGCATCACTATACTCTACTGCATCACCGTACTCTACTGCATCACCGTACTCTACTGCATCACCGTACTCTACTGCATCACTATACTCTACTGCATCACCGTACTCTACTGCATCACTGTCCTCTACTGTATCACTATACTCTGCTGCATCACTGTACTCTACTGCATCACCGTACTCTACTGCATCACCGTACTCTACTGCATCACCGTATTCTACTGCATCACTATACTCTACCGCATCACTGTACTCTACTGCCTCACTGTACTCTACTGCATCACCGTACTCTACTGCATCACTGTACTCTACTGTATCACTATACTCTGCTGCATCACTGGACTCTACTGCATCACGGTACTCTACTGCATCACCGTACTCTACTGCATCACTATACTCTACTGCATCACCGTACTCTACTGCATCACCGTACTCTACTGCATCACCGTACGCTACTGCATCACTGTACTCTACTGCATCACTATACTCTACTGCATAACTATTCTCTACCGCATCACTATACTCTACTGCATCACTATACTCCATTGCATAATTATTCTCTACTGCATCACTGTACTCTAATGCATCACTGTACTCTACAGCATAACTATTCTCTACTGCATAACTATTCTCTACTGCATCACTGTACTCTACTGCATAACTATTCTCTACTGCATCACTGTACTCTACTATATCACTGTTCTCTACCGCATCACTGTACTCTACTACATCACTGTACTCTACTGCATCACTGTACTCTACTGCATCACTGTACTCTACTACATAACTATACTCTACTGCATCACCGTACTCTACTGCATCACTGTACTCTACTACATAACTATACTCTACTGCATCACTGTACTCTACTGCATCACTGTACTCTACTACATCACTGTACTCTACCGCATCACTGTACTCTACTGCATCACTCTACTCTACTGCATCACTGTACTCTACTGAATCACTGTACTCTCCTGCATAACTACACTCTGCTACATAACTACACTCTCATAGCATAACTGCATTCTTCTGCATAATTCTCCCCGACGCTTACCGGCTGTTGACGCAATATTGACCGGGGTTGAGCGTTCTGCTGAATGTTATCGACAATGCCTTTAATGCTGTGTTATGGAAATGCTCATCGCGTGTGCGTCCTTGGACATGGATACCGTTATCGTCCTGACATACAGCTGTTCGCATGACCCCACTTTCTATGTACATTTGTAAGAAACTGAAATAAAACAAGTAAATAAATTTACAAATACCCTTACCCCTGTTGATTTCAAATACAGTAACATTGTATAGATGTCATACCTATGATTCCCAAGTCCAAACCTCGTCTATCCGGAAAACCCACCTTCCTGCAATTACTGTTGTTACGTCTGTAGACTTCAATAAATTATATTTAGTTTTGAATAACATTTACAGATACAGTATAAGTAACGGATAAGTAGTAAACAGAAAACAGTTAGCCTCCCGACCGACCTTTTTTATTTTTTTTAACAATATTTATTACCATTTGGTACAGTGAAAGGGGTTTGATAAACAGGCAGAGCCTGTATAAATATCTCTCCCCGACAAAATTCGAACAAGCAGCAGTAGAATAATTATACAGTAGTATAGACTTGGTATTAAGTCATATGTGGTACATCAAGGGTTAACAGTCGTTAGTGAGATTTATATAAGAGTGCATGTTTAAACAAATCTTTTGTTCATAGAGAAGAAATGATGTACAGAGTCAACGATATTCAGCAGTACAGTAAACTACGGTTATAACGAACACGCTTATAACGAACTGGCGGATATAACGAATTGGTTTTTAGGTCCCTGCCATTTGTTGCATATATGCTGTATATATGCTTATAACGAATTACGGTTATAACGAACTAGAATTTGTGGTCCCTTTGAGTTCGCTATAACCGTAGTTTACTGTATTTCTTTGTCTTGGCTGACGTTACCAAAGATGACAGTTCGTAGGTCATATCCATTAACATAATAATAGCCTTCAGATCTAATCTCAGTATAATTTGGGCAAGTAAATCGGAAGTGTAAAGCACTTTCATTGAAAAAAAAACATGAACATTCAGCATAATCGCTAAATAATCTTTCAAATTTGTGACCGTTCAGATCACTGCATCCCAGTCTTAACTTACAGTGGATTATCTGATTTACGCGCGAACCAATATTTTTAAACAGGTAAGGCACTTCTGATTTAATACACGTTAACATCTAACCTTCCACAGCTAACGTGGGCGATGACGAGACACGCGTGTTTACAGTAAACAGCCGCATACAAACCCCTTTGTTATATGACTAAAGACATCGTTGTGCGTGTAATCTACCTAGATCGGCTCGTATCGACGTTTGCTGGTGATACAAAGACCGTGGCGTTTATAGCAGCCGTGAGTTCGCCAGCCTAATTCACAGCACGAGCTGTTGTACGCTTGATATAAATATGTGTTTATAGGTGGGGAGACCGATGCGGCGATCTTGTACGCCACTAATATTAATTGTATAATGGAAATGTCAATGAAAGTCGTTCAGCGTTAATTCAAGCTCTCCTTAATTCCAAAACAAGGCTTGCATTACAGTACTAATTGAAGCTTCATTGTTTTTTCTACTCTTGAGTCCTAACTGAAAGTTTTAATACTGGTATTCTGTAGAGACGAGTAATTCCTTTGCGACATTTTTAGGTCACGTGGTACTTTCGGTCTTCCAGCCTTTCGGTGTCGCTCGATTACTTCCTCTTTAACAATTATATAGTATCACAGTTCCTGGGTTTACGGGGACGGTCGGGTAGCCTAGTGGTTAAAGCGTTCGCTCGTCACGCCCCGGTTTCGATTTCCGACATGGGTACAATATGTGAAGCCCATTTCTGGTGTCCCCCGCCGTGATATGGCTGAACTATTGCTAAAGCGGCATAAAACCATACACACTCACACACTCCTGGGTTTAAGGTTGAAGGCTAGTGACGGGCATGGCGAAACATCGGGCGTTTGGTTCTGACCATAATGTTTTAGTCCACACGCGTGCCTATTCGTTTGATGAGTACACTTGTCTATTAAAAATCGCTGTTTCATTTGCGTCAGTGCAGCTAAAATTAGTGTCTCTCCGTGGGGACATACCGTAGCCGGTCCATCATATTATACTGGAAAATACACACCAGAGAGTAGTGCAGCTGTAGTGCTGTACACTGTGTACTGGAAGCCTCTCCCCGAGGCAAGTGAGTTAACTGACTATAAATGTCCAGTTTCCTCCTGGAGGCTGGACTTTTACAATCAGTTAACTCACTCGCTTCGGGAAGATGCTTCGAACGGGTAACAATAACTCTACGCGCTGTGAGCATGAGGTGTGTCCACTTAGAGAAAAATATAAGTACATGGGTAGTAGTACTAGTAGTAGTATCATCAGTAGTAGTAGTAGTAGTAGTAGTATCGTCTTCGTTAAGATGCTTCGAACGGGTAAACAGTAACTGTACGCGCTGTGAGCATGAGGTGTGTCCACTTAGAGAAATACATAAGTACATGGGTAGTAGTACTACTAGTAGTAGTATCATCAGTAGTAGTAGTAGTAGTATCGTCGTCGTTATTGTTGTTGTATTATTATCATGATGATGATGATCGTCGTCGTAATTATTATTATTATTATTATTATTATTACAGATTAAAAACGTAGTAGTAATGGTAACAGTAGTAGTAGTAGTAGTAGTAGTAGTAGTAGAAGTAGTAGTAGTATCAGATTAAAAAAATATTATTATTATTTTCTGCTGAACGATATATTTTGATGTGTCATATTCATGAGATTAATAGTGCTATTAAGATGTCTACACTGTTTCTTAAGGAAATTATGTTACATACCCCGGACTCATTAGCTACCATAACTTGTAACATGAAAAATCGCCCGTGAACATCCGGGGTAGAATAGGTCTTCAGCAACCAATGCTTGCCGCTAATGGTGACTATGTTTGTCGAATAACGGGATCGGGTGGTCAGGCTCGCTGACCTAGTTGATGCATGTCATCGTATCCCGATTGTGTCCGCCGCCATATAGCTGTACTATTGCTGAGAGCGATGTTAAACAACAAACTAACAAACGTAACGTGGAAATAGTGCGTGAGTAATTATGTCGCTTCTCAAATGAAACTACGGCGAGTAATGGGTCCAGGGTGTTTATTGTTACAGATAATCTAACCTTGATATGGGAGGGTGTTTGACTACGGTGGCCCATAAGGGACATGGAGTCTGTTTTTCCATATTTTGATGTTTCACTTACTTTTATCGTAACCTTTAGCAAATTAACACAATTTGTCATACAAATATGTCATAAATCATGTATAAAAACAACCGAAAACATGGAAAATGTACTTTCAAGTAGCTTTTGAGTCGCTGAAATGTGAAGCGAAAATGTCAAAAACTAAAATGGAAATGTCAAAAACCAAAACGAAAATGTCAAAAACCAAAACGAAAATGTCAATAAATTGGAAATGTCAAAAACCAAAACGAAAATGTCAAAAAACCAAAACGAAAATGTCAAAAACTAAAATGAAACCACAGAAAACTATTTCCACCGCGGTGATAATATTTCCACCGCGGTGTAAATAGTTTTCTGCATTTTCATTTTAGTTTTTGACATTTTCGCTTAGTTTTTGACATTTTCATTTTCGTTTTTGACATTTTCGTTTCACTTTTCTGCGATTCAATATCTTCTTTACACATGATTTATCACATATTTGTATGACAAATCGTGTTAATTTGCAAAAGGTAACGACAAAAGTAAGTGAAATATCAAAATATGGAAAAACAGACTCCATGTCCCTTATGGGCCACCGTATTTGAGACTATCCTCACGTCGTGTTTTCATGGGAACTTCGTGCGGCGTTTTCCAGAACATGAACGAATGTGTCTGCAGCCACAATACGGAGGGGGCCAACTGCGAGAAGTGTAAACCTCTCTTTAACAACAAACCTTGGAGTATGGGAACTCCGACCTCATCGAACGCATGTGAAGGTAAGTCAAGTCAATATGATAACCTCTATATAATAAAACCTTGGAGTATAGGAACTCCGATCTCACCGAACGCATGTGAAGGTAAGTCAAGTCAATATGATAACCTCTATATAATAAAACCTTGGAGTATGGGAACTCCGATCTCACCGAACGCATGTGAAGGTAAGTCAAGCCAATATGATAACCTCTATATAACAAACCCCGGTGTACGAAGACACCTAGGATCAGTCAGGTATATATATCTTTTTAACAAACCCTGGAAAATCAGGACCCCAAATACAGGTATCGCACGTGGTGGTAGACTATTCAATGTGTTTAGAATTTGGAAGTAGTTGGCGCCATGGTTGTCTCAGGAATCTTAATCAATCTAAATTGGAGTAGCTGCAATATGCCGTGCAAGCAGCCTTCCAGGCTAACGTCATTCGTCCTAAGGAAACGCCCTTCTAAACCCTCATTATTGAAGTTTTATTTGAATGTCTTCTTTTACAAAAAGAGCAAAGGTTGCTATGCTTTGAACGATCAGTGTAGTGTTTGACGAATCAACTTTTTGGGACAGCAATCTCTTAGATATTTCTATCGCCTTCTGTCCAAAACAACATGTCCAATATTAACTGAATCTGTTTTATTCCGCCACTACCATGAATATATGTTATAGACGACATATATATGTTAAAAGTTTAGACGACATGTATCAGACATATCAGGCTGCACTTGTGGATATCACTTTGAAGACGCAATTCACTTTTTCTATACCTGTCAAAAATACGATAATATCAGAAACACTATGTATTTCTACACACAGGGGTATGATTTAAAACGATATTACATGGCAGTAGTTTAGTCAGCAGTTTCACAAACATGACTATTCTTAAATCAGTTCACGATTTCATTGTCAAAAGCAAAAGATTCGAGTAGCCTAATTTTATGCATGTAGTAATGGATAACTGCATTATCTTATTTCACAGACACCACTTGTATTGGCTTCATATATTTCATTTGTGCATTAGTATGTTTATGTTTAGCAATATCTTATATATAACCAGCTGTTGTAAAGTTATTACCTGGAGAGGTATTTACATAAGCAAGTTTTGCTTGTTTACCTATCCAGATTTCATTTAAAATAAAAATATGTTTAAACCAATATATGTTATAAGATTCTCACTACATAATGAACGTTATCATAGCACATGGTCAAGGTGTTGTTAACATAGCACATGGTCAAGGTGTTGTTAGCATAGCACATGGTCAAGGTGTTGTTAACATAGCACATGGTCAAGGTGTTGTTAACATAGCACATGGTCAAGGTGTTGTTAACATAGCACATGGTCAAGGTGCTGTTAGCATAGCACATGGTCAAGGTGTTGTTAACATAGCACATGGTCAAGGTGTTGTTAGCATAGCACATGGTCAAGGTGTTGTTAACATAGCACATGGTCAAGGTGTTGTTAACATAGCACATGGTCAAGGTGTTGTTAGCATAGCACATGGTCAAGGTGTTGTTAACATAGCACATGGTCAAGGTGTTGTTAACATAGCACATGGTCAAGGTGTAGCATCTACTTGGCAGCGTGCAGCTGCAACAGTCGGGCAGGTGCGTGTGTGTACAACGCCACCAAGGGCCACGGTATCTGTACAGACTGTACGGGCAACACAGCGGGAGACAACTGTACAGACTGTAAATCCGGGTACTTCTCCAATCCGTCCCAGATGCCAGGCTCCACGGTGGCACCGGCACCCAATGGCACCACGTGTAAAGGTAAGTCGCATTCTCATGTGGTGATTAGTCTGTAGGTTTCATCTGTCTTGCTGAAGATGTTACTCTCATAGACGTTAGCCGATATTGATGTGTGTCGATGTGGTGTCACGTTATAGATTCCGGGGTAGAATAGGTCTTCAGCAACCCATACTTGCCGTAAAAGGCGACTATGCTTGTCGTAAAAGGCCACTAACGGGATAGTGTGGTCAGGTTCGCTGACTTGGTTTATACATGTCATCGGTCCCAATTGCGTGGATCGATGCTCATGATATTGATCACTGGATTGTCTGGTCCAAACTATGCTATTTACAGACCGCCGTCATACAGATGTAATATTGATGAGTGCGGCGTTATACAACAAACCAAAAGCTTTGATCAATGCTCTTGATTTCAATCGCTGGATTGTCTGGTCCAAACTATGCTATTTACAGACCGCCGTCATACAGATGTAATATTGATGAGTGTGGCGTTAAACAACAGACCAACAGATATATGTTCATATTTCAATTCTGATAATATATTTAGATGCTTGTGAAAAACTGTTCCATACCAATTTCAATAGGTATGCATATAGATGCTTATTTCAATAGTGATGCGTATAGCTGAATATTATAAATGTCACGCTGATGCATATTCGATGGAAATTGTTATGGATATAGACGCGCTTATTTTCTATTTGCTTATTCATTTTATGCTTATTTCAATAGTGATGCATGTAGATGCATATATCAAGAAGAATGCTTACAGCTGAATAATAATAACAATGGTGATGCAGATGTATATTTCAAGATAGTGATGCATATAGATGCATATGTCAATAGTCATGCTCATATATGCATATATCAAGAGGGATATTATAACTGAATAATATTACAATGAAGTCTTTGAAAGGCATTTAGAAGTGATACACATAAGGAAGAGAGTTTATGGATGTCAACTTATTTATTGTGAGGAACACGTTTCGGAGTATATGCTTCAGTAATAATTTAAGTCCTGGCTTCCAGTTGTCCATAACTATCACCCATTGTCTATCATCTATCAGCGCTAATCACTGTAAACTGTTGGCTACCATTGTGTATTGTTATCACCTATTGTCTATCATCTATCAGCGCTAATATGTTGGCTTCCATTGTCTATTGTTATCACCTATTGTCTATCATCTATCAGCGCTAATCTGTTGGCTTCCATTGTCTATTGTTATCACCTATTGTCTATCATCTATTAGCGCTAATCTGTTGGTTTCTATTGTCTATTGTTATCACCTATTGTCTATCATTCATCAGCGCTAATTACTGTTAACTGTTGGCTTCCATTTTCTATTGTTATCATCTATTGTCTATCATCTATCAGCGCTAATCTGTTGGTTTCTATTGTCTATTGTTATCACCTATTGTCTATCATCTATCACCGCTAATTACTGTAAACTGTTGGCTTCCATTGTCTATTGTTATCACCTATTGTCTATCATCTATCACCGCTAATTACTGTAAACTGTTGGCTTCCATTGTCTATTGTTATCACCTATTGTCTATCATCTATAAGCGCAAATCTGTTGGTTTCTATTGTCTATTGTTATCACCTATTGCCTATCATTCATCAGCGCTAATTACTGTTAACTGTTGGCTTCCATTTTCTATTGTTATCACCTATTGTCTATCATCTATCAGCGCTAATCTGTTGGCTTCCATTGTCTTTTGTTATCACCTATTGTCTATCATCTATCAGCGCTAATCTGTTGGCTTCCATTGTCTTTTGTTATCACCTATTGTCTATCATCTATCAGCGCTAATCTGTTGGTTTCTATTGTCTATTGTTATCACCTATTGTCTATCATTTATCAGCGCTAATCTGTTGGCTTCCATTGTCTTTTGTTATCACCTATTGTCTATCATCTATCAGCGCTAATCTGTTGGCTTCCATTGTCTTTTGTTATCACCTATTGTCTATCATCTATCAGCGCTAATCTGTTGGTTTCTATTGTCTATTGTTATCACCTATTGTCTATCATCTATCACCGCTAATTACTGTAAACTGTTGGCTTCCATTGTCTATTGTTATCACCTATTGTCTATCATCTATCAGCGCTAATTACTGTAAACTGTTGGCTTCCATTGTCTATTGTTATCACCTATTGTCTATCATCTATTAGCGCAAATCTGTTGGTTTCTATTGTCTATTGTTATCACCTATTGCCTATCATTCATCAGCGCTAATTACTGTTAACTGTTGGCTTCCATTTTCTATTGTTATCACCTATTGTCTATCATCTATCAGCGCTAATCTGTTGGCTTCCATTGTCTTTTGTTATCACCTATTGTCTATCATCTATCAGCGCTAATCTGTTGGCTTCCATTGTCTTTTGTTATCACCTATTGTCTATCATCTATCAGCGCTAATCTGTTGGTTTCTATTGTCTATTGTTATCACCTATTGTCTATCATCTATCAGCGCTAATCTGTTGGCTTCCAGTGTCTTTTGTTATCACCTATTGTCTATCATCTATCAGCGCTAATCTGTTGGCTTCCATTGTCTTTTGTTATCACCTATAGTCTATCATCTATCAGCGCTAATCTGTTGGTTTCTATTGTCTATTGTTATCACCTATTGTCTATCATCTATCACCGCTAATTACTGTAAACTGTTGGCTTCCATTGTCTATTGTTATCACCTATTGTCTTTCATCTATCAGCGCTAATTACTGTAAACTGTTGGCTCCCATTGTCTATTGGTATCACCTATTGTCTATCATCTATCAGCGCTAATCTGTTCGCTTCCATTGTATATTGTTATCACCTATTGTCTATCATCTATTAGCGCTAATCTGTTGGTTTCTATTGTCTATTGTTATCACCTATTGTCTATCATTCATCAGCGCTAATTACTGTTAACTGTCATTTTCTATTGTTATCATCTATTGTCTATCATCTATTAGCGCTAATCTGTTGGTTTCTATTGTCTTTTGTTATCACCTATTGTCTATCATTCATCAGCGCTAATTACTGTTAACTGTTGGTTTCTATTGTCTATTGTTATCACCTATTGTCTATCATTCATCAGCGCTAATTACTGTTAACTGTCATTTTCTATTGTTATCATCTATTGTCTATCATCTATTAGCGCTAATCTGTTGGCTTCTATTGTCTATTGTTATCACCTATTGTCTATCATTCATCACCGCTAATTACTGTTAACTGTCATTTTCTATTGTTATCATCTATTGTCTATCATCTATTAGCGCTAATCTGTTGGTTGCTATTGTCTATTGTTATCATATATTGTCTATCATCTATCAGCGCTAATCTGTTGGTTGCTATTGTCTATTGTTATCACCTATTGTCTATCATTCATCACCGCTAATTACTGTTAACTGTTGGTTTCTATTGTCTATTGTTATCACCTATTGTCTATCATTCATCACCGCTAATTACTGTTAACTGTTGGCTTCCATTTCCTATTGTTATCATCTATTGTCTATCATCTATCAGCGCTAATCTGTTGGCTTCCCTTATAAAGTTTCCACATTTTGTTATCTCATTACTGTTGCTGTTCTTACATGTACATATATATGCTCTCTGCCTCATTGCATTCATTCACCCGATAAAGGAGTTAGTCAGCTTCTACACGTTGTGTTCCTCATAATAAAAAAGTTGACATACATAAATTCTCTGCCTTAACATTACAATGGCGATGCATATTCATATAACAAGATAGTGATGACGTGTACGTCAGTGGTTTTGATGCACACTGAAATGCTGCAGCACACTGCACGCACGTGTGCACTTTACATGCACTGTTCAGTGTAAATAGACCGCTCCGAATGACGCCTTGTCGCCAGATGTTTAGTATTGGAGACCACGCCAAATCAAATAGACTAGAGATAATTGCATATTGAATGTGTAAACGTCGCTGACAGCACGCCCATATATGTTTCAAGTCATGAAAAATATATTTAATAAAAATTCTCTGAGATCGTTTTAGGGACCCCAATATTGTTTTAGATCAAACCAGATGGTTATAGGATCACACTTTTGTAAACTTGTATACAAGGGGTAATTGAAAATACACAAATAATATATTAGGTGAAGATGAATTTGTAGACGGAGTGAGTAGATGTTGTTTTGCGCCGCAGTCCGCAATAATCTGGCGATATCGCCGCGTCTTGCACACTTGTGTCTCGCCCTGGTAAACTTGTGACTGAAGACCACACAGAACCATCCACCGTAGTAGTCGGCCTCGTTGTAGTCGACCCCATTGTAGTCGACATCATGGTAGTCGGCCTCGTTGTAGTCGTTTTTTTACGTTTCATATTATCGTCCCAGACTTTATCTTGTTTATCTTTATGATGCAATTCCTGTTTTGAACTGGGACAGTGTTTGCCTTTTCATCCCTTAATGATATGGCTTACCGGAAAACAGAATATTACTTTCCATACGACTGAAAATTTTAAACAGTCACAGTACTACTCTAGTGTTCGTTGTCAGGACAGCTAGAGCAGCAAGGTACTCATAGTAACATTGGAGCTGGGTGATTGGTGTCTTTTAAATCCCCAGGTGTAGATGTCTTAATACAGAACTATGTGTTATTTTTTACCACCGGTCGTTTTTTTATGATGTTGTATTTCTGTTTTCAAAAATGTGTATCTGTTTATTGTCTTCCAATGCATACACACCTCGTTATTGTATATCCAGCAATAACAGAGAAACCTCCTTACAAAGGACCCCGTTATTCGGGAAACCTGTAGATACAATCGTTTTGTGGAGATACCCCTCATCATGTAATGTCCGCAACAAGAGATTTCCCTTTTACGCCATTCCTTCTATGTGAGGGTGAGAGCTTATCAATCAACCCTCGCACCATATTTTCTACTTCTGGCATGATCAGAAACATAAGTATGGCTAAAATGTGTGAAAAAGGCACATTTCCGAACTTTAAAAGAAACTCGAGATGGGAAGTTAACATTTGTACCAGTATTATCAACATCTAAGAAAATCACTTTGAGTCAAAGACTTGCTCGTGTTCAGCTATTAATCGCTTCCCGAGAAGGTCTAAACTCACCATTTTTTACATATTTTAACCTTACCTGTGCATTATGTGTTGTAAGTCTCAAACGTGCAATTAGTAACAAGAACAAGGTTTAATGCTCTTTCATATGAACACATGTGATGACTTTCTTAATGAATGTGCCCATTGTTCAAGTAATGTAGATCCTGTGGACAAGGGCGTTCTGGGATGTAGGGGGGGAGTAACAGCCCAAAATTGATGTCCCTTTGATATAGTTCGATATACCTAATAGGAAGTGAAAATCCCAAAAAGATATATTATAATATTATAATATTAGGCCCGTTATTAAAAAAGGCTAGTTTACAGCCTGAGAAGTATCCAGGCCAACAAACCTGATCTTGTCCTTTTCGATAAGTCCAATTGAATCATTGATATTATTGAATTTTCTGTATTTTATGAACTAATGTGATTGAGAAGATTGAGGAAAAATATGGCAAAAATGCGGACCTCGCTTTTGAAATGTCACGCTTGCATCCAAAGTACCAAGTTCTCAGTGCCTTAGGTTTGGTACCTCCCAATCTGTTGACATTGGAAGTGTACCCGGGTTTGCTATCAGTAATACAGCCCTCCTGACAATGGGTAATGCAGAAGGCTGCAGTGTTGGGGAGTCTTCACATTCTCTGAAAAGTTCAGGGCGGGATTGACTAGGTAGCCTTTCCTGGGAAAAGTCCCATTCGTTGCCTGGGCTGCGTGTAGAGGGGGCAGGGGCCCTAAGTTGATGATGTGTCTAGCCAGCCTGACTGTGCCAGGATCACCCAAACCCTCTTTGCTGCATTTTATATTTTAATAATAACAATAACAATAATAATAATAATAATTTTACCCCCCAGCTCTTTTCCAATGTATAACAAGTGGACTCCAAGAATTGGTTGTAAACTTTTCATGAATCCGAAATTTGATTTTAAAAAATTGCTATAGCGTATGAGTTACATCGTTAAAAAACCTTTCAGTAACAATCTTTACAAAAGTAGGATTGATTTCTGTTATGAAATATAACAGTATGATCAATGAGAATGTCTGTACATTTATATTTTTTCCTAAAATATGTTCAATACATAGTAGATCGTTGAAAGCGTATATTCATGATCGTATATTGTCAGTAAACGTTCATTTTGCTTTTGTTTGCAGGTCACGATGGTTCTGGAAGTATAGGTAGGTGTGAGAAAATGTCGCAAATACGTTTTGATACGTAGAATGACGAGGAAGAATACATCTAAATTGATCAAACTGTTGACGGAGTGAGTGAGTTGGGGTTAACACCACTTTAAACAATAGTTAGAGGAGTGAGTGAGTTAGGTTTAAGACCGCTCTAAACAATATTTATATTTCACTTATATTACGTGTGCTTAATCTGGAAGGAAATGGCTCGGTCTGCAGACGTGTTCCAACCTAAATGGGGGACAATATTATATATTTTGTCGTATTCACTTGTAAAATAATATATGTCGCGAGATTGTTTTACCATCAAGCTTTAGCTGATGCTTCAGTATATAAACTAAACTACTGTACAAGATTAATGCGTTCCCTAGGTAACCATGGTAACACCGTTGTTTCTCTTCCAGACTATAACTGCAACGAGTACTGCATCCGTAAGTATTTAACGTCTTCATGTATAGTGTGAGTGAGTATGGCTTTACGTCGCTTTTCGTAATATTCCAGCAATATCACGACGGGGGACACCAGAAATGGGCTTCACACATTGTAACGAAGAAGGGATCATATACACTCTTAAAAAACAACAACGCACAGGTAGATTTGTAGTAAATTTATTGTACCTAATAACGTCGATATATTTATTTCAATATCATAGATACAAATATGAAATTTTCGAGCTCGATAGTCACATGTTGTTGTACAAAGGCATTGAAAACTGTCATGTCATTGTGATGTCACATGAGGCCACAAGCCTGCGCTGAACTCAATATCTCGTCTTACCGTCCCGGGCAGCAATCACGGCTCCGCATCTCCTCGGCACTGACTGGATAAGTGTACGAATTCTGTCCTCCGAAAATCTGCTTGTAACGCGTTGGCCAGTTGTGGGAATGTCTGTGGCGGCGTGTTCTGACGTTGACATACACGTCGATCGAGTTCATCCTAGTGGTATTCGATTGGGTTGAGATATAGAGATCTCGACGGCCAGGGTAAGACGTTGATGTTGGCATTATGACGGTAGTCTACCGTGACACGAGCTGTGTGCGATGGAGCGTTGTCTTGTTGAAACAGCTCTCTCTGGCGGTCAATAATTGGAAGAAGGTGAGGTTGAAGAATTAGATTCATGTCGCGATTTGCTGTATAATGTCCCTGAACCACAACCAACTCAGATCTCGTGGTGTAGGATATGGCCCCCAAAACCATGACACTACCGCCACCGAAATTGTCGAAATCACGTACACAATGTGGGGCAAAACGCTCATTTCGACGACAATAAACAAGTTGTCTTCCATCTCGCCGGTGAAGAAGAAATCGTGATTCTCGGACGGTCTGCAGTGGAATTGGTCTGTGTGTATCGGTCCCAAAGGCGGCAAATGGTGCTGTGGTGGACGTTGAAGTGGCGTGCAAAAGAAGACTGCGATTCCCTCTTTTGGATACGTCCTTTGGCGAATTTTCGATCGGCAGCGCTGAGTCTCGGCATTTTCGAACTTGAAAGATATTGACAATTGAATGACAAATTATTGGCTTATGCTTGCCTTTTTATAGCCACTACCACGAGTTACGAATGCTATAACTTGCACGTGCATTTTGCTTTACAGTTTTCCTCCATGACATTCTGGAACAAGTGTGAAAACGCACCGTTTGTCGAATATCAGGCCACCAACATTTTCCAATAACATGCATCCAATTTATGTATCGGATTTTTTGTGTAGTCAGGTTCAATGAACTACATACTACCTGTGCGTTTCTTTTGTTCAAATTTTGTGTGTGTTTGTAGACCGTTGGGTACAAGTGCCCGCCAAAAACCCAAGGCCGTAGGCCCAAAGGCCAAGGGCAGATTACTGAAAAACAAGTATTTTTTGAAGATATATTTTGCCCTGTTGCTCCACAACCGTTTATCCGTTTACTTTGAAACCTTGCATGTATCTGATGCTTGAGCTGCTTGACATTTTTTGTTCTTTGACTTTGGTCATTGGTCACGTGGTTTGGCAGCCATATTGGATTCAAGGTTTTCACAGGGTGTTTTGGGTACCTGTCTTCAAATACTATCTCCTCTGAATCCACTGCATGAAAAGCTTTCAAACTTTCTGAGAATTGTCTCCATACAGAACACAACAAATAGCCTTAGCCGTTTTTGGATATCTTTTGTAGTTGCGGCCATATTTGATTTTGATTTTTATCATTTTTTTCACCGAAATTTTACTTTTAAGATCATAGCTTGTAAGGTTCTTAACAGAAACTATTGAAAGTTTGCATGAAGTTTTGAGACTATATGTAGCTCATTTTGTGCTTGGTTGCATACTGAAAGCACCACTGCTTGGTGTGGTATTATTTGATTTAAGTAAAAAAATCAGACTTGAGTACAAATACCGAAGGAAGCGCCTCATAAATCTACCATACACCCCCATTCACTGGCTTTGCAGATATCCAAGCGTTCTCCACAGCCTTGTTCGATATTGTGTGTACTACCCTTAATGACCAGGATCAGAATTGGCCTTTTTCAACCGATGCTTGTCTCAAGAGGCAAGTTTGCTTGTCACAGGAGGCGACTAATCCGATTGGGTGGTCAGACTCGCTGGCTTGATTCTTCATTTCTCAATTGCCAATTGCTAGGGTACCTTATTTTTGACGGCGTTGTTTAAAGCAAACCATTTGCAGATTAGAATATGGTCGAGGTCGGAAATTGGTTTAGTACACTCTGGGAAACTGTGGCACACGCCAATTTGGTAATGTCCTGCAAACGGTGACTATCTTTTGACGGAGTTGGTACAAGCAAACCATTTGAGGATTCGAACATGGTCGAAGTCAAACATGGGTTAAGAACACACTGGGACACGTGTGGTGATGTCTCACAAGCGGTTCATTACTTTTGATGGCGTTGGTACAAGCAAACCATATGCGAATTCGAACATGGTCGAAGTCAAACATGGGTTAAGAACACCCTGGGACACGTGTGGTGATGTCTCACAACCGGTTTACTACATTTATGGCGTTGGTACAAACAAACCATATGCGGATTCGAACATGGTCGAAGTCAAACATGGGTTAAGAACACACTGGGACACACGTGGCGATGTCTTGCAAGTGGTTCCTTACATTTGATGGCGTTGGTACAAACAAACCATTTGAGGATTCGAACATGGTCGAAGTTGGAAATTGGTTAAAACATCCTGGGACACCCAGGTCAATTTAGTAGTGGTGATGTCTCACAAGAGGTTCTTTACATTTGACGGCGTTGGTACAAGCAAACCATTTGGGGATTCGAACATGGTCGAAGTCAAACATGGGTTAAGAACACCCTGGGACACGTGTGGTGATGTCTCACAAGCGGTTTATTACATTTAACGGCGTTGGTACAACCAAACCATTTCGGGACTCGAACATGGTCGAAGTCAAACATGGGTTAAGAATACACTGGGACACATGTCATGATGTCTCACAAGCGGTTTATAACATTTAACGGCGTTGGTACAACCAAACCATTTGGGGATTCGAACATGGTCGAAGTCAAACGTGGGTTAAGAACACACTGGGACACGTGTGGTGATGTCTCACAAGCGGTTCATTACATTTGATGGCGTTGGTACAAGCAAACCATTTGAGGATTCGAACATGGTCGAAGTCAAACATGGGTTAAGAACACACTGGGACACGTGTGGTGATGTCTCGCAAACGGTTCCTTACATATGATGGCGTTGGTACAAGCAAACCATTTGAGGATTCGAATATGAACGAGGTCGGAAACAAGTTTAGCACTTTATCTCAGCAATGCGACAGGAACCCGGGGCCCGGACAAACGCAGAACGCAAATCCGTTTGACTGGACCCCAATTGACAAAGAAGTTACAGCCTGTTAAAGAGTCCCCAAGCCGAAAGGCTGAAGAGCCCCAGTGTTATCGTTTGATTTAATATTATTATTATTCCGCCGATTTTTGTACCAAAGCTAGCAAAATAACCACTGGCTCGATTTTGTTCAAATTTTGTATGTGTATGAAGACCGTTGGGTACTAGAGCCCGCCAAAACCCCAAGGCCGTAGGCCCAAAGGCCAAGGGCAGATAACTAAAAATCAAGACTTTTTAAAGATGTATTTTGCCCTATTGCTCCGCAACCGCTTATCCGATTACTTTGAAAACTTGCATGTATCTGCTGCTTGAGCTGCTTGACATATTTTGTTCTTTGACTTTGGTCATTGGTCACATGGTTTGGCAGCCATATTGGATTCAAGGTTTTCACAGTGTCTTTTGGGTACCTGTCTTTAAACGCAAACAACTCCGAGTCCACTGCATGGAATGCTTCCACATTTTCTGAGAATTGTCTCCACACACAACACAGCAAACTCTCATAGCCGTTTTGGGATATCTGTTTTAGTTGCGGTTGTATTGGATTTTGATTTTGATAAAAAAAATTACCGAAATTTTACTTTAACGATCATATCTTGTTAGCTTGTTGACAGAAACTATTGCAAGTTTACATGAAGTTAGTGTATCATATGCATCTTATTTTCTGTTCTTGGGTGCATGGAAAAAGTAACAACCCTTGGTGGTAATATTTGATTATAATTTGGGACACCCCTGGAACACGCCAATGTCCTGCAAACGGTGACTATCTTTTGACAGAGTTGGTACAAACAAACCCTTTGAGGATTCGAACATGTTTGATGTCGGAAATGGGTTTAAAACAGACTTAGCACACACCAATTCCGTAGCGGCAATACCCTGCAAGTTGTGCCTACTTGTGACGGATTTGGTACAAGGAAACCTTTTAAGGATTCGAACATGGACGTTTGTGCACAGTGTAACTTGGAGCCCGCCATTGCTGCTTGCAGCTTTAATTATTATTATTATTATTATTACTATGTACTTAGGTCTGTCCGGATCATGCTATAGTGGTCAGAGACCATAATACTATGCATCTGCTTCATAATTAAATTGTTGGCAGTTTTCGTGTGTTAAACTGTTTCAGTAATCTGTTAATAATATGTTTTTCTCTCATTTTCTAATCGTTGGGTTTTTTTTGCCCCGGGCTGTCGAAAACATTAAAAAGTGTCGCATTCAATGATTTATTTAAATGGCAGATGGCAATTACTGTTGTTGTTGTTGACTTCCCCCAGGCGCACCTGCTGTTTTGAGCTCATTCATAACCAAAAACATTTACCAGCTAAAATTAATCAATGATAACCCTCCACAATGGGTTATATATTTCAAATACTTGATGCAAATGAACAACAAACGTTCATCGGTTATATTGCCTGGGGAATATTGATGTGTATTTCACCTGTCATGCCATGTACAAGGATTATTGGCCATGCCCAGGGCATGCGTGCTGGCGTATAAATGAGATATTAACACCTACTCACTGTTCGTAAATTGTTGAAGCTATAGACAACGCGCAAGTTTGTGATATATATTAAAATGGGTATCGATCATTTAAACGGCATTCGTTCGTATATTAACGAAATCCTGACACTAAAAAGATAATTGTCGAATCATTCTATTTAACGAGATCAGTGTCAGGCTGAAAGGGTGAAGGTCGTAGACATTTACCACTTTGGCGGGTATGGTGCTGACAAACCTAGAAACATAATCAGGGTTGAATCTGGGATTCGAACCCACGCCCATAGCTTCCTGTCTTTCCTCAGAGACCAACAGGGTAATGCGGTACTGTGCTCCAAAATGCATGAGTGAGTACACTGTAAAAATGTTTAGACATATTTAGGAATGTGTTTAATTCCAAAACGGAAAACACATTTGGTGTGTTCTACCTAAACAGGATCAGGGTCTAAACACATGAAATGATCTGAAGTCTCACAACCTAAATACCACCTAAACACAACATCCCCATAATCTAAACATGTTTAGAATTTAAACAGGTTCCAATAAAATGCATATCAAGTCAAACATGTACAAGATGTATAAAATATTTTGAATTTAGATGTGCCAATCAGATCACGGGCACTTGCACAACACAAATACCTACCTACAATAAAGGTATACTTATGAATGTATATTTACCACATTTAGAAGCTGAACACGTTTAGCAGTTAAATACAACCTGAGCACCTCAAAGTTTTGAGACAAGTAACGTGTTCAGGGTTGTGTTTCGGATCTAAACAAATATTTTACAGTGTGTGGTTTTACGCCTCTTTCCAATTTTCCAACATGGTATATAAACCAGAAATAGGCTTCACACATTGTACCCATGTGGGGAATCAAACCCGGGTCTTCGGCCTGACGAGCGAACGCTTAAAGTACTAGGCTACCCCGCTGCCCCCAATATGCATGGTGATATTAAGAGTACTTGTTAAAACGACCCGTGAACCATTTAGAGGGGTAAGGTCGATCTAAATTATCCCGTAAAAGGTTAATGCTATAATACTGGTAAGTGTACATGTAAAATAAAAAATACCGCTTATCGTAAGAATTGAAAAACGACAATCGGCCTATGTGGACTTGTTCTTAGCTCCACTAGGTGTTTCAACTGCCTTGCTTCACTCCCAGTATGGCTGCGTTGTGTCTTGTTTGTGTTAATCCTGAAAGCCAGTATTCGGTCCATACAATTCTCTGTTTCAGCCTGTAACTGCAGCGGTCTCGGCTCGATGCAGTCCAGCGGCTACAAGTGTGACACAACGACCGGCCAGTGTGAGTGTAAATCTCTGGTTCAAGGCAGGACATGCGACGAATGTAAAGACGGATATCACACCTTGAATGGCCTACTTCCTATCGGGTGCACAGGTCAGTATCTTCTGTTGATGTGTAATAATAAAACATTTACTGAATTGTCAGTAACACGATCTTGTCTTTAGTGAGTGAGTGAGTGAGTGAGTGAGTGAGTTGGGTTTTACGTCGTTTTGAACAGTATTAATGTGACAGTGTCGGTGGACCCCATGAGATGCATCTCTCAGACGTTTACCACTTTGGGGAAACCCACGAGTACGGGTAGGGTACTGACAAACCTAGAAACATAATCGGAGCGAACCGGGATTCGAACAAACGATCATAGGTTTCTTTCATGCCGAAGGGATAGCACCTCTGACTGGTTGACTATGATTTTACGCCGCTTGTAACATTATTCCAGCAATATCTTTTCGGAGGAAACCAGAAATGGAATTCACACAATGTACTCATGTGGGAAATCGAACCCGGGTCTTCGGCAGGAGGAACGAACGCTTTAACCACTAGGCTACACACGCCGAATGTAAATTGTGACATTTGACCCCATGACGTTTGATGGGGGGGGGGGGGGGGGGGGGGCGTAGCTTAAAAACGTGCATTCCCAACAATATCTTCATAATCAGCATCGTATTACAGCTGCTGTCATAATGTGGTGACAGTGACCTCTTGCCTTTGCATAAGCTACAGGACCACTGCTAATGTGGTCTCAATCTTTGGGGAGGTAGCCAATTGGTGAGATCGTCAGCTCGTCACGCGGAAGGTATATATACGTGTTTGCAATGTGTGAATCCCGGTCGTGATTTTATCGGAATATTGCCTGAAACCACACCCACTCTCTCGCTCACTCTAAACCCTAGTATCCGCAATCTTGAATCAGGGTAGTCATTAGCTTAGCATGCGACTGTGGCGGAGAAGGTCAAGGGGAGGTAATCGGACAAGAGTTCTACTTCAAGCAGCCGAAACACAATCATGGCGCCCCAAATGGTGGAAGGGGAAAAGTATTCGTTCCAGGAAAATAATTCAGCTCAGCTTTAAACACAAAACAATGTGTGTCACTGGACACAATGAATGCCCTGAAGAGAACATGTTGTAGGGTACACATAATGCTTCATGAATCAAAGATTGCCAACATATTCTGTCTCAAACAAAATTCGCTTGAGACCCAGGGTTGCTGCAAAGATGTTGATGTTGAAAACTTCCTAAATAACAACCTGCAAACAAATTTCATCCTTTCGAAACTTAATATCTTTTTTGGTATTTCCACTCAAAACCATGTAGCAAATCATATTATTATACTAGCAAAAAGATTCATCTACATATCAAACATAAAACAACAAGATTTATCTTTCGAACAATTTCTTTCACTACTAAAAGACTCAATTTGTTTGGAAAGATATATCGCTAAAAAAATAATCAATTTAACCAATATGCTCAGAAATGGCAAAACTTACATCTCATAATCTAACGAAGCAGTTGCAACATATAACCTGTTAATTAGTAATCATATATTTCTTCTAAACAAATATTTATAATCTCCCTCTCAGTTTGAGAAGACGACATATCCTACACAATCTGCCTGTCCTCACCTATGAAAACTATAACTTGTATTAATACTGTCATATATATACATGTTAATACCTACACTTGTAACAATATACATGAAATTGAATAATAAAAAAAAGATTTAAAAAAAAGAAAGATGTTGCGGGTGACGCATCTGTATCTTCGAGTGATGTAATTGTTCAACTTCCGTGCTACACATTTCCTGTTTCTACAGAACATTAGTTTTTGTTTGTTTGTTGTTTTACGCCGCACTCAGCTATATTCTATCTATATGACGGCGGTCTGTATAAATGAGCATCGATCCACGCAATTGTTGAGTGAGTGAGTTGGGTTTAACGCCGCCTTTAACAGTATTCCAGTTATGTCACGGCGTGTCAGCATAACGTTTGGAGGGAAGTCCGAAGTGATGCAAATCTCAGACGTTAACCACTTCGGTGAAACAACGAGCACGGGTATGCTGCTGGATTCGAACCCACAATCATAGGTTTCTGGCGTGCCCAAGGGACGCAGCTCTGCACAGCGAATCGCGGCGCCTAAGACGACTGGGCCCCACTCAGTATCCTGACTCCGAGCCGACCAGTCCTTGTTTTAGACTTTTAGTCCCGTAATGCCGAGCGCCAGACAGGGTACCGACAAGTACCACCTTTTAACGTCTCTTTAACGCGACCGGGGATCTACCACTAGATCTGACGCTACAGGACCTGAAGTGTTATGTTAATACTGTTTCAGCATGCTCCTGTGACCCTGTTGGAACCTACAACAGCTCCAACTTCTGTGATAAACAGACTGGACAGTGCGTGTGTAAGAATAACACACAGGGTAGCCGCTGCGACGCATGTAAGGTGAGGCGGATACTTGCACGTGGAATGATGTGTGTAAGCGGTGTGTGTTACAATCACATGTGTAGGCGGTGTGTGAGATTATGTCGTGTGTAGACATTGATGTGTTTAGGCGGTGTGTGAGACATTAATGTGTGTAGGCGGTGTGTGATATAATGACGTGTGTAGGCGGGTTGTGAGACAATGATGTGAGCAGGCAACTGTTGGGACAGTTATGTGTATGTGCGCTGTGTGAGACAATGACGTGTAGGCTTAGTGTGAGACAATGATGTGTGTAGGCGGGCTGTGAGACCATGATGTGTGTAGTCAGTGTGTGAGATCATGGCTTGTGTAGGCAGTGTGTGAGACAATGACGTGTGTGGGCAGTGTGTGAGACAATGACGTATGTAGGCAGTGTGTGAGACAATGACGTATGTAGGCAGTGTGTGAGACAATGACGTGTGTAGGAGGTGTGTGGGCAGTGTGTGAGACAATGGCGTGTGTAGGAGGTGTGTAGGCGGTGTATGAGACAGTGATGTCTGTAGGAGGTATGTGAAAATATGGTGTGTGTAGGAGGTGTGTGAGACAATGACGTATGTAGGCGGTGTGTGAGATAATGACGTGTGTAGGCGGTGTGTGAGACAATGACGTATGTAGGCGGTGTGTGAGACAATGACGTGTGTAGGAGGTGTGTGGGCAGTGTGTGAGACAGTGGCGTGTGTAGGCGGTGTGTGAGACAATGACGTATGTAGGCAGTGTGTGAGACAATGACGTATGTAGGCAGTGTGTGAGACAATGACGTGTGTAGGAGGTGTGTGAGACAATGACGTGTGTAGGAGGTGTGTGAGACAATGACGTGTGTAGGCAGTGTGTGAGACAATGACCTGTGTGAAGGTGTGTGAGACAATGACGTGTGTAGGCATTGTGTGAGACAATGACGTTTGTAGGAGGTGTGTGAGGCAATCATATGTGTAGGAGGTGTGTGAGACAATGTCATGTGTAGGCAGTGTGTGAGATAATGGCGTGTGTAGGCGGTGTGTGAGACAAACGTTAGTGTTGGCAATTGCTGGGGCAATTATGGGTATGGTTGGTTTGTGAAACAAATAAGTAGTAGTAGTAGTAGTAGTAGTAGCAGTAGCAGTAGCAGTAGTAGAAGTAGTAGTAGTAGTAATAGAAGTAGCAGTAGTAGTAGAATTAGTAGTAGTAGTAGTAGTAGTAATAGTAGAAGTAGCAGTAGTAGTAGAAATAATAATAATAGTAGTAGTAGTGGTGGTGGGTTTTTTTATTTGTTTGCCATTTGAATATTGCTTAAAACAGCATATACACATACTCACTCACTCGATGGAAACCATTTCGAGATGAGATGTTTTCATTGTTTTTTGGTTGTTTCCCAGCCGGAGACATACAACCTACAGCTATCTAACGTAGAAGATGGCTGTACGTCATGTGCGTGCGACGTCGGGGCCGCAGTCAACAACACCTGTCACGTGACTACTGGTGACTGCACATGCCGCAGCAACATCGAGGGCCAGAACTGCACAGCGGTGAAGGCAGGGTTCTTTGTGCCCAGGTTGGACTACTTCACTTACGATGTGGAATTCGGAACATTGAAGGTATTCAAGGATACCCATTGACAAGATAAACCTATTTCTCAATCAACAATGAAGATTATTTTTCCCTAAATTCAATTTGAATAGTGACAAACAAATGTGCAAATGTACCTCCATGTCAGACTGATGCGATCTGATTGGTTCATGTGATCTTGATAAAATACTATGTATCCAGCCCAGGAGGGAAATACATTTTTGAGCGGGAGAATAAATCCTTTATACCCCGCCATGAAGAAGACAGACTGCACATGGAATTCTTAGCGGGAGAATAAATCTCCTATACTGCATAGCAAAATGCTGCACGTTTCCCAAGTCAATGAAAGTCGTGTGACACAGCACAAATTAACCTGAGCTTAGTCGAACAGTGTCTTTTATCAATTTTGAATTGGTTCTTTTACAATGGTAGGTTAAAACATGTTGGTAAGATAAATTAGTTGCAGCAGTATCATGAGATATTATGCAGCCTCCGGCTCTTGGTATAAACCTAACGCGGGACACATAAAACCACATGTACCCCTCGTGATATTGCTACAAACTTATATTAAATATTTTTAAAACGAATATGCCACCTACTGCTTAGTGAAATATAGCTTGACGCTGTGACATTGCTGTATTTAGGGTGGAGTGGTTGAGGAGGCCCCTGGTCATGGCCAGCTCACAGCGGATCTCACAGGAACCGGTTACGTGCAGTTAGCCCCGGGTACTTTCGTTGATGTTGAGGTTCAGTTACCACCCAACCTCATCCGGGAGTTCAAGGTGGTTGTCAGATACAAGGTAACGTCTGTGACAGTTCTTGAAGGTTCTTTTGAACATGTAAGAATCCGATTATTGTGGGTCTAAATCTAAAATTCACCCTGATTAAGATTAAGGAATTATATATTTGTCTGCACCACTACCGCACTTGTGGGTGTCCGTTCTAAGATCTGTATCACTTCAGGTTTTCAATCCACATGAAGCTGACATGCTGTCATTTGAACTATAGTTTATCCCCGATGATTTCCCTTTATTTACAGTCAACAAGCGCGGTCGCAGAGAGCCTGGCACTTCGAATAAGCATGCCGAGTGGTGGAGATTACACATGCGAAGGAACCACCATCACTGCAGCACAAACATGGTCCGAGACGCTGTCTGCACCTGGCCCAGTTCCTAAATGTGAGGTCTAAGGAATATCTTACAGACAACCTTCTCTTCCTTGGCCCATTGCTTTTGTAATACTGAGTATGCATGTAGATGAGTGGACGTGTACATATACCACTCAAAAGAAGTTAAGGACCACCCGATTCTTTCTTGTCACCGTACTTGATCTATTATACCATTAATCTGTCATGGCATTAATCTGTCATGGCATTAATCTGTCATGGCATTAATCTGTCATGGCATTAATCTGCCATCTGTCATACCTTTAATCTGTCATGGAATTAATCTGTCATGGCATTAATCTTTCATAGCATTAATCTGTCATGGCATTAATCTGTCATGGCATTAATCTGTCATGGCATTAATCTATCATGGCATTAATCTGTCATGGCATTAATCTTTCATAGCATTTATCTGTCATGGCATTAATCTTTCATGACATTAATCTGTCATGGCATTAATCTGTCATAGCATTAATCTGTCATAGCATTAATCTGTCATGGCATTAATCTATCATAGCATTAATCTGTCATGGCATTAATCTGTCATAGCATTAATCTGTCATGGCATTAATCTGTCATGGCATTAATCTGGCATGGCATTAATCTGTCATAGCATTAATCTGTCATAGCATTAATCTGCCATGGCATTAATCTGTAGGCATTAATCTGTCATGGCATTAATCTGTCATAGCATTAATCTGTCATGGCAGTAATCTGTCATAGCATTAATCTATCATAGCATTAATCTGTCATGGCATTAATCTGTCATAGCATTAATCTGTCATGGCATTAATCTGTCATGGCATTAATCTGTCATGGCATTAATCTGTCATAAAATTAATCTGTCATGGCATTAATCTGTCATAGCATTAATCTGCCATGGCATTAATCTGTCATGGCATTAATCTGTCATGGCATTAATCTTTCATGGCATTAATCTGTCATGGCATTAATCTTTCACAGCATTAATCTGTCATGGCATTAATCTATCATAGCATTAATCTGTCATGGCATTAATCTGTCATAGCATTAATCTGTCATGGCATTAATCTGTCATGGCATTAATCTGTCATGGCATTAATCTGTCATAGCATTAATCTGCCATGGCATTAATCTGTCATGGCATTAATCTGTCATGGCATTAATCTGTCATAGCATTAATCTGTCATGGCATTAATCTGCCATAGCATTAATCTGCCATGGCATTAATCTGTCATGGCATTAATCTGTCATGGCATTAATCTGTCATAGCATTAATCTGTCATGGCAGTAATCTGTCATAGCATTAATCTATCATAGCATTAATCTGTCATGGCATTAATCTGTCATAGCATTAATCTGTCATGGCATTAATCTGTCATAAAATTAATCTGTCATGGCATTATTCTGTCATAGCATTAATCTGCCATGGCATTAATCTGTCATGGCATTAATCTGTCATGGCATTAATCTGTCATAGCATTAATCTGTCATGGCAGTAATCTGTCATACCTTTAATCTGTCATGGCATTAATCTGCCATGGCATTAATCTGTCATGGCATTAATCTATCATAGCATTAATCTGTCATGACATTAATCTGTCATAGCATTAATCTGTCATGGCATTAATCTGTCATGGCATTAATCTGCCATGGCATTAATCTGTCATGGCATTAATCTATCATAGCATTAATCTGTCATGACATTAATCTGTCATAGCATTAATCTGTCATGGCATTAATCTGTCATGGCATTAATCTGCCATGGCATTAATCTGTCATGGCATTAATCTGTCATGGCATTAATCTGTCATGGCATTAATCTGTCATGGCATTAATCTGTCATGGCATTAATCTGTCATGGCATTAATCTTTCATAGCATTAATCTGTCATGGCATTAATCTGTCATGGCAAGACAGATTAACTATAGTCACATGAAAGAATTGAATGGTCCTTAACTTCTTGTTCCGCCCTGAGAGCGGAAGGTCCGGGGTTCGATCCCAAACCGCGTCATACCAAAAGACGTTAAAAAATGGTACTTGTTACCCTGTCTGGCGCTCGGCATTAAGGGGCTAAAACAAGGACTGGTCGGCTCGGAGTCAGCATACTGTGTCTGAGTGGGGTATTCATGTTAAACTGCGGCATGGTATCTCAGTGAGCTAGCACTATAAATCGGCATCAGTCCGGACTAGTACAAGCAGCCACACACACGAGCATGCATGTTGCTATATAAGTGCAATAATCTTGGACGCGACGTTAAACCCCATTTCACCTCACCTCACCTTAACTTCTTATAGGGGTTCAGGTCCGGTACAGATGTGGGTGCATTTCTTTGTGTGCATATTCCACATCATCCTATGAATTAAGTATGTGTTTTATTTTGGTTTTTTACGCACTAGCTTAATCACAATCGTATATCTTTCCATATATATTCACGAGTAGAATGAATACTTACTTGTATATCGGTATTCAAAGTATGTAGAATTATTCCTATGATTTGTGTATAAGATACTCATATTTTTTTCTTTGGCAGCTTCCCTGGAACTGACGACAAAATTCTGTGCGACTTCTGCCTACAAATATATCATTAATGTTACCGCCACTGCCGGCAACACAGGCAGCATCATGGTGGATTCGGTAAGTGAGTGAGTGAGTAGGTGAGTGAGTGAGTGTGGAGACGCGAGTTTGTGTACGGGGTGGTTGGTCCGCTGAAGTGTGTAGGTGGGCGGAGTGCTTGAAAGGAAGAGGGCACCAATCGTCAACTGTTGAGATGTGTTAAATGCGACACAAAAACCAGTAACTATGTGGCATCTAAACAGGTGCCAAGGGAAGTAACTCCAACTCAGCTAATTCCGCACACGTGTCAAGCAGGACAGTGTCGCTTGACAACGGTATAAAGATCTATACCGAAACGTCGCCTTTACAGTATTGAAGAAGCTGTTATCCATAATTTGTGTCTACTTTTGATTTGGTTTCGTCTGGGAAGATCAGTCTATTGGCACTGAAGGGGTCGTTGTCAGCACAGGTACTTCAGATATGTACCCCAGGTACATTTTTGTACACAGAAATGTACCCTAGACAAAATCAAAATACAGAAACGTACCCTAGGATGAGTCCATTCCGCCGCAGGGGCCCAATGCGCGTAACCGGTTCATCATGTATTCGTCACTTCCTGTGTGCCAAATTCCTCATGGCAGTACGCGTTCGTCAGGAGGAACTTTTGGATTATCTTTTTAAGCTGCATTCCAGCGTATAATTTTGGAAACGAACATACATAGTGACGTACGTACATTAATCTAATATTCCGCGATGCACGCATGCACTCGTTGGTTGGTTGGTTTGTTGTTTAATGCCGCACTCAGAAATATTCCAGCTATATGACGGCGGTCTGTAAATAATCGAGTCTGGACCAGACAATCCAGTGAGTGACACAATGAGCATCGATCCACGCAATTGTGATCGATGACATGCATCAACCAAGTCAGTGAGCCTGACCACCCGATCCCGTTAGTCGCCTCTTACGACAAGCATAGTCGCCTTTTATGGCAAGCAAGCTGAAGATCCATTCTACCCTGGATCTTCACGGGTCGCATGCACTTGTTATCAAACGAATGGGAACTACAACATGAACCGGTTTCGGTTTCGTATTGGGGAATATGGACTCGTCCGCTGTTTAGGTTACCAGGTACGTCTCTGTATTTGTCCCCCGCCGCGCGAAAGCGCGAAGCGGGGGATATAGTATTCACGACCGTCCGTACGTACGTCCGTACGTCCCACCTGTTTGTTGCCGCGATATCTCCAGAACTAAACACTGGATTGTCTTCATATTTGGAACTATGGTGTATATACAAATTCCGCAGACACCAGTCGGTATTGGTGACCTTGACCCCATTTTCAAGGTCACAGCAGGCAAATCTGCTTTTGGAGTTGGAAAACGGTGTTGCAGCGATATCTCAAGAACTAAACACTGGATTGTCTTCATATTTGGAACTATGGTGTAAATACAGACTCCGCAGACACCAGTCGGTTTTGGTGACCTCGACCCCATTTTCAAGGTCACAGCAGGCAAATCTGCTTTTGGAGTTAGAAAACGGTGTTGCCGCGATATCTCAAGAACTAATCGCTGGATTGTCTTCATATTTGGAACTATGGTGTATATACAGACACTGCATACACCAGTCGGTTTTGGTGACCTTGACCCCATTTTCAAGGTCACAGCAGGCAAATCTGCTTTTGGAGTTGGAAAACGGTGTTGCCGCGATATCTCAAGAACTAAACACTGGATTGTCTTCATATTTGGAACTATGGTGTATATACAGACTCCGCAGACACCAGTCGGTTTTGGTGACCTTGACCCCATTTTCAAGGTCACAGCAGGCAAATCTGCTTTTGGAGTTGGAAAACGGTGTTGCAGCGATATCTCAAGAACTAAACACTGGATTGTCTTCATATTTGGAACTATGGTGTAAATACAGACTCCGCAGACACCAGTCGGTTTTGGTGACCTCGACCCCATTTTCAAGGTCACAGCAGGCAAATCTGCTTTTGGAGTTAGAAAACGGTGTTGCCGCGATATCTCAAGAACTAATCGCTGGATTGTCTTCATATTTGGAACTATGGTGTATATACAGACACTGCATACACCAGTCGGTTTTGGTGACCTTGACCCCATTTTCAAGGTCACAGCAGGCAAATCTGCTTTTGGAGTTGGAAAACGGTGTTGCCGCGATATCTCAAGAACTAAACACTGGATTGTTTTCATATTTGGAACTATGGTGTAAATACAGACTCCGCAGACACCAGTCGGTTTTGGTGACCTCGACCCCATTTTCAAGGTCACAGCAGGCAAATCTGCTTTTGGAGTTAGAAAACGGTGTTGCCGCGATATCTCAAGAACTAATCGCTGGATTGTCTTCATATTTGGAACTATGGTGTATATACAGACACTACATACACCAGTCGGTTTCGGTGACCTTGACCCCATTTTCAAGGTCACAGCAGGCAAATCTGTTTTTGGAGTTAGAAAACGGTGTTGCCGCAATATCTCAAGAACTAATCGCTGGATTGTCTTCATATTTGGTACTATGGTGTATATACAGGCGGGGGACATTTCGTCACTTTGTGACAAATACTTGTTTGATTTTGATTCTGAAAACAGAAAGGTACCTGGGGTACATTTCTGAAGTAATTGTGCCGACAACGACCCCTTCAGCTCTATTGGCAGTATATATCCTTTTGTTTCGGAGTTTTATGGATAGATTACAATATATGTATCAATAGGATTGTTATGCCTCCCTATCTCTACGATCTTAATGTACTCGAACTTAGGCGTTGAACCATATATACTCAGCAACAAAAGTTCCTGTGACACCAATATTTTAGTGTATTTTTCAAACAAGTAAAGTTTGGTTTTCAATATTGTAGTACATATATGGAATCAAGGCACAAAAACGCAACTGCTACAGAAAAGCATGCATTCCATGCAAAAGTTGACTTTTATGCAAGCCCCATGCATTTTACTACCCAAGAATGGGTATAAAAACATGTGCGTTAACGGGATTCCATATGCATTGTTTAGCATCGTTCTGACAAAAACCACTCAGAAAAACAACAAAATTACGCAATTTTTCAACATTGCCAAACCTATCCGAAAATGAGCGTCTGCGAGCCATTGGTATTCTTAAAAGCAGGATCGAGTCAACGTGATGTTGCAAGACAATTTAACGTCCACAGAAACACCATTTGGTGTTAATGGCAACGTTGGCAACAGACAAATGCAGTCAGAGACCATCCTCGGAGTGGCAGGCCACGAGTAACCAATAATCGACAAGACAACTGGATTCGAACAACACACCTACGAAATCGATTCCAGCGAGCAACAGTGACTGCAAGAAGCATCCCTGGCCTTCGACAAATATCTTCACAAACCGTACGTCGCCGCCTCAGATGTGCAGGGATTGTCGCCAGAAGACCCGCCAGACGTCCCATTTTGACAGGAAACCACCGTCAAGCACGTATACAGTGGTGCAGACAGCGTCTACGCTGGATGGCCATGCAGTGGGGACAAGTTCTATTCACTGACGGGATTGGTTCGGGGGCGGCAGCGTTATGGTATGGTGTGGGCTTACAGCAAGACAGAGGACCCGTTTGATAGTGGTAGAGGAAAATCTCAATGGACAGCGCTACCGCGACAAGATCATCGGCCCTGTTGTACTACCATTTTTGCGTTGTCATTGCCCAGGCATTTCCTTTCAACATGACAACACTCGGCCTCATATTGCTCGACTTGTTCAGGATTCTCTTCAACAAAACAACGTGAATGTCATCCCTTGGCCGGCTCGCTCCCCTGATCCCCTGATCTCTCACCAATCGAGCACATATGAGATGAGATGGATCAGCGCCTTCGACGTCAACCACATGTTCCACAGACACTCCAGGAATTCGAAACATGCTCCAGCATATATGGACAGATATCCCACAGGACTTTGTGCGGCACCTGGTCAATACCATGAGACGAAGATGTGTTGCTTGCATCGCAACCAGAGGTGGACACACACACTGTTGATTTGTAAATTGACATTTTGAGTCTTTTATCTATTGCAAACTGAAATTGTTTCAGATGTGGTAAAAAACATACCTTTGCATTAAATCTTATTCAATGTCACAGGAACTTTTGTTGTTCAGTATTTATTTGCTGTATCACTTTAAATAAGTTTCGTGTGTCTTTCGCAAGGTTAAGACGTGGCTCACATTGTCTAAGATTAGAAACTGGTAGATACGTGGGCATGCCAAGAAACGAAAGAATTGTGATATGTGTAGCTACAGACATGTTGAAAGTGAATACCATTTTATATTGATATGTAGTGCATATCAACACCTGCAACAATTGTGTGTCCCCAAAAAGTAATATATATTTCCTAGTGTACACAAATTAAACATGTTAATGTCTGAGAACAATTACTATACAAAAAAAATACACAAGAATACTATACAAAATATGGGAATGTTTATTTCCCATGCTAGATTCTAATAATTTGAGAAAAGAAATGTAAACAATTGGCTGTATCACTGTTGCAGCATGTGACATGTACTGGGCTGAAACCCTGTACTTACTTCGTGAATATATGATGGTGAGACTGGCATATGTTTCTGCAGGTTGTGCTTCTACCTGATATTATAAGACTGTCGGCGTACATCAATTCTTCGGACACTGTCAAGTCGGAGATGGACGCCTGTCATGCAGCCAGCAAGGTCGTGGATGTGGCCCAGCAGCAGTCTGGGAACTGCTCCTCCCTGGAATACTCAATCATGGCGGAGTTTGTGAATGGAGCGATACGTAAGTCTTTAAATAGTCATTCACCCAATTCCATAAACCACCATCTTTCCGAGGCAAGGGAGTTAACTGACTATAAAAGTCCAGTTTCCACCCTTGCCGAACTAGGCTGGTATTTATGGAGTTACATTTTGGCTGGACTTACGGGTCTATGCATAGTCCAATCAAAATCGCGCACCGAAATCGAAATCCGGTTTGTAAATCGTCGTGCAGATTTTGGTCGATTGCAGGATTTACAAAGCATGTGCACCGCCAACTCGTTGTCAACAGATATTTTCCAAATCTTTTCTTGTTTTTAATCAAGGTGCTCACATGATTCGATGTACTTCGCGATGTAAGACCCGTTTTATCACAATATAGATCTTGATTTTCGATTAGATCATTTTGACTGAGCGCTGCCATTTGGTTTGAAGCAAATGCAAGTGATGCGAGAAGTGGGATTTGATTGGTCCAAAAGAAGAGGCTTAGAAGGGACATAACATCGAGCCAAGGAAATCCAGCCTAGTTCGGCAAGGTCGGAAACTGGACTTATGAAGTCAGTTAACTCCCTTGCCTCGTGAAGATGATAAACCACAAGATGACTCGCCCCCTATCAGTCAATATCATGTGAGACAAGACAAGGAACCCTGGGTCCCGTTTCACAAAGCAATCTCAGCACTAAGATGATCGTAACACCCATTCTTTAACATAGGCTTATGGCAGTCGTAGCGCTACGATCACTTTGTGGAACAGGGCCCAGGGCCCAGGGGTGTAGCTGGGACTAAATAAAGGTGTAGACACCGAACTGAATACCATAAATATGAGGCCGCAACATGCTGAAGTCAATTAGAGGATGGGTTGATGGTATGCCTAACCCCCAACCCCCAACCCGAGGAAATTTTGCGATTAGAGATTGCAGGATTGCAAATGACTGCTATTTATTGAAACATCTTGTGACAAATATAATGAAACAAACAGGCTGTAGAATTCATTTTAAGTTGTATATTGATTGTAGTTGGCAGTTAGTTTACATAAAATTTAATAATGTTCAATAACTGCATCACTATTAAAGCTGTTTTCTTCATCTGTTACATTCATGATAATTCAGATGTTCAGAAAACAAAATTCTAAAACCAGGAATAGCTTTCATGTGTGATTATACTATAGTAAGTTTTCATTCAACATTCACTCACTCCCTGTTGGTGCTTACAACTATTAAAGTGAGTGTGACACTGTAGTACCAGACTATGCCATGGAGCTGTAAATTCCTCCTTTACCAACATATTGTTCCGATACTGATGCATGATGGGACTTCCTTTCACAGCCTGCGCCTGTGGCAATGGGACGGTGACGGCGTCAGCGACCATGTGCAACCCTATGGGGGGACAGTGCGAATGTCGGGAGGGCATGATCATGCGGGACTGCTCCCTCTGCCAGGTGGACTCCTACGGCACAAACTGCTCAGGTAACCAACATACTCAGGTAACACCAGCATGTTCAGGTAACAGGTAACACAACATACTCAGTTAACACCAGCATGTTCAGGTAACAGGTAACACAACATACTCATTTAACACCAACATGTTCAGGTAACACCAACATGTTCAGGTAAAACCAACATGTTCAGGTAACAGGTAACACCAACATGTTCAGGTAACAGGTAACAACAACATGTTCAGGTAACAGGTAACAACAACATACTCAGATAACACCAACATGTTCAGGTAACACCAACATACTCAGGTAACACCAACATGTTCAGGTAACAGGTAACAACAACATGTTCAGGTAACAGGTAACAACAACATACTCAGATAACACCAACATGTTCAGGTAACACCAACATACTCAGATAACACCAACATGTTCAGGTAACAGGTAACACCAACATGTTCAGGTAACAGGTAACAACAACATACTCAGATAACACCAACATGTTCAGGTAACACCAACATACTCAGATAACACCAACATGTTCAGGTAAAACCAACATGTTCAGGTAACAGGTAACACCAACATGTTCAGGTAACAGGTAACACAACATACTCAGTTAACACCAGCATGTTCAGGTAACAGGTAACACAACATACTAATTTAACACCAACATGTTCAGGTAAAACCAACATGTTCAGGTAACAGGTAACACCAACATGTTCAGGTAACAGGTAACAACAACATACTCAGTTAACACCAGCATGTTCAGGTAACAGGTAACACAACATACTCATTTAACACCAACATATTCAGGTAACAGGTAACACCAACATGTTCAGGTAACACCAACATACTCAGGTAACACCAACATGTTCAGGTAACACCAACATGTTCAGGTAACACCAACATGTTCAGGTAACACCAACATGCTCAGGTAACACCAACATGTTCAGGTAACACCAACATGTTCAGGTAACACCAACATGCTCAGGTAACACCAACATGTTCAGGTAACACCAACATGCTCAGGTTACACCAACATGTTCAGGAAACAACAACATGTTCAGGTAACAACAACATGTTCAGGTAACCAGCATGTTCAGGTAACACCAACATGTTCAGGTAACACCAACATGTTCAGGTAACACCAACATACTTAGGTAACAATTCCAAGCTCAGGTAACAACAACATGTTCAGGTGACAATTCCATGCTCAGGTAACAATGCCATGATCAGCTAACAACAACATGCTCAGGTACCAATTCCATGCTCAGGTAACAACATGCTCAGATGACAATTCCATGCTCAGGTAGCAACATGCTCAGGTAACAATTCCATGTTCAGGTAGCAACATGCTCAGGTAACAATTCCATGCTCAGGTAGCAACATACTCAGGTAACAATATCATGTAAAGGAAAAAGACATGTTCAATAAATAAGATGCCCATGTAACCACACCCTGAAGGACAACGTCATGTTTAGGACACAACACACTCAGTATATAGACAACCAGCAGATTCTAGTACTTCCATGAAATGTAAGGCCACACATTTTGTATTTTTTGTTTCATGGGCCCCATCAACGCAACTGAAAAGCAGCTTGAACAAAAATAAATAAAACATAAATATTTTTATTTTTATTGTGTCTCCCGCTTGTAATGTAGACCCTCATATAAATAATAAAATGTTATATATCAATTCCATGTCTACATCACTGTCAGTGATTCAAGGAGCCAGCTGCAGTTTTAACTCCAAGGCAGATTGACTTTCATATAAATAAATAAATGATTGAGATAGCTATTTATTTTTATTTTTATTTTTATTTTTATTTTTATTTTTATTTTTATTTTTATTTTAGCCGACCTTGTGTGAAAAAGCTGGAATAAATCCATGAAACCTAAAATTAGAAAGTGTGGCCTAATCGTTGATGTAGAAGGGTGTTTTGCTTGTTATGTCAGATGTCATGCTCTTCACTTGCAGCATGCAACTGCAACAGGTTCGGCTCTGTCAAATTATCATGTAATGGGACTGGCGTATGCACATGCCAAGCTAACGTCACGGGTAGCAAGTGCACGGCCTGTCTGCCGAACCACTACGGACTGGTCACAGGTGAGATGCCAAACACATTATTCTCTGACTGATACCCCAACTCCCACGTTAGAGGTTTAAAGTACTGGAAATAATGAAATACCGCACCAAAAAAAACATACACTGTGCTTGTCCATTTGGATAGGTGGGCCATCGATGTACACATGCAGATTATTTACCTTATTTCTTATGGTTTTGGCACCTGTGAAGATCCAGGGCAGAATATGATGCAGGGCATGATATCAATTCTATTATGTTAAATACTCCATATTCATTAGCTACCATAACTTTGTTCTTCAATCTCGTAATCTGAAAATGACCTGTGAAGATCCAGGGTAGAATAGGTTTTAAGCATCCCATGCTTGACGTAAAAGGCGATTATGCTTGTCGTAAGAAGCGACTGTGATTATCATAAGTGGCGACTAACGGGATCGGTTGGTCAGGCTCACTCACTTGGTTGATGCGTGTCATCGTATCCCAAATGCGTATATAGATGCTCATGATGTCAATCACTGGATTGTCTGGTCCAGATTCCATTATTTACAGACAAGGATGTCGTTTGGGGGATTTCAAATATAAACATAAATATTGACCGAAGGTTATCTATTCATAAATCCTAAAGAATCTGTCAAAGTTGTCCCAGCATTGAACACGTTTCATTTACTTTCAACTGTTTGTTTCTGATGTTTTCTGGAACAAATTATTTTCTTGTTAACACTTTAAGACATGTCAGGTAACGACAACCCAGTATTTGTTACAATATACAGCATGTCCAGATAAAAAACAAAATTAACTTTTTTGTAAAACCTGAGATCAAATTATATTTTTCAATTCTATTAGAATATTATTTTCAAAATAATACCAGTCCTTCCATCCCCGCCCTCTTCAATCCCTGAGCTTCAGTCTGAAGCAAGTGCATGTACCGAAATCTGTATGCTTCCAGGGAACGGCTGTTCCCTCTGCACCTGCAACATGGACTACTCCGCCAACAACTCCTGCAGTGACAATGGCCAGTGCTCCTGCAAGCCAGGCGTTGGGGGGCTCCTGTGTGACCAATGCCTTGATGGGTAGGTTCTTCCCTTGCACCTTCAAAATAAATTACAGTTCTATTACCCTATATATTATTACCAGTTTTTTGACGCCATGTTTGTTTGAATGAAGCAAACTGTGGAGCAGTGTTTGGTTAAATATATTTTTAAGTAAAATGTTTGTAAAACTATTAATCTGAAAACCTGTTCTAGGCATCCATAGTCCTTAAATGAATACATGACACTTTTTTATAGAGTGAGTGAGTGAGTGAGTATGGCTTTACGCCGCTTTTAGCAATATTCCAGCAATATCACAGCTAGGGACACCAGAAATGGGCTTCACAAATGGTACCAATGTCAGGAATCGAACCCAGGTCTTCGGCGTGACGAGCGAATGCTTTAACCACTAGGCTACCCGACCGCCCCCTTTTTTATAGATAGCAACTTCTTTTATTCTTTGTACGACGTTTCAGTGATACTTCTTGCTCCTTTATAAAGTGAATGATAAAAAAGAGCAAGAAGTAGTTCTGAAATGTCATAAGAATAAAAGAAGTTGGTGTCTCTAAAAAAGTGTCTTATTTTCATGTTCTCCCAGTTCGATCCCCGGCCGCGTCATACCAAATGACGTTAAAAGATGGTACTTGTTGTTACCCTGTCTGGCGCTTGGCATTAAGGGGCTAAAACAAGGACTGGTCGGCTCGGAGTCAGTATACTGTGTCTGAGTAGGGTATTCATGTTAAACTGCGGCATTGTATCTCAGTGGGCTATTACTATAAATCGGCATCAGTCCGGACTAGTACAAGCAGTACAAGCAGCCACACACACACACGTGCATGCACGTCGCTATATAAGTGCAATAATCTTGGACGCGACGTTAAACCCAATTTCACCTCACCTCACCTCACCTCACCTCACCTCACCTCACCTCACCTCATGTTCTCCCAACTAAATGCCTATCAAAGACTTCCTTAAATGAAGCAGTGATGGACCACTTGTTCTCTTGTCAAATAAAGAGTTTAAGATTATATAGAGGAGTTCTTTAAATAATAAAAATGTTGATATAAATATTTGACACCAGTCAGTCTGACAGGCCTTTATTAGAATATGTAGCATCTGTAACTACAATGCTGCTGAAGATGAGTATAAATTTTGTATATATTTGTATAAATTTGTGTATGCAGATTTACGTCATGAATATCTCAAGGATATACAGTACCCCTCCATTATAACAGGAACTATTTGATACAAATCTGGTAATGCAGGTATTCTTGTTAATGACAGTAACTGTATCAAGGGTGCATTAGCTGTGTGAAAAGTTTGGATCAGTTCTAGACTGGAAGCAGTCCCTGTTTGCGAGGGAATTTTTTTTAAAAATCCAAGATATATTGGTTTTTTTTGTCAGTGTTGTGTTCAGAATGCATAAAAAATTGTGTTCAGAATGCATAAAAAACCTGAAAACCTACCTCTCAATATTTTATATTTTTAATCAAACCTAACATTGTAACTTTTTGGTTGTAAGACATTATTTAGACAACCAACAAACACTTTTTAAGATATATGTATGAGTAACGGTTGCTATCGGTAGGACAGAATATTCTAACCCATTTCACGAACACCTGCTGAATCTTTTAGTATATACTCACCGTGAAGAGAAACACGAACCATAGATACATATAAAAATAATTGTACCTTAAGATGTTTTCAGTTTGTACCATTTGATGACAAACAAACAATCAGTCAAGTGTTTATGCTATCCCGATATGCTGCACGTGATTTCCAACTTTACACACTAATCCTGCACGAGACAAATGGTGCATCTCAAGTCTTTGATCTATGTTCACGAGTGTCGGTTCATACAACATACCAGTATGTTTGTTTGTGCATCAAACCAATTTAATATCTCTTGAGTGAGTGAGTTTGGTTTAACACCGCTTTTAACAGTATTCCAGTTATATCATGCATGTCAGCTTAATGTGGGAGGAAAGCCGGATGTGATGCAGGTCTCAGACGTTTACCACTTCGGTGAAACCCACGAGCACGGGTATGGTGCTGACAAACCTAGAAACATAATCGGGGCAAACCGGGATTCGAACCCACAATCATAGGTTTCTGGCGTGCCCAAGGGACGCAACTCTGCACAGTGAATCGCGGCGCCTTAGACGACTGGGCCCCCCGTGCCCCCTAATATCTCTTGAATATGAGTTATTCTTAATATATTAACCAACATGTATGATATATCCACGTTTCCTTTGGTGGTGAGTACAGTTTTCACAGCTGTTTTGCCTTTTACAGCCGATGGAATCTGTTTTGAAGGATAGTCAAGGCTGGTTATTCATCTAGCATTGACCTTTTGTACTAGATATATAACAAAGAAATGATGACTCTCCATGTAGTTTGTTCCATGCTTATAGGTCATTTAAAGCCAACTGGATATTTGAATGCTTAATCATTTCTCGACCATTTTCTTAAAAATACACACTGATCTGGACATCCTCTCTCCTGTCTCATTTAGTTTCTTCAATTTGACGACAACTGGGTGTACATCTTGCGGCTGTGAGGCCAACGGCAGCAACAGCAACGTCTGTAACAAGACTTCGGGAGTCTGCCCCTGTAGAGCCAACGTGCAGGGAGACAAATGCATGCAGTGTAAAGAAGGTAGCCCTTAGTCCATTCAGTTACCACTCCTTTATCAGGCAATTCCCCATTCATTTAAAGATCGTTCAACTACCAGTCCTATATCAGACAATTCCCCATTCATTTGAAGATCGTTCAGCTACCAGTCCTTTATCGGACAATTCCCCATTCATTTGAAGATCATTCAGCTTCCAGTCCTTTATCAGACAATTCCCCGTTCATTTCAAGATCGTTCAGCTTCCAGTCCTTTATCAGACAATTCCCCGTTCGTTTCAAGATCGTTCATTTATCAGTCTTTTATCAGGCAATTCCCCGTTCATTTGAAGATCGTTAAGCTACCATTCCTTTATCAGACAATTCCCCGTTCATTTCAAGATCGTTCATTTATCAGTCTTTTATCAGACAATTCCCCGTTCATTTGAAGATCATTCAGCTACCAGTTCTTTATCGGATAATTCCCCATTCATTTGAAGATCATTCAGCTTCCAGTCCTTTATCAGACAATTCCCCGTTCATTTCAAGATCGTTCAGCTTCCAGTCCTTTATCAGACAATTCCCCGTTCATTTCAAGATCGTTCATTTATCAGTCTTTTATCAGGCAATTCCCCGTTCATTTGAAGATCCTTCAGCTACCATTCCTTTATCAGGCAATTCCCTGTTCATTTGAAGATCCTTCAGCTACCATTCCTTTATCAGACAATTCCCCGTTCATTTGAAGATCCTTCAGCTACCATTCCTTTCTCAGGCAATTCCCTGTTCATTTGAAGATCCTTCAGCTACCATTTCTTTATCAGACAATTCCCTGTTCATTTGAGGATCATTCAGCTACCATTCCTTTCTCAGGCAATTCCCTGTTCATTTGAAGATCCTTCAGCTTCCAGTCCTTTATCAGGCAATTCCCTGTTCATTTGAAGATCCTTCAGCTACCATTCCTTTATCAGACAATTCCCCATTCATTTGAAGATCATTCAGCTACCAATCCTTCATGTGCCATCACAGCTACCAATCCTTCATGTCCCAATTGCCCATTCATTTAAAGATCATTCAGTTACCATTCCTTTATCAGACAATGCCCCGTTCATTTGAAGATCGTTCAGCTACTAGTCCTTTATCAGACAATTTCCCGTTCATTTGAAGATCGTTCAGCTACCAGTCCTTTATCAGACAATTCCCCGTTCATTTGAAGATTGTTCATTTATCAGTCCTTTATCAGGGAATTCCCCATTAATTTGAAGATCGTTCAGCTACCATTCCTTTATCAGGGAATTCCCCATTAATTTGAAGATCATTCAGCTACCATTCCTTTGTCAGGCAATTCCCCGTTCATTTGAAGATCATTCAGCTACCATTCCTTTATCAGACAATTCCCCTTTCATTTGAGGATCCTTCAGCTACCATTCCTTTCTCAGGCAATTCCCTGTTCATTTGAAGATCCTTCAGCTACCATTCCTTTCTCGGGCAATTCCCTGTTCATTTGAAGATCCTTCAGCTACCATTCCTTTCTCAGACAATTCCCCGTTCATTTGAAGATCGTTCAGCTACCAGTCCTTTATCAGACAATTCCCCATTCATTAGAAGATCGTTCAGCTACCAGTCCTTTATCAGACAATTCCCCATTCATTTGAAGATCATTCAGCTACCAGTCCTTTATCAGAAAATTCCTCGTTCATTTGAAGATCGTTCATTTACCAGTCCTTTATCGGATAATTCCCCATTCACTTGAGATCATTCACCTACCAATCCTTCATGTCCCAATTGACCATTCATTTTAAGATCATTCAGTTACCATTCCTTTATCAGACAATTCCCCTTTCACTTGAAGATCATTTAGCTACCAATCCTTTATCAGACATTTCCCCATTAATTTGAAGATCATTGAGCTATCAGTCCTTTACCAGACCCTCCTCTTGCCAGGATTCTACGGTCTGGGAAGCTGGACAAGTGATGGCTGTCTCAAGTGCGAGTGTTCCGGTCACTCAAGCAACTGCACCACTGCCACAGGGTGGTACCTCACCCGGACGGAGAGTCACTGGACATTGGAAAATGTAAATGCGGCCACTGGTGACCGCTGGACCGGCAAGGATGACCAGGGAAATAACGTGACCGTTGACGACCCGCTGCGACTTAATGAAGTGCCCTCGGACCCCTCAGCTCAGTAAGGATGAAATCATTTGTTTATGATATCAGGAACCTGTTCCACAAAGGAAGCTTAGCACTAAGACGATCATAATTCTCACTCTTTAACATTGGCCTACAGAAGTCATAGTCCTAGGATTGCCATGTGGATCTGGACACCGCGCTGACCTCTGGTGGTCATTCCAAGTGAGTGAGTCAGTCAGTGGAGCTTAGCAGTATAGCAGCGATATGCTGGGGGTAGGCTTGGGACAAGTCCAAATTTCCTCCCCGGTACCCACCACCCTATTACCCGACCCTACCCTCTATATGTCTCAAGACTAAAAAAAAAAAGCACTTAAAAAAAAATGCACCCTGTCACCCTCAACCCCATAATTGGATCCGCATACAGGTAAGAAGATTTTCTTAAATGTTGTGGAGCGGGGGATTCACTCAGGGACAAGGTCAAAGCGCTATTATTACCCCCGTCACTGGATAGGTCACTGAAGATAGGTTTTCAATACCACGCATCCTGTGTGTAGCTGGTCTGGTGTCCTCCGCCATCATATTGCTTGAATGTTGCTTGAGCGGATGTATTAGGATACAAGCACATGCCATTGTATCCATTCCCTTTATTTCCCTCAGTATAGGACATGCTTCCGTGGTGTAGTAGATAGAACATCGGCCTGGAGGGCTGAAGGCTGGTGTTCCAATCCCCGGCCTCATCATACCAATAGACATGAAAAGATGGTACTTGTTGTAACCATGCCTGGCACTCGGCATAAAAGTGATGAAAGAAGGACTAGTTGGCTCGGTGTCAGTTTCAATGTTAAACTGTGGCACATGGTATCTCAGTGGACTAGCACTATAGAAACAGCCTTAGTCCAGAACACACACACACACACACACACACACACACACACACACACACACACTCAGCCACACACTCAGCCACACACTCAGCCACACACACACACTCAGCCACATACACTCAGCCACACACACACACACACACACAGACATACACACACATTAAATATGCACGTCTCTATATCAATGTCATAATCTGGAACGCAAGGTTAAACCCTATCTCAACCCATCTCACCCCATCTCACCCCCTCCTCACACCGTTATTTTTCAGATATGTGATGAGGTTGGTGAACAGTGGCAACAACATCAACCGTCGTCACATGTACTTCGTTGCGCCGGCGAAGTTCCTGGGCAACAAGAAGACGGCGTATGGACTTTCAATGACGATCCAGATGCAGGTGAACGTAACGGAGGTTGCCGCGAACAAGTACAAAGAAGGAGACGTCCTGCTACAGGGCATGGGGCTGCCGTACACTCTCACCACCAGCCTCGTCCCGCCCACAGATGTCCAGATCCGCACCTATGTGGTGAGTTGTAGTCGGAAAAGTAGTTGTCATCGTCATCGTCATCGTCATCGTCATCGTAGTGGTAGTGGTAGTAGTAGTGGTAGTGGTAGTAGTAGTGGTAGTGGTAGTGGTAGTAGTAATAGTAGTGGTAGTGGTAGTAGTAGTTGTAGTAGTAGTAGTAATAGTATCAGTGGTAGTTGTAGTGGAAGTAATAGTAGAGTGAGTGAGTGAGTGAGCATGGTTTTACTCTGCAAATAAGTAAAATGAGGGGCAAATAAGATTATTCATTTCTTATTCAAGTTAACTTTCACAAGGAAAAATGTTTTCTATAAAAAATCCAGGGGGGCAACCGGCTGGGGCACTGGTAGTAGCAGCATCCGCGCTTTATGCAGTCAGTTGTAAATTCAAAAATTTGAAATTTACATCAAACGTGTTTTGAGTGTAATTGAATGATGTTTGTTGCTGCAGCATTGCAAATACGTCACAGCGCCATCGATTATTCAAGACAATCTCTATGACAATATTTCAAGACAATTACTATGACAATCATTCAAGACAATTACTATGACAATCATTCAAGACAATCACCATGACAATATTTCAAGACAATCACCATGACAATATTTCAAGACAATCACCATGACAATCATTCAAGACAATCACCATGACAATCATTCAAGACAATCACCATGACAATTATTCAAGACAATCACCATGACAATATTTCAAGACAATTACTATGACAATCATTCAAGACAATCACCATGACAATTATTCAAGACAATCACCATGACAATATTTCAAGACAATTACTATGACAATCATTCAAGACAATCACCATGACAATTATTCAAGACAATCACCATGACAATTATTCAAGACAATTACTATGACAATCATTCAAGACAATCACCATGACAATCATTCAAGACAATCACCATGACAATCATTCAAGACAATCACCATGACAATTATTCAAGACAATCGTCATGACATTTATTCAAGACATTTACTACGGCAATTATTCAAGACAGTCACTCTGGACACCATATTGACACCAAATTCCGCCATGACCTATATTTCGGTGAATTATGATTATATTGTCTACGTCCCCAGATAAGGATGCACGAGGACAGTTGGATGGTGAACAGTACAGATGGACAGAACGCCACTTATGAGCAGATGATACAGACACTCACGGAGTTGACGTCGTTCAGGATCCGTGCCAAGTTCAGCAATGTAAGTGTAGCAGGGCGTGGAGTCGTCCCACTGGTGACATCCTTACCTTGCTGACAGGGTTAACCTCTTTGGTCATGTGGACAAGGCGTCTCACCTCTGATCAGAAGGTCCGTGGTTCGAATCCCATCACGGGACTCGGACATTTAATGGCCGCTACATAGGCGCCCAACGTGGGACTGAGCATGTTCATATATAATTTGAGCATAATAAGCCTGAGTACCCTACTATGCGGTCCGGGACGTGCCTTCCGTTGACGAGGGAGTATGTTGCAGGGCGTGGAGTCATCCCACAGAGGACATCCTTACCTTGTCAGCTTGCTGATCTTTTGGCAGAGATTTCTTATGAATTTGGAAAGGATTTTATCGCTTTTATTTTCCACATTAAGCGTACATGCCGTGATATGAAGCAGATATGTTCAAACCAACCCACTCACTCATGCCTAGACATATTTGACTATAAATTCAGGCGACTGACGCAGCCTCGGATCTGTTTCGAGTGGTAATGGAACACGCGACCAACAACCAGTCAGCTAGCACAGGGACACCCACCACCAACGTGGAGCAGTGTGTCTGTTCTGTGGAATATGCGGTAAGACAATAACTATATTGAGAATAGGTTGTGTGTCAGTGTGTACTGAGAATAGGTTGTGTGTCAGTGTGTACTGAGAATAGGTTGTGTGTCAGTGTGTACTGAGAATAGGTTGTGTGACAGTGTGTACTGAGAATAGGTTGTGTGTCAGTGTGTACTGAGAATAGGTTGTGTGTCAGTGTGTACTGAGAATAGGTTGTGTGTCAGTGTGTACTGAGAATAGGTTGTGTGTCAGTGTGTACTGAGAATAGGTTGTGTGTCAGTGTGTGCTGAGAATAGGTTGTGTGTCAGTGTGTACTGAAAATAGGTTGTGTGTCAGTTTGTACTGAGAATAGGTTGTGTGACAGTGTGTACTGAGAATAGATTGTGTGTGAATGCCACGACTAGCATAAGGTTACAGTGTGATTGCCACGACTAGTGTAAGGTTACAGTGTGAATGCCAGGACAATTGTAAGGTTACAGTGTGTTTGCCACGACTAGCGTAAGGTTACAGTGTGAATGCAACAATTGGTATAAGGTTACAGTGTGAATGCTACGACTAGTGTAAGGTTACAGTGTGAATGCCAGGACTAGCGTAAGGTTACAGTGTGATTGCCACGACTAGTGTAAGGTTACAGTGTGAATGCCACAACTAGCATAAGGTTACAATGTGATTGCCACGACTAGCGTAAGGTTACAGTGTGAATGCAACAATTGGTATAAGTGTGAATGCCATGACTGGTGTAAGTCTATGTAATGATGTGAATGCTATAACTAGCGTTAGTCTATGTAACTGTGTTTATGCAACAATTGGCATAAGGTTATGTAACAGTGTGAATTCCACGACTGGCGCAAGTACTTATAGAGGTAGGAATGCTTTGACTGTCCATGTGAAGGTATTCACACCATGGTTGCCGTAAGTATATGTAAAGTTGTGAATTTATAGCCATCGTGAGAATATGTAAATGTATAAATAAATGATACGACCCTGTAAAGGTATTGGTGTGACAACCGGGGTAAGGCTTGTAAAGGTATTATTATTTCAACTCCCATATGTCCATTTAAATGAATGAATGCCACTATTGTTTGACATCTATGTTAGGGTTGAGTGTTTGATGTCTGTATTACGTCACATCGTCATAGATAACATATGACATTGAGAAAGAGTTTGTTTCCTCGCCACAGGGTTCAGGCTGTGAGAAGTGTGCTACCGGCTACCGTTGTACAGTTGCCTTCAGTGGGCTGCCGGGGGTGTGCGAGAGCTGTCAGTGTAACAAAGATGTTTGTTTCCTCGCCACAGGGTTCAGGCTGTGAGAAGTGTGCTGCCGGCTACTGTCGTACAGTTGCCTTCAGTGGGCTGCCGGGGGTGTGTAGGAGCTGTCAGTGTAACAAAGATGTTTGTTTCCTCGCCACAGGGTTCAGGCTGTGAGAAGTGTGCTGCCGGCTACCGTCGTACAGTTGCCTACAGTGGGCCGCCGGGGGTGTGCGAGAGCTGTCAGTGTAACAAAGATGTTTGTTTCCTCGCCACAGGGTTCAGGCTGTGAGAAGTGTGCTGGCGGCTACCGTCGTACAGTTGCCTACAGTGGGCCACCGGGGGGGTGTAAGAGCTGTCAGTGTAACAAAGATGTTTGTTTCCTCGCCACAGGGTTCAGGCTGTGAGAAGTGTGCTGCCGGCTACCGTCGTACAGTTGCCTACAGTGGGCCACCGGGGGTGTGTAAGAGCTGTCAGTGTAACAAAGATGTTTGTTTCCTCGCCACAGGGTTCAGGCTGTGAGAAGTGTGCTGGCGGCTACCGTCGTACAGTTGCCTACAGTGGGCCGCCGGGGGTGTGCGACAGCTGTCAGTGTAACAAAGATGTTTGTTTCCTCGCCACAGGGTTCAGGCTGTGAGAAGTGTGCTGGCGGCTACCGTCGTACAGTTGCCTACAGTGGGCCGCCGGGCGTGTGCGACAGCTGTCAGTGCAACAAACATGCCGTGTCATGTGACCAGGAGACCAGCGTGTGCACGTGCAGAGACAACACGACAGGGCCTCATTGTGAGACTTGTCTGCCAGGTTTCTATGGAAACCCACTAGCCGGGACTCCAGGTAGTCTATGATTGAATTATGTTGGTGATGTTCTTACATGTTTTGTTGAACAATCACAATCTCATTAAAATCAGATCTTAGTTCTCGCTACCGCTAAACAAAGATCTGAGGACATCACATTACAGGTCATGTCAGTGTAGCAGGGCGTGGAGTCATCCCACAGATGACATCCTTACCTTGTCAGCTTGCTGACGGGGTTAACCTCTTTGGTCATGTGGACAAGGCGTCCGACCTCTGATCAGAAGGTCCGTGGTTCGAATCCCATCATGGGACTCGGAAATTTTATGGCCGCTACATTGGCGCCCAACGTGGGGCTGAGCACGTTCATATTAAATTTGAGCAAAATAAGCCTCAGTACCCTACTATGCGGCCCGGGACGTGCCTTCTGTTGACGGGGGAGTATGTAGCAGGGCGTGGAGTCATCCCACAGATGACATCCTTACCTTGTCAGCTTGCTGACGGGGTTAACCTCTTTGGTCATGTGGACAAGGCGTCCGACCTCTGATCAGAAGGTCCGTGGTTCGAATCCCATCATGGGACTCGGAAATTTTATGGCCGCTACATCAGAACGACCTTTCGTCCAACCAATCAGAGCGTCGCCTACCAAATCATGAAAGTGAAAGTTGGAATGTGATTTCTAATCATGCGAACTTGAAAAATTTAAAACGGGGTATTCCAAACAACAGTTACAGGCTTTTTGACTGAATCCATACAATCTAGACCATCTATTAGCCATTCCAGAATGTTTGTTTGTCCCGTTTTGAAATTTTTAATCCAGAAATTGTCAAAATATGTTTCAAAGCATAGTCACCAGTTTGAAACTAGTGCCGTAAACCAAGAGAATGCTGCCTTCTGATTCGCTAATGCTGACTTCTTATCAATCATTCCATTGGTCGGTCAAAATTTGTAAAAGTTTGTTCTGATGTGACCCATAATGGGATGTCCTCGTGTGGGTCCTGAGTAGGACTCGGGTACCCACAGGCGTACCTAGACCCATGGTTTTTCACATGATATATTGTTTAAAAACAATAACAATAAAAGTCGCTCATGTTTGCATTTCTTCACATTGTCTCAGACTGTTATACATTTGATTAAAGACGTAACTTCAGTGTATGCATGATCTGATCATTTTGTATGTGTCTATAAAACAATTCCCAATCTGACATTGTGTACCCAACTCTTGAGGCCTACAGCTGCTACCTGGGTAGGGTCGGGAAATAGGGAGTCAAGTACTCGGATCATAAATCATGGGCTCGTCCCAGCCCTACTCTAAATGGAACTTGATTTGATAAATATTGAAAAAAACATAATATATAATTAATATGGTATCCATTTTGCTCTGCCCAATGGCATGATTTTTTTTCAATTTTGAATTGAAAAAAAATAAAAATACTTATCAAGAAAGGTATTCATGCTGAGACAGAAGTCCGAACGACTTCTCTGTTCCAATCCCATTTAACGACTTTTTCAACCAATGAGATTGCAGCACTCTCCTGTTCATTGTACAATTCTTTTTCATCGCCTGGAAGAAATATTTGATTACAATTGTAAGATTCATCTTGCAGGAGACTGTAAGCCGTGCACTTGCCCAGGGAATGTAATCGCAAATGACGTGAATGTGTTTGCCATGGAGTGCAGTCTCAACACGACCTCGGGGGGTCCGACTTGTATCAACTGTACTGTCGGCCATGAAGGCGAAATGTGTGAATCCTGCATACAGACATATTACGGACAACCTGCAAATGTCACAGTTAGTATATCCAACCGTACATTCCCCACACATATACTGAACAAGAAAAGTTACGGATCATGAATAATTTTGGACATTTTTTTAATTATGTGCTCAGTATTCACTTCAAAAAGATTTCCCAAAAAATATTTCATGATCCCCATATCTTTTTTGTTCAATATACAACATGTAAGTCTAATGATTGGTCGTTATTTGATCACATGTAACAGGTTGATAAGTCAAGCACACAGGATTGTGAGGGCTAGGGATGGCTATTGATACAGATCATAGAGATTAATAATCATTAACTAAATATCAATCAATTATCAATAAATATCAGAGAAGTAACTGTGAGCAAAAATCAAAATAAATTCTGAAAGAAATTAAAATATTTCATATGGCACATTTATGCAGGGATTACTTTGTGGATGTTTGAGGTATAACAAGACAGCTTCTTTCCATCATCAGCAATTGACATAATTGACAATAACATGTCTGTTTTGGTAAAACTAAACTATATTTAATCCACCTGTGAAGATCCGGGGTAGAATAGGTCTTCAGCACCCCATGCTTGCTGTAAAAGGCGACTATGCTTGTCGTAAAAGGCGACTAACGGGATCGGGTGATCAGGCTCTCTGTCTTGGTTGATACATGTCATCAGTCCCAATTGTGTGGATCGATACTCATGATATTAATCACTGGATTGTCTGGTCTAGACTCGATTATTTACAGACCGCCGTCATATAGCTGGAATATTACTGAGTGCAATAACAACAAACAAACAAAACTATATTTAATCACAATAGTTTATGTGAGATATTATTGATGACACAATAATGTTGATAATCATTGATATGTCTTCCCATCGACAATAATTCTGATTATTGATCTGTTTTTTATTTTTTGTTATCTCCGAAAGGAGGAACCACACACAGTCTTTGGACCCACAATGCACTATTTTCACAACATCCAGTATATCCTATTTTTATTGTGTAAAACATGTCAGTTTATATTTTTTTCCACCGTTATCCAGATCAGATGTTTTCCAATCCCATTGCCTGTAAATTGGCGTGCTTGTGGGCAACTACAAGTTAAATTACATAGCTCAAACTTTGAGATAAACAAACAAAAGCAAATTTGAATCATCTTAAATGCCTTGTTGCAGAACAATGACGGTAAATGTAGAACATGTTCCTGCAACAGCCGATCTGAAAACTGCGACCGTCTGACCGGCACGTGCATCGACTGCCGCGACAACACCACCGGCCAGCAGTGTGAAGAATGTGCCCCCTCCTTCTTCGGTGACCCCTCAAAGGCCCCCTGCACACGTGAGTACACAGTGGGCGTCAGTGAAGGTTGCTTAGCGCCAGCAATATTCAAGATGACACGCAATCAGCTAGGCCATACACTGTGTCCACCAACTTTCATTTGTCACCTCCAATGACAAGCTTTGGCAACTGCATCTTCCGAGACAAGAGGATTAACTGACTTTAAAAGTCCAGTTTCCACCCTTGCAGAACTAGGCTGGAATTACTGGGCTCGATCGTAGCGCCGCCAGTGGCTATTACCAGTTATGTCCCTTCTAAACCTCTCCTATGGACCAATCAGATTCCACCGCTCGTATCACTTGTGTTTGCTTCACACAAAATGTTGGCACCCAGTCAGGACGATCTGATCTATAATCAATATCTATATTGTGATAAAACAGGTCTTACATCGAGAAATGCATCAAATCATGTGAGCACCTTGATTGAAAACATGAAAAGATTTGGAAAATATCTGCTGACAACGAGTTGGCAGTGCACATGCTTTGCAAATCCTGCAATCGACCGAAATCTGCACGACAGTTTCTGAACTGGATTTCAATTTCGGTGCGTGATTGTGATTGGACTATGCATAGACTCTTTAGTCAAGCCAAAACGTAACTCCATAATACCAGCCTAGTTCGGCAAGGGTGGAAACTGGACTTTTATAGTCAGTTAACGCTCTTGCCTCGGGAAGATGTAACTGTCTATAAAAGTCCAGTTTCCAGTTGCCGAACTAGGCTGGAACTCAGGAGCTACATTTTAGCTGGACTAACGAGTCTGTGCATAGTCCAATCAAAACTGCGTAACGAACAAGGCATCCAGTTCGTAAACAACATGGATTTCAATGTGCTGATTTCAGTCGACTGCAGGATTTGCAAATCATGTGTACCGCTAAGTGGGCATCGACAGATATTTTGTTTAAAGCAACTGCAAGTGTTATGAGAGGTAAAATCTGATTGGTCAACAGGAGGGACATTAAAGGGACATAACTTGTAATATTCACTGGTGGTGCTACGATTGATCCCAGAAATTCCGGCCTAGTTCGGCAAGGGTGGAAGCTGGAATGTTACAGTCAGTTAAGCCCTTGCCTCAAGAAGATGCTCACTTGATCACCTGGCAACTGGAGATCTAATCTTCTCTGAATGGAGAGTGCACTGAAACATGTTACATACACAATACCCCAAGGAAAAAAATGATGGCCAAGCACTAGGAAAACATGAGAGAAGTTGTTTATGTTGTCATTTTTTTCTGATCACTTGGTCATTCCATGACGTACATATTATAAAGCTGATACGTAAAATATGTAATACATTGTAAAGTTACTATGTCTTACAAAATGTTTACCTTGTATCTTGTAAAGTTTAAACGTATCATACAATGTTTACCTGTATCTTGTGAAGTTCAGACACATCACCTAGGGTTTAAATGTATCTTCTAAAGTTTATACATATCTCACAGGGTTTAAATGTATCTTGTAAAGTTTATAAGTATCACCAAGGTTTTAAATGTATCTTGTAAAGTTTATACGTATTACACAGGGTTTAGATGTATACTCTGAAGTTTATACGTATCACACAGGGTTTAGATGTATGCTTTGAAGTTTATACGTATCACACAGGGTTTAGATGTATGCTTTGAAGTTTATACGTATCACACAGGGTTTAGATGTATGCTTTGAAGTTTATACGTATCACACAGGGTTTAGATGTATGCTTTGAAGTTTATACGTATCACACAGGGTTTAGATGTATGCTTTGAAGTTTATATGTATCACACAGGGTTTAGATGTATGCTTTGAAGTTTATACGTATCACACTGGGTTTAGATGTATGCTTTGAAGTTTATACGCATCACACAGGGTTTAGATGTATGCTTTGAAGTTTATACGTATCACACTGGGTTTAGATGTTTACTCTGAAGTTCATACGTATCACACAGGGTTTAAATGTATGCTTTGAAGTTTATACGTATCACACAGGGTTTAAATATATCTTTTAAGTCTATATTATGCATAGTATAGAGCCAGCAGAAAGCTTGTCCCGTTTTCTCCAAGTAATGACGATACTGAAATGTCCATTTTACAGCATGCACCTGCACAGTGTCTGTGGGTGCAACTGGGGAGTGTGACAACAAAGATGGCCGCTGCAAGTGCAAGCCCAACGTTGAAGGATTTCAGTGTGACAAGTGTGTCGTGAACGCCTACAACTACTCAAGTGGGGAAGGGTGCACTATGTGTGACTGTCACAATCTTGGCGCCACAAGTCAGCAGTGTAATATAGTAAGTATACCGACCAGTAAAACAGACACATTGTACCAACCCCGTTCCTTAATGTGTCTGGTTAATACAAATACAAGTACAGTGAAGTTAATGTGACTGGAACTTTTTTTCGATTTTTGACATGACTCTTTTGTAACAAAGGTTATATTTGGGATTACACTTTCTTCGTAAAGTACAGATTCTTGTCCCATTTTGGGTTGAGTCCCATACAGGATTCAAACCCACACTGCTAGAGTGAGGCACCTGAGTCACACAACATCAGCGATCTAACCCACAAAAACCACCAAGGCTTCCACAAAATAAACGTCTGACAACTGGTAGTCTAGATCACATACTTTGTGTACCCCTCTGACAAGTGTTAATTGGCATGGGTCCCACTTTCTAAATGGCGTTGTGTGTTCATGACTCTCTTGTTCAGATTAATTTTTATTAGTACCGGGATGTCATGTTGACACTGTTTGTAACTACGGATTACTCAACACTGCCAAAATATAACTTCATCCTGCAACAGATATTTTTAATATATACAGTAAACTACGGTTACAGCAAACTCAAAGAGACCACTAATTTTAGTTTGTAATAACCATAGTTTGTTGTAAGCATATACAGCATATATATTTGGTCTCACTCAAAGCATTCGGCAACAGAACTTTTGCTCACACTGCATCTGTGCTCTGGAATTCCCTTCCAGTGGAAATTAGGCATTCTCCAACTCTGGACACTTTCAAGACAAAACTAAAGACTTATCTCTTTTGATGTGTCTATGACCCTGTGTGAGGCGCTATGAGCGACTACGTAGACGGAAATGTCGCTGAAGAAATGGACTTTATTATATTATTATTATATACAAAAAATGGTCTGGATTAAAAAATAAGTGGTGGAAACTGGACTTTTAAAGTGAGTTAACCCTCTTGCCTCGGGAAGATGCTCTGAAACAAGGAGCCAGACAGTTTCTTTTTCTTTCCCCAAATCTTTTTACGACATCAACATCTCCTGCAAACTATTATCTCTTTTTGGGGTATAAAACTTGAGGACAGTGGTGAATGTGAATGCACTGTGGAGAATACAGAAGTTGAATTAAAGTTTTGATGTGGAATGAATTTGGATCTGAAAATTCAATGAACATATTATACATTCAACAGATAACATCGTTCGTCAGTAATCAGGATGTTTGTGTTGTGAAACTGCAGGTTCTGTTGTTAATACCAGTGACGTCATACGAGTCAATATGTGTTGTTTGCAGACGTCAGGGATATGTCCGTGTCGTACCAATGTTAATCAACGGAGGTGCGACTCCTGCGCTGATGCCTTCTGGAATATCAACGTCAACAGAGGATGTGATGGTGAGTGTGGGACAGGGAGTTGGATTCAACTTTGATCTGCATATAAATTTAAAATGTGAACGCCAGAGAAATATCAGTCCCAATTAAGCCACGTCACCGTGTGTCAGCTTATACATGTAGTAAGAAATATGCCACAAAGCATAGTTTTGGGTGCCATGTGTAGCATGGAATATGACGTTAAATATTTCCTGAATTGATAAATAGGCATTACTTTTTGACAGATGACCAAGTAGACACAAGTTATGGATAACAACTTCTTTATTTACTGTATAACGTTTGGGTATAGATTGGTATATATCCGTACACCGTTGTCAAGCTTGACTTTGGTATAAGGATTCATACCGAAACATTGCCTTTACAGTAAAAAAAGAAGTTGTTATCCATAAATTGTGTCTACAGTAAACAACAGTCATAACGAACTCAAAGGGACCAATAATTTTAGTTTGTTATAACCGTTGTTCGTTATAAGCATATATACAACATATACACAGCAAATGTCTGGGACAAAAAAAAAGTTTGTTATATCCGCAAGTTCGTTATAAGCTTGTTCGTTATAAACATAGTTTACTGTACTTTGAAAATATTTCCTTTTGAAACTTTGCATGCACTTCAGGAACTTTGCTGTTCATTTCTTCTCGAAATGTTTAGTCCTTTTGCGTAAAGGTATATCTTATGAACGATACCAAGCGACTACTTCTGAACTAAGCCAACTAGTTGGGTGTCCCATGCCTGAATAAAAAAACATGTGTAAGGACATATATAGAGATCATTATGGGAGCATACTGCTTTTACGAAATGAGTGTCTGAATTCTTATATTCCCCCAGCGAATACATAAATGCTTATAAAAAATTTGCAACATCAGTATGACACACATGCGAGTGTAATAATTTCATTATTACCACATATTTCTTTAACCTTTTGAGCTCCCCTTTCGAAAAATGCACTGATCACAACCGCCATCCTAGAAAACTACAATTGTCAAATGACGTCAATAATCTTCAACTATGACATCATTTCTAGTGTGATGTCACAGAACAATTCGCATGACGGCAACTAGGGCTGGGACGAGTCCAAATTTACTACCCGGTACCCACCCCCCTGTTACCCGACCCTACCCGAGTACTCACTGTAGGTCTCAGGATATGTCTCAAAATGGGAACATTTTTAGCATAGCCCTAGCAAAACGTATTTAGATGCACGTATTAAACAATCTGTCTATTCAGTTGAGTTGAATTAAGTTATATCTGAATTCAACCATATGAAAAATTAGAAGGAATAGGTAAATAGTCAGAAAGAAATGCAAACATTAGTGACTTGTAGTGGAACCTTAGATTTCTAGATAATTTTTGTCATTAAACAATATATCACGTGACGAACCACGGGTTCGAGTAGTCCTGTGGGTACCCAGGTCCTACTCAATACCCACCCGACCCGGGTACCCGAGTTACCCGTCCAAGCTCTAGCGTCAACTTTGCCGTCCGGGTGACGTATACAATACATTGGTGTGCATGAAGTGATATTTGCACAAGTGCATATACAATTTTTTATATACTGGTTACATGGGTAATAAAATTAATGCTGCATCCTCCTCCTTCCAGCCTGCCTCTGTGACGTACAGGGGATGCTGCCAGAGTCTGCCGGCAAGTGCAACCTGACGTCGGGACAGTGCACATGCAAAAACTCTGCCTTCACTGGAATTAAGTGTAACACTTGTTCTCCAGTGTTCTTTGGTAGGTGCACTTAACTCTCCAGTCAGGATAAACAGCATACATGATATACTGTGTAGGCACACGGAAACATAGGCAGATCCTTAAGACATAAGATCTTAGCATACATTACACTCTGTAAAGGCACACAAAAACAGGCACATCCTTAAGACATAAGATCTTAGCATACATTACACTCTGTGTAGGCACACAAAAACAGGCACATCCTATAGACATAAGATCTTAGCATACATTACACTCTGTAAAGGCACACAAAAACAGGCACATCCTGTAGACATAAGATCTTAGCATACATTACACTCTGTGTAGGCACACAAAAACAAGTACATCCTTAAGACATAAGATCTTAGCATACATTACACTCTGTGTAGGCACACAAAAACAGGCACATCCTGTAGACATAAGATCTTAGCATACATTACACTCTGTAAAGGCACACACAAACAGGCACATCCTGTAGACATAAGATCTTAGCATACATTACACTCTGTAAAGGCACATAAAAACAGGCACATCCTTAAGACAAAAGATCTTAGCATACATTACACTCTGTGTAGGCACACAAAAACAGGCACATACTTAAGACATAAGATCTTAGCATATATGCCACTCTGTGTAGGCACACAAACACAGGAACATCCTTAAGACATAAGATCTTAGCATACATTACACTCTGTAAAGGCACACAAAAACAGGCACATCCAGTAGACATGACATCTTAGCATACATTACACTCTGTGTAGGCACACAAGAACATAGTCACATCCTTTAGACATGACATTAACATAATGCCTTGTTTAGGCAGATGAGAACACAGTCACATCCTTCTTTATACTTATTGGTCAAATTACATGATTATTAAACATGTGTCCTTTGTTTACAGGAACCTATACATACATCAACCTATTTTCCCTTGGTAAGTTCATCAATTTTTTAAACAATGCTCTGAAACAACAGTGAGTGAGTTGGGTTTAACGCCTCTTTTAACAGTATTCCAGTTATATCACAGCGTGTCAGCTTACTGTGGGAGGAAAGCCTGAAGTGAAGCAGGTCTCAGACGTTTACCACTTTAGTGCAACACACGAGCACGGGTATGGTGCTGACAAACCTAGAAACATAATTGGGGCGAAAGCGAATCAAAACCCACGATCATGGTTTCTGGCGTGCCTAAGGAATACAACTCTGTACAGCAACTTGTGGAAGACCAGGCCACCTGCATGCCAAAATCTACAGTGAATGCTAGGATAATGATAACATATCTGTAATAATAATAATAACGTATTTGACGTAATAAGCGCCCAGGACGCTGTCAAAATTAGAAATAGGGGGCTCTTATTAGAATATAATTTTGGTGAGAGAAAACATTGAGTTGAAAGATTGTAATATGCGCCCACATTTGCTAATGTATTAAATAGCTTGTGAACAATCCCAATTATCACCCCTCTGGATTGATCAGTGTACACAAAACCTATTTATTCGCGTATAATACACACTCGTGTGTTATATGCACCCTTAATTATGGGCAATTAAATTCTGGAAAAAATATCTGTTGTGTATAATACGCACAGACTTTTCTTTTTTATCATTTCAGGCTGTTAGCATAAACCACGAAATTTACGAATTCTACAGGGATGCAGCTGATGAACTGGGCGATCCTAAACAAAATGCTTTTTGTTTTCAAATCCAACTCATTCTATTTCATATAAATTCATTTCAATGAATACTATATTCCCTCATCAAAATAACAGTTGTAGGAATTATATCCATGGTATGTGTTATGGTGATCCTTCAGGTTCATTTCCCAACTGCGGGCTGTGTGGCCAGTGCTTTGATGGATGGGCCAAGAAGATAGACGCTCTGGGAACGGAGGTGTACAAGCAGTTCAACGATACTGATCAACTATGGAGAAACTACAGTAAGATCCAATACATACTTGAAATATTTCACCCCCATGGGGGTCTGGGTTAGACTAGGACCCAAACAAACATATGAGTCGACTAAATGGACAGGTGGTCAGGCTCGGTGAACTATCAAAATTGCTTGTTCCTAAAACAAATAGGAACAGTAACCATGAATAAACCTCTATAAGTATTTTCAAGAGACATGAATTAGCAACATCATTACAAGTTATGCCATGAATGAGAACGACTGTAACTGCAGTTTGGAGGATGCGGTCAGTTCAGTAGTGGATCAACCTTTAAGACTGAAATCAGCACATGAAACTCCCTTTAGTTTTTCAGAATATCACACTTGTCAATCAATATTGTGTATGACCACCACGATCATCAATGCATGACAAAAGGCAGAAGATGTGAGACGTCTAATGACAGGAAAAGAGAGTCAACGCCATTCTTCTTGGAGGGGCCAGCCATTTCACATTCTGGGATTTTATTGAACAAATAAATTGTACCCGAAAATGCTAGAGAAAAAAATTATACTGTTGAAAAAAATAAGGAATTGTCTACCACAAAAATAACATTGTTGCAAGGTGTTGTTTTTAGAAAACAAAACTTAGGCTCACAGTTTTAATGGATAAAATAGCTGGTTCTGCAGCTATAGCGGAACAAATATTCAGCTTCCATACATAGTTTCCAGATGACTTTTATAAGGGCTGCTACCTGGTTGTACTCTAGTTTAACAGTCAAGATGATCTCACAAATGTTGGTGACAGGCCAAGATGATACAGGGCAAAGAAGTCTGGAATATGTCTTTCTAAATCACTAGATCTGTGTTGACTTGGATTCAGATACAGCCCCAAGCCATAATGCCACCACCTCTAAACGGTTCGATGTCTTGAACACAAAAACGTGACATTCATGCTCCTCGTCGGTGGCAGACACGAACTCTGCCATCTGCTCTGAAAAGCTGGAAAAAGGCTGCTCTAATCTTTGAAAACGACTCTTTGCCAGTTTCTGTTCTGCAGTATTGCAGTGTTGGAGTCCAACAATGTCTTCGATTGCAACTTCTTTAAATCAAAATATCGTTTAAGATGATTTGGTCTCGGAAGAATTAATTTCTTAATTATTATCAGCACTACACATGTTTTGAAGTTTGGATAACTCGACTGATTGTATGTGCGATGCATTTCCAAGGTTTCCCTGTGCAAAGGTTAATCTCACATGGGATCGTGTTATGTTAGCGAAATGTGATTCCATATTGTTCTGCATCATAAGATGTTTACATTTCACATGTTGAGAAAATGAAATGCCTGATGTTTCCTGCAGACAGATGGAAGGTGTCTGATGCAGCCCCTAAACTCGCCAGCATGCGCTCAAACATCAGCCTGGCACAGGGCTCCATACAGCGCGCCGGGAACTTCACGCAGCTCTTGTCCGGACTTCAGGCAGACCTTCAGAAGGTATGGTAGAGTGTGAGGTGGAGGGGCAAGATCTGGGTGCTCGATAGATAGAGACCAGATTGGTTTTGGTTTACAATGAGAAATTGTGAAGTGAAAGAGGTTCGGTAAGCTTAGAGAAAAACAAAATTTGGCGTATGGATAAACAAAGATCAACACATGGATAAACACACACACACACACACACACACACACACACACACACACACACACACACACACACTGGCATGCATGTTGCATATAAGGGATATAATCTTGAACGCAATGTTAAACCACCTCAAATTTCACGATATGGCTGAAATTTTCATTCTTTTGTCAAATAAACCGTTAGACAAGTAATCACTGTTACAGACTATGTTTCAACAGGTATCAGATCGAGTGGCAAATCTCAGCAGTGACGTGGACCGCCTCCAACTTCAATACAACACAGCAAATGCCACCTACAACACTCTCCGCACCTTCACCGGGACTGTGGACATTGACAACGCCACCAGCGTGTCTGAGCAGTCATTAGAGGCCAACGTCAGAAATCTGTCGGCACTGATCGGAAGTGAACACACCGATGGAAACACCACGTGGCAGGAGATACTGAAACTATCCATCCTCGTGGGGAGCACGGGGGACCAATCTCGGGTGCTGCAGTACCGCGTTGACAACGCCATGAGAGAATTGGCAGCCGCCATGCAAACATTCAATCTGATGATCAACATTTATAATGCGAGTTTCCTGTACGGATATAATACGAATGAAAATGCCTTGACTACTGCCAAAAACATAGTTGCAAAAGCAGAAAGTGATTACAACAGATTGATAGAGATTCTCAATGGTATTGCAGCACAGAACATGACATCCAGTGCTATAATTGACGGTCTGAGCGCTCAGTCCTCCACACACAGGGACAATATGGCGGCAGTTAGCACATCGAGTGCTAGCACCAAGACCTTGGCCACACAGGTCCTGCAAGAGGCCAAAGACACGCTCGCCATTGTCAATGTCTTTCTGGTGAGTTCAGCTGTGACACTTAAAGATCCCCGGAGGGTTTTAGCTTAGAAGGTCCCCCTCACACTTGTTAAGGCTGATTACATGAGAATCGTGTGGACTGGCTCGTAGTGTGTTATCATAGTCTGATTGAGTGGAATGTTGTTCATGCTTTCAACCACAAGTTTGCTTGGGGAAATGTTTGGTTGAAAACAACATGCACTCACATCTTGAGCGATGAGTTGGGTGAAGCGACACTTTGAGCTTTCAGTTAGTATAGCCTTCAATGTGGAGATTCCAGGTTAGAATAGGTCCTCAGCAACCCATGCTTGTCATAAGAGGCGATTACCGTATTTCGATGTAATAAGCGCCCATATTTGCTAATATATTGAATAGCTAGTGAACAATCCTAATTAGCACCCCTTCCGATTGATCAATGTACACAAAACTTATTTATTTGTGTATAATACGCACTCGTGTGTTATATGCACCCTTAAATATGGGCAATTAAATTCTGGAAAAAATATCTGTCGTGTATAATACGCACAGACTTTTCCTTTTTATCATTTCAGACTGTTAGCATAAACCACGAAATGTACGATCTCTTGTTAACTCAGCAATATTCCAGCTATATGACGGCGATCCATGCAATTGGGATACGATGACATGCATCAACTAAGTCAGTGAGCCTGACCACCCGAACCCGTTAGTCACCTCTTGCGACAAGCATAGTTGCCTTTTAGGGCAAGCATGGGTTGCTGAAGACCTATCCTACCCCAGATCTCGAACCAATCTGATTATACAAACAACAAAGTAAATTCATCTGAAAAACATGGTCAGTCGTAAACCTTTTCAAAATGAACTATGATGGCATTCCCAAACACATAAACAAAAGTATGAATCTGACAACATTTGGGGTTAGAGGGCAAATTTCAAGATTCTTGTAATGGCTGCGCCCACACTGGTGGCAGCGATGTTACCGAGAGTGTACCGAAGGTATCACTCGCTGTGAAGGAGCTTGGGTCTGGCATATCAAAGGGACACAATTCTGCACAGCAAATTGCAGTGCCATATACGACTAATATTCCCTTGTCTTCAGGCCGCAGCCCAAACCAGCAAGGCCAACTTGACCACTGCCTTCCAGGACGTGATTCTGGGCATTGAGTCCCTCAACAGTCTGATGACCAAACTGACTCAGGCGGAGGGGGTCTACCAGAACATAAGCGCAATAACGCTGCGACCACAGTCAGACATGGCGGCCATTTCTAGCAACATCTCCACCATCATCATCAACATGGCGACCGTTGATTCGACCAATCAGAAGGCAGATGAAGCACTCGTCACAGCGCAGCAGGCAATGGTCAGAACACAGAAGGCCAGGTATGTGTGTTAGGCAGAGCAGTGTTCGTGGTTCAAGTCAGCTTATGTCAGTTGTCTGTCAAGGTTGGACACAGTCAGTTGATAATGCGCCTGATATCCAACCTCCAAGTGGTTGTTCATGGCGCTATATACTAAAAGTTAATCTGTGTGTTCATGGCATGACAGATTATCTGTAGTAATATGAGATTGGCTGTAGTAATATGAGATTAGGTATAGTAAAAAAGAGATTAGCTGTAGTAATATGAGATTAGCTGTTGTAGTATGAGATTATCTATAGTAATATGAGATTAGCTATAGTAATATGAGATTATCTATAGTAATATGAGATTAGCTATAGTAATATGAGATTAGCTATAGTAATATGAGATTAGCTATAGTAATATGAGATTAACTATCGTCATATGAGATTAGCTATAGTAATATGAGATAAGCTGTTGTAATATGAGATAAGCTGTTGTAATATGAGATTAGCTGTAGTAATATGAGATAAGCTGTAGTAATATGAGATTAGCTGTAGTAATATGAGATTAGCTGTTGTAATATGAGATTAGCTATAGTAATATTAGATTAGCTATAGTAATAAGAGATTGGCTATCGTAATATGAGATTAGCTATAGTAATATGAGATTAGCTATAGTTATATTAGATTAGCTATAGTAATATGAGATTAGCTGTAGTAATATGAGATTAGCTATAGTAATATGAGATAAGCTGTTGTAATATGAGATAAGCTGTTGTAATATGAGATTATCTATAGTAATATGAGATTGGCTTTCGTAATATGAGATTAGCTATAGTAATATTAGATTAGCTGTAGTAATATGAGATTAGCTGTAGTAATATGAGATTAGCTATAGTAATATTAGATTAGCTTTAGTAATATCAGATTAGCTATAGTAATATCAGATTAGCTGTAGTAATATGAGATTAGCTACAGTAATATGAGATTAGCTACAGTAATATGAGATTAGCTGTAGTAATATGAGATTAGCTATCGTAATATCAGATTAGCTACAGTAATATGAGATTAGCTGTAGTAATATGAAAGAATCAGGCATTCTGTAACTTTAATGATGCATGTACATAAACTTTACTCACTCAAACCTTTTTGTCTTCTTTATGCATGCATGTACATTCCTAAAAATGTTGATGTCAGGGAAACCTGCATTGCCAACTGGCATCAAGTCAATATTAACTTTACCAGTATCGTTCACAATTCACACACATACACATATATACTGTAAATGTTGAAATTAATGCATCTCCAAATTAATACGACTGCTGGCCCCAAGCCAAAAATGCGACTCAAAATCAATTCCCAGTGGAATGATGCATATCCTTACCTTAATCAAATCAAACAAATAGCAAATAGCACGGTTTATTAGGTCCAAGTAAAGTACTTCCAACATAACAAGAAACAGACGTGCGTGCGTGCGTGCGTGCGTGCGTAGTAGTAGTAGTAGTAGTAGTAGTAGGGAACACCATTATCAGGGGTAGACATCTTGTTATTATTTACAACCTTCTCTCAGCAGCGACAACGAGACCACCTGTGCCCTCAAGTCAAGTCATTTATTCCGTATAAATGGCCATGAGGCCAACAGTACAACATGTGTAAAATATGGGACAATATAATGATGCGGCGCCACTAACATGATTCTATTTTCTTTCACAATACATTCATATTATTTCTGGGGGCACGTGTGGCCCAGTCGTCTAAGGCGCCGGGATTCGCTGTGCAGAGTTGCGTCCCTTGGGCACGCCAGAAACCTATGATTGTGGGTTCGAATCCCGGTTCGCCCCGATTATGTTTCTAGGTTTGTCAGCACCATACCCGTGCTCGTGGGTTTCACCGAAGTGGTAAACGTCTAAGACCTGCGTCACTTCGGGCTTTCCTCCCACATTAAGCTGACAAGCCGTGATATGACTGGTATACTGTTAAAAGCGGCGTTAAACCCAACTCACTCACTCACTCAAATTATTTCTTATTTTAAAGACTTTATCAAGGAAAATACAGAGCTTAATTAACTTATCATAATCAACCATGTTCAACAAGTTAATAAATTGTACATATTTGGCTGATAATAATAATAAGTTGGAAGATATTTAACACGTAAATGGTTATAAGCCGGACATCTTGTTATTATTTACAACCTCCTCTAAGCAGCGACAACTAGGCCACCTGTGCCCTCATTTGGTTATTGTGTAAATCTAAGACCTGCTTAACTTCTCCTCCCACATTCCGCGGACTCGCCATGATAGAACTGATATACCGTTCAAGGCGGCATAAAACACAACTCACTACTAACCATCTATTTCCAGGGATGACTCACAGCAGGCCAAGGAGGAGGTTGAGGGCATACAGACTGCGCTGAGCCAGGCGGCCACCCTCAAGACCGAGGTCATGACCCTGAAGCAACAGAGTGATGCTCACAACCAGACCATCTACAACGTGCTGGGGATGGTGAGTTGCCATGGCAACAGGGGATGAGTGAATGTAGGTTGTTCTTTGCCGCAGTCACTGTTACAGCTTTATCATGGCAGATACTATCGAATCTTGTCCTAGATCTTTATCTGGGTGAATTTTGGATACAAACCCACTCGGACTGAGAATATAATTAATGTGGTGCCCTTGCTTATGCCTGTTACAGTACACATTGATGGACACAGAATAGCAGCATCTGTTCATATCTGACCAAGGGGTGCTCGTCTTAACTCTCCGATTGGCCATGTTTGACCTGAATGTATGTAAGGTGTTATCCAGATGCGATAAGCTCTCATATGATAGTGATTGGCAATGCTGAGCTTAACTCATGTTTACATTCTATTAAACTAAAAACAGTGAAGTTCCTTAAGAATTGCAAGTGGTGTCTGATGGAATTTTAGACTTGTCTTGGAAACAGAATCATCAGCCTTTTGTAGGGCCTAGGCCTTGGACGAGTCCAAAATTACTACCACTGTAGATCTCAAAATGTCTGATGGGGAATTGTTTTACTGGCGCCCGGCAAAAGCTATTTACATGGTAACATATATTGTCAGATAATAGGTTTACGGACATCATATGTTTTTGTACGGCCATGTTTATTGCGATAACTTGTAATCAGACAAATGTAGAGACACAATGAGGACAGTATCGTAGAGATCACAGATTCCGGGGTAGAATGGGTCTTCAGCAACCCATGCTTGCCGTAAAAGGCGACTATGCTTGTCGTAAAAGGCGACTAACGGGATCGGGTGGTCAGGCTCGCTGACTTGGTTGATGCATGTCATCGATCCCAATTGTGTGGATCGATGCTCATGATATTAATCACTAGATTGTCTGGTCCAGACTCGATTATTTACAGACCGCCGTCATATAGCTGGAATATTGCTGAGTGTAGCGTTAAACAACAACCAAACCAACCATTACAAGGCCATTCTGCCATTTTTATTCACAATTCAGGGGGATGTCAGTCAATAACATGGCTCTAATTTTGAAAAGCCAATTTGTAGCCGATAGTGTGCTGGCCACACAATGTTCCATCCTGTAGTTTCAATAGTTATCGATATCATGTATTCAAAACTTTAAATTTGCAGTATTCAAGTTAGGGATGCAAAATACGTCAATTGTGATATGTTCTAGAAACATCCTTAATACACTGTTTACTACTCTGTGAGTGAGTTTGGTTTAACGCCACTTTTAGCAATATTCCAGCAATATCACAGTGGGGTACACCAGAAATGGGCTTCACACATTGTACCCATGTCGAGAATCAAACCCAGGCGAACGCTTTAACCACTAGGCTAGCCCGCTGCCCCCAATCTACTGCAAGGAAGATTGTTCTATAGATATACAACTTCTTTACTACAATGAATGCGACATTTCGGTGTAGATACTTACACCGTTATCGAGCAAGTGATTACAGAAATGTGAAGTAGGAAGGTTATATACATGTGGTTACCGTATTCGACATAAGAAGCACCCCGCTCTAATAAGCGCCCACGGCCATATTTGCTATTATATTGGCTAGTGAACAATCCCAGTTAGCACCCTTTCCGACTGATCAATGTACACAAGACTTATTTATTCGTGTATAATATGCACTCGTTTGTTATGTGCACCCTTAATTATGGGCAATTAAATTCTCGAAAACGTATCTAGCGTTTATAATACACACACATTCTTCTTTTATATCATTTCAGCCTGTCTGAGCATAAGCCACAAAATTTACAATCTTTCAACCTCGTTTTTAATCTCACCAAAATTATTTTCTAATAAGAGCCCCCTATTTCTAATTTTGAGAGCGCCCTGGGCGCTTATTACAGCGAATAAAGTAATTGATGTTTATACAAGGTTGAATGATAGATTGATCTTTACACATCAGATGAGGTTGAAGTATGAATCTTGATAATGTACATATAAATGTAATTAACAAGGCATGATAGTAAAAACAATACAGTGATTGGTATGGACAAAAGCAAAATTATTTGTTTATTATTTTTTTTAAATATTTTTTTTTCAATTCAGTAGACATAAATGTAACATTGGTACATGAGGTATATAAGTGTAGCAATTCATAGAATCTTAAAACATGATCAGATATGGGTAATATACATGTACTGGATTGACTGATAATTTTTATTAAGAAGGCTGATAATTCCTTCCATTTTCTGTCGAATATTAATGCTACTATTTTTCATTGCAATATTTTTTTCTATTTTACTTACATCTTTTAATATTTTTATGAACAAAGGAAAGCAAAATGGAGTTTTCTTAATGCTTGACTGGTGAATGTTTTTATTTGCAAGAAGAATTATATGTTTGAAAAGATAGTTGTTTTTGTTGTAGCAAAATAATATGGTATGGACAAGTTTATTGAAGCCAGTATTAAGATGAGCAGGATTAAGCTATATATAAAATGGAAATGATTAAGATTGTTGAGTGATGATCTCGTGGTAGGCCATTGGGATGTATTAACCTTGATTTCTTTTGATGGTTGGTTGGATTTATTTTTATGGATGGCTTCTTGGAGTTCCCTGATCTTGAATGATGCTAACATATATGTGTATCCAACAGGCCCAGGCTTACAGCAGCCAGGTGACGTCGTTGGCAACACTCACCAGCTCCAATATCAACAACATCGAGACCTTCATTGCCTCCATCAACCAATGCATCACAGACAGCACCCTCCAGGCGGGCGGGCTCCGCACAGCCGCTCAATCTGCTCTCGACAAAGCTACGGAGGCTGAACAGGTATGTGATTCAGTAATGAATGTGGGATGGCAGTAAACAGTGACCTGCAGTTACACCATATCAACCCTCACAGTCGGTCAAGAGAAGACATCTTCCTGAGGCAAGGGAGTTAACTGACTATAAAAGTCCAGTTTCCACCCTGAACTAGGCTGGTATTGTGGAGTTACATTTTGGCTGGCCTAACGAGTCTATGCATAGTCCAATCAAAATCGCGCAACGAAATCGAAATCCGGTTTGTAAACTGTTGTGCAGATTTTGGTTGATTGCAGGATTTACAAAGCATGTGCACTGCCAACTTGTTGTCAACAGACATTTTCCAAATCTTTTCTTGTTTTTAATCAAGGTACTCACATGATTTGATGCACTTTGCGATGTAAGACCTGTTTTATCACAATAATATTGTGACAATATAGATCTTGATTTTCGATTAGATCGTATTGACTGAGCGCCCGCCATTTGGTTTGAAGCAAATGCATGTGATGCGAGAGGTGGGATTTGATTGGTCCAAAAGGGAGGCTTAGAAGGGACATAACTCGTAGTAGCCACTGGTGGCGCTACGATCGAGCCCAGGAATTCCAGCCTAGTTTGGCAAGGGTGGAAACTGGACTTATGAAGTCAGTTAGCTCCCTTGCCTCAGGAAGATGAGTGAAGACAACTCTCTGTAACACACATTATTTAGCTCAGTTGGACTGTAAATAAAAGCGACAAAACCCTTTCTATAATCATAAGATAATCGTCCAAATCTGGGATTTTGTATGGAGACTAAATATGTTTTCAGCTACAGATTAATTAAAACTATGAACCTTAATATGTTTTTTAAAAACATCTTTGCAACAATATATTTTTTGTGGCAGACAATCTTTTTCAACTGTTCTTCTCCGCCACCCTCTATGGTCGGTCCCTAACCTTGACCAACAGTGCTTCTTGACTCAAGTAACATAAAATTGCACGTTGGACATGGCTTGAAACTTGAACCAGTGAATAAGACTCTTGAACACAACTAGCGCCATAGTGTAGGCTGTGTATCATATATTGTATTGAACTCTTACTGTCAGGATGTGTGATTTCGATGGGTGTTACTCATGCTCTCAGTCACTGGTTTGTCTGGTCCAGGTTCGATTATATGTATTTACAAGTCATTATTAATTTGCTGGAATACTGCCAGCAGCAGCATTTAACAAACAATCAGTCAATCTCCTCCAAGTGTGTGGTTGCAGCACTAAAACACTCTATTGTGTGTTCATAGCTTTCGGCCATAGGAGCCATGCCAATTTACACGTCAGAGGGGTACACAAAGTATGTGATCTAGACTACCATTTGTCAGACTTTCATTTCTTGTGGAAGCCTCGGTGGCTGAGTGGGTTAGATTGCTGACTCTGTGTGCTGGAGATTAGGTGCCTCAGTCTGGCAGTCTGGGTTCGAATCCCGGATGGGACTCAACCCAAACTTTACTAAAAATTGTTAACCCAAATATAACATTTGTTACATTTGACCACTTTCTAAATGGCATTGTGTTTTCAGACGGTATGGGTTGTTTCGTATTTTCCAGGGTCTGAGCACTATCAACAGCCTGACAAGTGCCATTTACTCACGCGTGGGCCAGAACAACGTGTCAGCACCCTTCAACATCATCGACAACGTCAACAATGACATGACTACACTGGAGACCAACTTCAACAGTGTGGAATCCACCATAGACTTAAATGGTGAGTCAATGCATGGTTGATTATCACTAAGACTAAAAGAAGTAATAGTCTTGGTTCTCAGGCACTGCCCGCATCATTGTCACGTCCCCTGCACGATTTGTTTTCATTTCCATTTAAAAATACGAAATTCTTAAATATTCCGCGTCCATAACACACGAACCTGGCAGCGAAATGCTGCAATACATAAAAAATAATGCGTTCACTAGAAACGTTCATTTACAAATTCAATGTTTCATACGCATAGATTAAGATTACATGTGCATTTGTCTCGTAAAATAAGCCGGAAATAGCAAACAGCTGTTCACACATTTTCTCCCCTATCTGTGGGTGATTTAGTTTAAAAAATACTTAATGTCATGGCCAATACCATAACTGAAAAAGAAATTCATTTCAGTGATACGAAGACCAAAGCTTTGTATCTCTATCGACTAATGTTCATTTCAAGGCAAGTTCCTCGAAAGTTGATGTTTCTGCCGATCAGTTCATACATGCTTTCACTGAAATTAATGTAAACAATATTGAATGAAATCTTTGATAAATGTAATATACTGTATTCAACGTAATAAGCGCCCAGGGAACTCTCAAAATTAGAAGTAGAGGGCCCTTCTTAGAATATTATTTTGGTGAAAAAACAGAGTTGAAAAATAAATTTCGTGGTTTATGCTGCCAGCCTGAAATGTTTAAGTACGACAGATATATTTTTCCAGAATTTAAATGCCCGTTATTAAGGGTACATATAACACACGAATGCCTATTATACGCGAATAAAAGTCTTGTGGACATTGATCAATCGGAAGGGGTGCTAATTGGGATTGTTCACTAGCCAATATATAAGCAAATATCGCTGTGGGCGCTTTTTAGAGTGGGGCGCTAATTACATCGAATACGGTAATGGATTGCAAACGTAAGTCCAGATACACTACGAATACTTTAATAGCCAGATAGTATAATAACAGGACTAGCTGTCGTACTTCAGTACAGATTTGTTGACATGCTTCTTCCTGTGTTGTGTGCTCACGTGTATTAGGCACACACTGGTAGTCCAACAGTAGTCCAATACTGTATTCCAGTATATTACTCTTCAAGGAATACATTTTAGTAAGGAGGCCCTGTCCCAGGTTGATTGTACACAACTGTTTATTTGGTTACATACTTGTTTGAACAACAACAACAACAAAACACAGCCCACCGACACTATACTTTCAAAAGCCATTGTCTGAGAACCAATTCTTTTATTTTCTAATCAGCTGAATTGTATAGAGTTGATGGATAATGCCTCCAAAAGTGCATCCTCTACATCTCCAGGGAAAATTTACACTAACCCCTGGAACCATTCCCATGGTCCTCGCGATTTCAAATTACCTCCCTTTGATTTTCATTAACATTTTACCGACCAATCAAACGTCGAGATACAGAAAAGGTAATGGGATAGGGAAGACCTGCCACCACCAGTTATAATGGACTTAAGGACATCCTTTCCTTTCCATTTCCTTTCAATGTTGAACTCTGTCAGGACGCCATGTTGTTGATATTGCCAACCCACATCAAGCTGTCACTCTGGATACGAGTTCAACTGTTTAAAGCGGCGTGAAACCCGAACTCATTCCCTTACTCACAACGCAATTAAATAACATGGCTTACTCTGGAGAAATAATTTGCTCTCAGCCTAAGGACCTGGTAATGTGGGTGAGGCAGTCGTAGGGTACAGTCAGTGAGTGAGTGAGTTGGATTTAAAGCTGCTTTTAACAGTATTCCAGTTTTATCATAACATGTCTGCTTGATGAGGGAGACAAGTGATGCAGGTCTCAGACATTTACCACTTTGGTGAAACCCATGAGCTCGGGATTGCTGCTGACAAACCTAGAGACATAATTCGGGCGAACCGGAATTTGAACCCTTGATTGTAGGTTTCTGCTGCACTTAAGGGCATAACTCTGCACATCGATTTGTCCCCAGTATGTACTTGAGATCACACTTTGTGCATTTTAGGGTTAAAGATTCTTTACTGAAATATCAACATAGGTAGATCGCTGGACACAAGTTGTCATTTGGAATCTGGGTAGCTTCTATTCTTTAAGTGGTTTAAGTGGAGGAAAGTAATTGTTAAATCTGTTTCAAATTCTAGGCGTGTAATCTATTCACCTTATTAGGGGTTCAGAGTGGCCAGTTCATATGCAATGTGTTTACATTTACTTTCAAAAGCAATTAACAGTTACCTTCTGTTGTTGTATTCTTTCGTGTTTTTTCGCCATCAAACAGTGCAGCATAAAGAATGATTTATTCATTCATTGCATCAAACAAAGCTAAACTAAAAACTAATTTGTATTTTATTCTTTTTAGCTCAGATCAGTCAGTTCGTAAATTGAAGAGTTGAAAAACTGTCAAAACTAAACTGCCGGTTAAAAGAAAGTAAACATCCATGGCTAATGGTGGCTAAAAATGAAACAAAACAAAAAATCGTGGTAAATAGATGTATTTTTATACGGTATCATAGTTGTATTTTGGACCTAAGTTTGAAGTGTTTCGGCAACTGTTTAGCTTTGTGACGTTTGAGTCAAATCCAGTTTTTGCCCGGCAGTTTATATTAGAGCAGAGACCATAAAATAGAATGTATTTTATGGCCTCTGGTTAGAGTTTTCAAATTAAAATGATTGTTTTCTCTCCATCAGCGATGTTACAGAAGTACCTGGAACAACTGAGGGAGATTGAGCTGGTCAAGACACAGATGCAGACCCTAGAAACAGAACTGGATGATCTCATTGTGAGACTGGATTTGAAAACAGCATCGACAACATCACAGTGCAGTAACTGATGCAGCTCCGACTCTGTCATGTACAGACGTGACGGAAACTCATCATTGTATACTGTCATCATCAAGCTTCATTGGCGGGTTCAGAGGGGGGAGGAGGAGCACACCCTTTGTGGCACACACTGTACGAGTATACAGTGTCAGTGCTTCTATCATGTGCTTCAGTTGACATTGTTACTTGGAAATGTGCATACCACACCCACATGCACCCACACACCACTACACACACACACCCCTACACATACCTACACCACCCCACACACACCCAACACACACACACCTCTACACACCCACACACCACTACACCACCCCACACACACCCAACACACACACACACCCCTACACACCTAGACACATACCCACACATCCCACGCTCCCATTGACCCTCCTCTCCCCTCCCCACTTTCAAAATATCTTGGATCCACCCCGGGTTTACATTGGACAAGGATTCTGAAAGAGTCCCAACCACTGAATCCTGCATCATCGCAGGACATTGAACAATGAGTTTACTGAGGTTTTAGGTGTGTCAGTACATTTCTACATCATCACCATCAGTTTTGCAAAAACTGGATCCGCCTCTAAACATCCAAAGAACATTGACTAGTGACTTTCAGTACTGAACAGATGTTATGGAAGCCCATTGTCGCCATCCGATGATCATCATCCGTTCCACACTGAACAATGAGTTCATTAACGGTTCCCCAACACGGAACAGATGTGTCTGTTCATCTCTACATTGTCGCCATCAACCACTACACCGGTGGTGGTGTGTGAATTTCGGTCTGTCACGTTTTTTCTTCACATCGTGACTTGGTACTGTGCACAAACACACACATTTCTTTTTCAAGATCTGGATTGGCCATGAATGATGAACCTCCATTGAACAGTGACTCATGCCTTCCAGTAGTGTAAAGATGTTATTGTTGTCATCCATACTTCATTGTACAGTTTTACTATTGAAACAGGGTCGAGCTATTGATGATGTCATCCCATTTAGTCCACTGTCATCTTGGAATTGTACAGTTGTAGATATATTTTTCCAGAATTTAAATGCCCATAATTAAGGGTGCATATAACACACGAGTGCGTATCATACACGAAGAAATAAGTCTTTTGTACATTGGCCAATCGGAAGGGTGCTAATTGAGATTGTTCACTAGCCAATATATTAGCAAATATTGCCATGGGCACCTAGTAGAGCAGGGCGCTTATTACGTCGAATACGGGATTTCTTATACACGCGGACTGCACAGGAAACCTGTGTGGAATACTGGGGAACACAGATCATTAGTCCAGGTACAGTTGACACTATGTGTCATATTGCATTGTTGGGATAACTTGGATCTTTGCAACTGCTTTCAATCACTGGTTTGCCTGGTGTCAGTTATTTACCGTTTGTCATGACGTTAAACAACATTCACTCACTTTACTGGCTTTCATTTTATTGGTAAAATATGCGTATTCTTCAGAGTAAGTAATGGCTGACCCAGGTAACATCGTACATGTACATTATCACCTGGAGAAGAATCCACTCAGCTTATATTATCATGTGTATCTGACTATTTCATACAACTGGCAATACATTACAAATGAGGGGCAGTCGGGTAGCCTAGTGGTTAAAGTGGACCCGGGTTCGATTCCCAACATGGGTACAATGTGTGAAGCCCATTTCTGGTTCCCCCGCCATGATATTGCTGGAATATTGCTAAAAGCAGCGTAAAACCATACCCACTCACTCACTCATATGAATGAAATCTAACGTATGTGAACAACTTTCAAGGGTTATTCATAGTTTGAAAATATGAAACATTCAGTTGAATAGTGACGAATGGAGGTCAAGATGTGTTTCATACTTTTTTAAACTTGTGAACATAGCAAACTTGCATCGACTTTATTGTTTGTAATAAGGCTGGGACAAGTCCAGATTAACTACCTAGGTACCGAACACCCTATTACCCAACCCTACCCGTGTATCCGTTGCAGGTCTTAAGAGTTGGTGAAAAAAATCCAGATAGGAATTGTTTGACTGCAGCCCTGGCAAGAACTATTTAGATTCACGTATAGAATGTTCTGGTCATGCGTACACTGGAGTTGACTGAAGCTTTGTCTTTATTCAAGCATATGAAAGTCAGAAGGAATGCGTGCACATTCAGAAAGAAATGTGAACAACTATTCAGTACCCACCTGACCTGAGGACCTGAGTTACTCGTCCCAGCCCTAGTTTGTTACAATGTTTCAAGGCTAGTATTGCCCTAGTCCTGCACCATGACCGTGGCATATATTTATTTTATGAAAAAAAAATAATCTAGAAATGTATACAAAAGCAAGTCTAGCCAGCTCAAGCTAGCTCTATTCCACTGAAATCAGCATAGGGATAAAAAAAAATATTTTTAGAGTCAAGAAGGATATTGTGTAATATAAGATTTCAGAGACTAAATGTTAGTCTAGTATTGCCCCTTCAACTGGTGAATAGAAGAGCATATTTTGTACCCACAAGTGACATCAGTGCCCGCAATGGACAATCTTGATTGTCTCATATGTATATTGTTATCCTCGTCAGCTGTTTGTTATCACACTTATAGCGCCCAGCTCACTTTCACTGTACTTAACTGGCTTCTCTCCCATTAAAACTGTTGGTTATATCGCTATCTTTGTACAGGAGTCCTACCTCGTGTAAACATAACAGCATGTAGAAGTAGTAACTAATACACTTACTCAATATTCACCTGACAAGGGAGAAAGAAGTAGCCCTGAAGCGTTACAAACTAAACTGAAGTTCTTATCCATAAAAGTTTCATGTCTTGAGGTCTTCCAACTTCTAAATGCCTGCCAAAGACTTCATATAACCTTGTTTTCTGCTCTGTGTTTGAATCATTACTGTTCTAATAAATATTTATCATTCCAGTCGTAATATATATTTATCATTAGCTGTATATGTGAGAAATATGATGTACCACTAGCTTCCTGCATCAAGGACAAGCATGCATTTTCTTGTTGACATGTTTAACATTGTAATGAACATTCCATTGTAAGAAAAAACTATTTTGATATTTTTATTATTCAATAAACTGGTTTCTGTCCAAGATTTTGTGTATTGTTATTTTGTTTGGGTCATCTGACACGGCTTTCAAAATGTTTTAGAAATCAAGGGAGCTTATGTCATGGCATGTTTGTCAGTCGTCCGTCTTCTCAAAAACCACTGGACCAATAAAACTGAAACTTCACATACTCGTTCCTACCAAAGATGACACCCAGTTTGTTCAAGAGGTTTGAATTTTAAATATGGCCGCTACGGTAGCCATATTGAAAAATCTCCTTATGGCCATTACTCGGCCATGTTTATACAAAATGCAATGGAATTTGGTACATGTGTAGGTAGCAGTAAGCCTCAACATATCATGTTCTGGTGTTTCGCGATTATAATAATTTTGACCTTTACGCTTTGACTATTCTTCTAAATATCTCAAGATGCATTTCCTTTCTCTGTAAACCACTGGACCAGTGTAGCTGACACTTCTCACCACTGATGAAACCTGAACTTGTTCTAAAGGGTTTGAATCCAATTTAAATGTGCCCGACAGGTCAGCCATATTGAAAAAGCTATTTATTATTGTTTCCTCGGCTAATTTTGTTTGATATGTAAATAAATTTGGTACATGAGTAGTTAGTATTTGTTCCCAACAAATATGTTCTGTTTTTTTGCGACATCTTAAAATTTGACTTAGATTTTACCTTTGCACTGCATCTGCCAAAGTCTATTTATGGCCATTACTTGGCCAATTTTTATCCCCCCGGCATATAATGTGGGGGGATATAGCGATCAGCCAGTCTGTCTGTCAGTCCGTCCGTCCGTCTGTCTGTAATCATTTCCTTTTCCGGGGCAGAATTCAAAAACCATTCAGTGTATTTGATCGAAACTTGGCAAATCTATCAGGCACATACTGAAGTGGTGCCTTTTGATATTTTGGGATTTTTCTAATTTTTATTTTTTTAAATTTTTATGGAATGAAGTTGGACATAGACTCAATTGGGGATGGGGTTCGTTTCTGTGGCAGAATTTGAAAACCATTCAGTGTATTTGATCGAAACTTGGCAAATCTATCAGGCACATACTGAAGTGGTGCCTTTGGTGCTTGTTTAGTCATTGTTTCTTGTATTTGTTTGCATAAAAAAAACCCACAGAATACAGAATAGCACATTTACTTGTGGTTACTTTACAGACAGCTGCCGGGGGGATATGTCATCTTTCTGATGCCTTTTGTTATTCAAAATTAAATTAAATTAAATTTTGGTATGTGTTTAGTTAGGTTGTGGGATTCAACACGTACCCTTTTGACCTTGTTTTGACCATGCCTCACTCCATCTGGTCCACTGAAGGACTTGATTTAGAACGGATCTCCTTCCAAGAAGACCATCTCAGTTTAATTCAGTACTTCAAAATGTTGTGTTTCCTTAAGACTGGATAGCATGGGTTTTTAACCTATGTAGTTGTGAGCAAGTGAGTTTTGTTTATCACACCTTTGAACAGTATTTCAGTTACATCACTGAGTGTCAACTTGATGTGGGAGGAGGTGAGGTGAAATTGGGTTTAATGTCGCGTCCAAGATTATTGCACTTATATAGCGACGTGCATGCACGTCTGTGTGTGTGTGGCTGCTTGTACTAGTCCAGACTGATGCCAATTTATAGTGCTAGCCCACTGAGATACCATGCCGCAGTTTAACATGAATACCCCACTCAGACACAGTATACTGACTCCGAGCCGACCGGTCCTTGTTTTAGCCCCTTAATGCCAAGCGCCAGATAGGGTAACAACAAGTACCATCTTTTAACTTCTTTTGGTATGACGCGGCCGGGGATCAAACCCCGGACCTTCTGCTCTCCGGGCAGACTCTCTACCACTAGACCACGGAGGCGGTGATGTGGGAGGAAAACTCCGGTGATGCTGACCTATGGAGGTGATGCTGGTCTTGCTCGCACCTACGCCCGCTCTCGGAAGCCTCCCTCACTCACTCACTCACTCACTCACTCACTGGGTCTGAGGCTTGGTTAGCTTTGTGTCAAACTGACAATAACATGGGGATAATTCCTTATGTTCAGTCACTGACCCACACTCAAACATTCAGTCACTCAAAGAAACACAATTCAAGATTCAAGATCATTTATTCAGTTTGTATGTGAGTTAGGCAAGATGACCCAGATAGGTACAGGAAGTAAATGACTGCAGTAAAATAATCAGTTAGCAACAAAACACTGTACACAGGAGCTACGTGGCCATGATGCCCCAAAACATACATCAAAGTTGAACAAATACTTTCCGACTTGCAATAATCCAAATCTTTGCAAAGACACATACACACAATGGAAACAATATGTACAACAAAAATATAACATTATTTCTGTTAAATAAATTATTCAATTATTTATAGTTATGTACAAGAATTAGAAAACTATTTGGATGTGTGTGATATAACATTCAATGATATTGCCTTAGTAATGCCCTATACCACTAAGCCTGTCCAGAGTGTGAGAGCTATACATGTGAGCTGGAGTGTCCATATCACCAAGGCTGACTTAAACTGGAGTACAAGGTGTGTAAATATGTAAGCTAGAGTTATCAAGGCAAAATTACCTGATCAATGATAGTGTTGAAAGATACCTGGGAGCCACCATTCCATATGAATCACAATACTTGTTTATGATGCACCTCTACTTAAATACTAAAATAATCTTGAAACAGGAAAACAAAACCTGATTTCTCTTTCCCTTTTTGATATCGACTGTCCTGTTACTCCAAGACAATACAGACACTATCCTCAAATATCCAGCTCCTGGTTAAGTATCGTAACAGAATGGAGATATAATAGACCGGACAATCAACAATCTCATTAAAATCAGATCTTAGTTCTTGCTATCACTTAACAAAGATCTGAGGACATCCCATTACGGGTCACATCAGACCGACCTTGCACAAATTTTGACCGACCTTGCACAAATTTTGACCGACCAATGGAAGGACTGACAAGAAGTCGACATTAGCCAATCAGAAGGCAGATTTCTTGTGCTTTACGGCAATAATTTCAAATTGGCGACTATGCCTCAAAACATATTTTGACAAATTCTCGATTAAAAATTTGAAACCTGAACAAAAGAACATTCTGGAATGGCTAATAGATGGTCTAGATTGTTAAACCCGTAACTATCGTTCGGAATACCCTGTGTTAAAGTTTTCGAGATTGCATGATTAGAAATCACATTCCGACTGTCACTTTCATGATCTGGTAAGCGATGCTCTGATTGGTCGGATGAAAGGCTGTTCTGACATGACACCTAATGGGATGTCCTCAGATCTTTGTTTAGCGGTAGCGAGAACTATGATCTGATTTTAATGAGATTGGACAATCAAGGATGTACCCATACCTGACCAGACTCAACTCCACAAAAAACAAAATGTTGAATTTTATCTGTTTGCAATCCATCTAGTATAGAACAAATCAAACAATGTATGAAGTACAAAGCAGCATACTGCATTGTCTACTTACAACATGTACAACTGCTGTGGTGCACTGGTGCATCAATGTATCACTACAGTATTAACAACCAAAGTGAATCCACTTCATAACTAGGGGTGTTCAAGCCATATACCGTATTCGTCATAATAAAAGCCCTGGGCACTTATTAAACATGTTAATTTTGTTGGCGGTTATTGGGGTGGAGAGAACAGACGTACTGGGTAGTTCAAACTTCTTAATACAGAGAATATGGTACCTGCATTAAAGGCAACACCAATCGCTATTGAGAAGGACAGAACCTTGACCCTTGACTCATGCATTTGCAAATTCATAACCAGCTCCCCGTGGGGATTCTGTTGGAGAATAGTGAGTGAGTGAGTGGCTTTACGCCACTTTTAGCAATATTCCAGCAATATCACGGCGGGGGACACATTGTACCCATGTGGGGAGTCGCTCCCGGGTCTTCGGCATGACAAGCGAACACTATAACTACTAGGTTACACCACCGCCCCTGTTGTAGAGCAAGTCCCCAGTGCCCCATACTAGTCCATGGTTGACTAAATGAGAATTAGTTGCTTGCAATTTGTAACTAGGTTGAATTTGAGTCAAAGCACACAGAAGGCGTGACTTTTTTTTGCTCATGCTATCAACCACTGGTTTGGCTGGCAAACATTGACTATTTACAGGCAGCTATGACATAACTTGAACATGGCTAACTGAGGCATAAAATAATATTCAATAACTTACATCATAATCAGATTGGTAAAAATGTTTTTCTTCACAAAAACTTCACAACTGGAATCAAATTAAGATTTTGAGAACTGAGTTTAATAATTCCAGTAACAAAATTGTTCAAAGCAGGTCATTATAAATTTCAATTTTAATAAGTCATTTCCAAAAAATAATTTTTTTAAAAATATAAAAAATCCATTAAGCCATATGTTTTCACAATTAAAATCTGTCTAAAACTTAAAACAGAAGGCCTTAACTATTGCACTGAATTACCTTGCATCTTATCCAACAAGAATATATGACCAACAGAAGGACAATGAAAATGAAAACCGTGCTATGAAACTTCGATGAAGCATTAACCACTACACAGCAAATGGCATAGTGAAGGCTATGGTTTAGATAAGACAGTGAGTTGGGATAGAACCATACTTTATCAATATTGAGGCAAGTTGGCCTAATAAGGGTGGATAGCATAATGTGAGCACAGATTCAAACCTTTAATCAGCAAAGCATGTAACGGTCCTTGAGACTACTAGGCAATCTCTGCCTAAACTTGAGGGTAAGAGTGAGTGAGTGAGTTGGGTTTGATGCCACCATGAACAGTATTTCAGTGACATCATGGGGGGTCAGCTTGATGTGTGAGAAAACCAAAAGTGGCATGTGTCACAGAATTTGATAACATCATCAGTCATGGCGCTGACTGATCAGGGATGCAGGCACACAAGCCGAAGGCTTTTGGTTGGTTTGTTGTTTAACGCGGCACTCCACAATATTCCAGCAATATGACAGCGGTCTGTTATAATCGAGTCTGGACCAGACAATCCAGTGATTAATATCATGAGCATCGATCCACGCAATTGGGATGGATGACATGCATCAACCAAGTCAGCAAGCCTGACCACCCAATCCTGTTAGTCGCCTCTTACGACAAGCATAGTCACCTTTAACGGCAAGCAAGGGTTGCTGAAGACCTATATTCTACCCCGGATCTTCACGCGTCACAAGCTGAAGGCCTTCGTACCCAGTCCTCAGCATGACGTATAGTGAAGCTGGATATAACCAGATGAGGTAATGTGATTTGAACATTGTCAAAAGCAGGTGGGAACAGTGAACAGTCAAGAGCTTCACCAAGTACCGAGAAAACCGCCAACCACACACAGCAGACGACAGAACTGTCATACAAACACACTTGTGACTGGGGAACCAACTTTGACAAATGTCCAGGACAGACTTCGTTAACACTGACTGTTGTTGCTGTACATGGTTCAGTACATAGTATACAGACAACAAAATTACACATGTACTATATTTCCTCTAATAAGAGCACAAGTGCTTACCTTATCAGTTAACTCCAAATCTACAGATGCTAAGGGACCGGTCATTTATTATGGCGGGGGAGTGGAGGGATCAGAGGAAACAAAGGGAGGGGCACCAAAAAATATGACAATCTCTATTGGAGGGTTAAAATATACTACACATATCTGGGGAGGGTCATGTTAAAATGGACATTTTATAACGAAACATAAAGTTCTTTTGCATTTTGTCTTTACAGGGAGGGTCATGAAAAAAATGTTCAAGGACCTGGGGACAGTGACAATCAAAAACCTCTGACCCACCCCTGTTATAAATGGGGTCCCTTATTAGAGGAAATATGGTGTGTTTGAATACTGAGCCAAACACGACATTTTCTGAGTCACTACGGACAACATCTTGATACAATCACGACCATGACTACAACAGAGAAGCAAAAAAATAGTTTCCAAGAACATGAAACATGATGACTCTGTGGAAAGCTAACATATCATATTGCTCTCATGCCAACTTTGATTCATTAACGACTGGACTGTCTTATCACAGGCTTACTATGAAGCAGCTTTATTCACCAGGTAGTTGCACAAAAACACAGTTTCGTTGAACTATGCAGCTGTAAGTCGAAACACACAACTTGTAAGTACACCACTCATATTGAACAAACTGAGAATTAAGAATTCAACATTTGTTCACCAATATTTGGTTACCATGGTTACACATTTTGAGAGTATGTTCATAATAAATTCACCCAGACACAGTGAGTGAGTGAGTACGGTTTCATGCCACTTTTAGCAATATTTCAGCAATATCATGGCAGGGGACACCAGAAATGGGCGACACACATTGTACCCATGTGGGCAATCGAACCCGGATCTTCAGCGTGAAGAGTGAATGCTTCAACCACTAGGCGACCCCACCGCCCCCCTGACACAGAACAATCAGTGTTCTTGTTTGTTGGATGAGACTCCCGAAATGTTTCAACAGAAAAATTAAATAACTTAATTTTACTTATGTTTTCATACACATGACCTCATGGTGCGATATTTGTATCATGGCACAGTGAATCTTGATGTGCCCAATGGTTGGTGGATCGTTGCACCCCTATCCACGACTACAGGGAATCATGCAACACTGAGCAAGGATCACCAGGGAGACATGATGTGTGTACAGTAGCCTCAAGTCGAGAGGGGACACATGTGGAATGCTCCAGTAATATAACATCAGTAATTGAGCAGATCAGTTGTCAAAATGAACATATTTATCAAACATTATATCAAAAAGACCCATATTTCTTTTATCATCATAATACTGATACTTGTTCCCAGCTTAGTGTGCTGGAGAAGCTACCAGCTGGACATTGGTAGAATGGCTGCTTCTGGGTTAATGTTTGCTTCATGCTGGCAGGCTCACAGTTCTTGTCATTTTGTGACTGTGGCCGAAACGGTTTCAATGCATCATACGAAACAAAAATTGATGAGGTCAGCTATTTTTAGCCAACTATTAAAAATCATATTCAAGCTTGAAACATCAGATTATCTTAGTTTGTTAGTATTTGTCTTCCGCCTTTAGATGTATGTACCTGCTTGACATACATTCATGGTTTTTTAGGACTTGGAATAATTTTCTTCCCCATTACATTCAGAACATTCAGAATTTTCAGACCAGAAAAGAATCATTTGTTCGTAAAACTATGACCAAATATATTCGTCATTTGCAGATTAAACACAATATGGTACTTACACAAGCGCACCTGATAACAGTTGACACAAGAGCATCTGCTAACAGCTGAACAAGAGCATGTGCTCACAGCTGACACAAGAGCACATGCTTACAGTTGACACAAGAGCAACTGCTAACAGTTGACACAAGAGCATGTGCTAACAGCTTACACAAGAGCATGTGCTAACAGCTGACACAATGACACCTGCTAACAGCTGACACATGAGCACTGCTAACAGCTGACACAAGAGCACTGCTAACAGTTGATATAAGAACATCTACTAACAGCCAACACAGGAGCACCTGCTAACAGCCCACACAAGAGCACCTGCTAACAGCCCACACAAGAGCACCTGCTAACAGCCCACACAGGAGCACCTGCCTCTTTAACATCACAAGTGAAGAAGGGCTATGCATCAAATCATTCTAAAACACCTTTGCTAAAAGTTTTAAAGCTAATGACAGAAGAGGGTGAAGGCGTGTGTGTGTTACAAGCCTGTAATCAGATAGTTAGCATGAGCCTCACCTGCCTTACTGCACCAGTGCTCACAGACATACACATCAACCATGCAGCTACCAAGAAATGACATTGACTAACAGGATTAACTCAACATTTTGAACTGATCATATACAACTAACTCACTATGAGCTGAAGCAAGCCCATTGTTGATTGTATTTACTAACGAAGCCAAATATGTACATGCAAATATGCATATCATCTTCCTATTATGCTGGCCAATGCAAAAATAGCTCTTTAATGATAAATGTACAATTCAAAATTCCCAATCATGTTGAACAAATTTATTTACAAATTTGAAAGAGTATTTAAAATATAATTATTCAATGAGATACATCTAGAAGGAACCTCTTCCAGCCAGAGTGATTTCCACAGATCATAGAAAGATAACCTCATATATCTAACCCTCAATATCAACTGATTTCAACCCACATGTAATCTGCTTGCTCCCTGCCCATTTATATTACACACGTCCTATGACAACATCACATCCAGAGGTACACAGTGCTTCCAGGTGTACTGATATCCAGGTGTATTCTCATCAAGGTGTACTCTGCATCCTGATGTACCGGGGGTACTCTTCATCCAGGAAGCAATGGCCAACTTGAACACAGTTCTGCAAGCTGATGTTGCTATTGCTGAGATTTGATGATTATTGGAACTGAAAATGTAATAACAAGCATCATTTTGAAGTATCTTTGGAAGAAACAAAATATTGACATGACAGGTGAAGATAGGGTACTGGGGGATACTGTAACTAATATCACTACTTGGGTACTGGGGAATACTGTAGCTAGCATCACTACTAGGGAACTGGGGAATACTGTAACTAGCATCACTACTAGGGTACTGGGGAATACTGTAACTAATATCACTACTTGGGTACTGGGGAATATTGTAGCTAGCATCACTACTAGGGTACTGGGGAATACTGTAACTAGCATCACTACTAGGGAACTGGGGAATACTGTAACTAGCATTACCACTAGGGAACTGGGGAATAGTGTAACTAGCATCACTACTAGGGTTCTGGGGAATACTGTAACTAGCATCACCACTAGGGAACTGGGAAATAGTGTAACTAGCATCACTACTAGGGTTCTGGGGAATACTGTAACTAGCATCACCACTAGGGTTCTGAGGAATACTGTAGCTAGCATCACTACTAGGGTACTGGGGAATACTGTAACTAGCATCACTACTAGGGTTCTGGGGAATACTCAACTAGCATCACCACTAGGGTACTGGGGAATACTGTAGCTAGCATCACTACTAGGTACTGGGGAATACTGTAACTAGCATCATTACTAGGGGACTGGGGAATAGTGTAACTAGCATCACTACTAGGGTTCTGGGGAATACTCAACTAGCATCACTACTAGGGTTCTGGGGAATACTCAACTAGCATCACTACTAGGGTTCTGGGGAATACTCAACTAGCATCACTACTAGGGTTCTGGGGAATACTCAACTAGCATCACCACTAGGGTATTGGGGAATACTCAACTAGCATCACTACTAGGGTTCTGGGGAATACTCAACTAGCATCACTACTAGGGTTCTGGGGAATACTCAACTAGCATCACTACTAGGGTTCTGGGGAATACTCAACTAGCATCACTACTAGGGTTCTGGGGAATACTCAACTAGCATCACCACTAGGGTACTGGGGAATACTGTAGCTAGCATCACTACTAGGTACTGGGGAATACTGTAACTAGCATCATTACTAGGGGACTGGGGAATAGTGTAACTAGCATCACTACTAGGGTTCTGGGGAATACTCAACTAGCATCACTACTAGGGTTCTGGGGAATACTCAACTAGCATCACTACTAGGGTTCTGGGGAATACTCAACTAGCATCACTACTAGGGTTCTGGGGAATACTCAACTAGCATCACCACTAGGGTATTGGGGAATACTCAACTAGCATCACTACTAGGGTTCTGGGGAATACTCAACTAGCATCACTACTAGGGTTCTGGGGAATACTCAACTAGCATCACTACTAGGGTTCTGGGGAATACTCAACTAGCATCACTACTAGGGTTCTGGGGAATACTCAACTAGCATCACCACTAGGGTACTGGGGGGTACTGTAACTAGCATCACTACTAAGGTTCTGGGGAATACTCAACTAGCATCACTACTAGGGTACTGGGGAATACTCAACTAGCATCACCACTAGGGTACTGGGGGATACTGTAACTAGCATCACTACTAAGGTTCTGGGGAATACTCAACTAGCATCACTACTAGGGTTCTGGGGAATACTCAACTAGCATCACCACTAGGGTACTGGGGGATACTGTAGCTAGCATCACTACTAAGGTTCTGGGGAATACTCAACTAGCATCACTACTAGGGTTCTGGGGAATACTCAACTAGCATCACTACTAGGGTTCTGGGGAATACTCAACTAGCATCACTACTAGGGTACTTGGGGATACTGTAACTAGCATCACTACTAGGGTATTGGGGAATACTGTAACTAGCATCACTACTAGGGTTCTGGGGATATTGTAACTAACACTAGTGATAAGCATTGGGTACTGGGGAATACATTAACTAACATCACCATAAGAGAAAAGCAGAGGGTACTTTGGGATTCTGTAACGAGCGTCACCACTAGAGACACACTCCTATTCTAGAGGACCTATTCTAATTCTCACACAGGACTACTTGACTGGAGTTTGGAGCGAGCTACTTACTTATGATGACAGCCAGCACAACCACAACCACGATGGCCAGGATTATCTTCATCTGAAAATACAGGAACAGTAAACATATTTAAATGTATGAAACTCCTGATTCACAAGCATTGCACCTCGAATGCGGCTCTCAAACGTCCTAATACTTTATGTCACGCTACATGCAGAAACGCTGAAACTAGTCCTACAAAACTCACCCGACAGTTCTTCCACCACATGGATCTCTGAAGACCCTTGGCCCGGGATCGGAACATGTCGGAGTTGCTGGCAAGACTGTCTGTAATCAGAAAGAAGTGGTAAGAATGTGTGCTAGTTTACCAGCTTCACAAGGCAACATCTATCATTTGGAAATATTCCAGCAGAATTGACCCGTAATGTTACCAGGGCTCATAGGAACATATGCACATCAGTCTCACGATGTCAAGCCTAAGAAAGCATGACAAATTACACATAACACAGGGATTAGTGATGTAGTATGACAATGAACTTTAGAGCTTGTGAGTGTTCAAAGATCAAATTTGTGTGGACAAGTAAGGGTTAGTCGGACTCAAATTGGAAAATGTTTGACATGCACAGGGTGCATGAAGATGTAGCAGCCATAAAATATTTGAGTCTTGTGATTAGATTCGAAACAAGGACCTTCTGATCTGAGGTCGGACGCCTTGTACACATGACCAAAGAGGTTAACCATCTGTGGGATGACTCCACGTCCTGCTACATAGACATAAATATTGGGTTGCATTTTCCAATAATAGGTTGCACTTGTGAAAGTTTACTACAGCTAAATCGTCAATACTTCACAGGTCTGTATACAATTTGTTCCTCCGCCATCCATGTATTTGTAATGTCACTTCTGTCACTGGCCAATACGCTGTGACATGTATGAATGAGGCTGTGTATAATTGATGGAAGTCAAATGAGCCCTACTCCATTCATGACCTTTGTGTGAACACCATCATCGACGGACAATGAAGCGATGTGTAGAGTGAGTGAGTGAATATGGTTTTATGCTGCTTTTAGCAATATTCCAGCAATATCACGGTGGGGGACACCAGAAATGGGCTTCACACATTGTACCCATGTCAGGAATCAAACCCGGGTCTTCGACGTGACGAGTTAACGCTTTAACCACTAGGCTACCCGACCGCCCCGGAATGTGTAGAGTAGATGTCTGCAAGGCTATGGCACATGATGTCAAACAAGAAACACTATAAGGTTTCTGCAATGTACCCAGAACACTTATTGGTCTGGTTACTCTGCAGTTTTGTCTTTGCTGGAACCAAGCCTTGGCCTGATTTAGTAAAATCTAAATATTTTTTACATTTGTATACTTATCCTGCATTACTCCGTATTGCATTTACTGCTGTCTTTGACAGAGAGACGAACTGTGTGAGATCCAGCTGCTGAAGAAAGTTGTTTCCATCTGTCCAGGAAGCAGCGCCCCCTCCCACACAGTCGGCACGTGACCCGGAAGACATGACGTCATGTCAAAACTCATAACTGCTTTAACATAACATCGGAAACTTCGTGGGGAGGAAGCGGAGCGCAGGGGGGGCACTTAGACTTCGTAATGCAGGATAAGTATACAAATGTAAAAAATATTTAGATTTTACTAAATTTTTTAACTTATCCTGCATTACTCCGTATTGCATCTTTATCAGACGGCACGGCCAGTGGGCATACCTTCAGATGTGAGCCAGAAGAAAACCCTCGACAAAGGTCCGATGAAATCGCACCGCATGGACAAGAGATGACCGGAACACCAGCGACCATTCCTGTCAAAGGAAACGAGAGTCGATGCAAAAGAGGGAACCCGAAATAGGTGACAGAAATAGTATGAGGCGGGAATGCCAAAACTAGCACTGACCTAAGAGCGAATGCGGAACGCAGTAGAGCCCTCTAATCTGTGGTGATAAACACCAGAGAGTTCGACGGGCCCCGCTCAGGGTAACGGAGAATCAGTGGCGTCGGGGGTTGGTGACCTGTTGAGCTACCACCAGGGGACCAAAGCTATGAACGCCAGCGACATCTTCCAAGGCTACATCACGGAGGTAGTGGTTGGCGAAAACGGTGTCGGAACGCCAAAAACAGCCTTCCATGATAGATTTGAGGGAACAGTTACTGTGCAGAGCCATGGTAGACGCGACCGCCCGAATCTCGTGGGGGTTGTTAGCCTTGGGGGGGTCCAATCCGGCGACTTTATAAGCTTGGAGGATGACCGCCCGGAGCCACAGGGAGATAGTATTCCGGCTGACCTCCGACAGCGACGAAGGGGAGACCGGTAGGAAAAGGCGTTTCCTAGACTTACGGCAGGCTTTAGATCGTCGCAGGAAAACCTTCAGGGCCCTAACTGGGCATAATAAAAGCTCCTCCACATCGTCGGCACCCACAATCGACGAAAGTGGAGGGATGGTGAAGGATCTATCAGGCTGTCCGGGGAGTTGATTCTTTGCGATGAAGTCCCAGCACAGCCCAAGATGAACTGCTCCATGAGTCCCGCGTTCGAACCTGACCCGAGAGACGTCGAGGGCGTGGAGTTCACTAACCCGGGCGGCCGTAGCCAAGGCCAGTAGAAACACCGTCTTCTTCGTTAAGTCGTAAAAGGAAGACGTGTGGAGTGGTTCGAAGGGAGCCTCCCGAAGAGCCTTTAAGACCACATTCAGATCCCACGCAGGCGGTCTGAACTTGGCCTTCTGGTCGTCGAGACGAAACGAGCGCAGCATAGCCTGGAGTTCGGGAATTTTCGTCATTCTCCGGTCGTCCGGGATGGCAAGGACGGAGTTAATGGCGACCAGGTACGTGGAGATGGTAGAGCCTTTTAATCGACGCGTGCTGCGCAAGTACAGAAGAAACTCAGCCAGGAACTGCGGGGATGCCGTCATCGGATCCTGATGCTTGTCAGAGCAGAACGCCTGGAACGAGGACCATTTATCATCATATAGTCCCCGTGTAGATGGACGATGGGCGAAAGCAATAGCCTTGGCTGCTCTAGTCGAATAGCCCTTGGCTCCTAGGGCTTTTTGCAGATGTGCCAGGCGTGCAGATGAAACCGATCGGGACTTGGGTGGGGCAACCGACTGTGTGGGTGGAGCAGAAGGTTGGACCACGCTGGCAGTTCTAGAGGGTTGTCTCTGGCGACGTTTCGGAGGTCGACAAACCAACTTCTGGCCGGCCACCAAGGCGCGACCAAAATCAGTGTCAAGTGTCGAGTGGCCTGGATCTTTTGAAGAACCCTGGGAAGGAGAACCGGAGGCGGAAAAGCGTACGCGCTTAATCCCTCCCAGGGAACACTGAAGGCGTCGACTGCTACAGCGGCCGGATCCGGGACCGGCGAGATGTAAGTCGGCAGCTGGCAGTTCTGAGACGTGGCGAACAGATCGATGTTTGGAGTGGCGATCGTTTGACAAAGGACTGTGAAGATCTCTGGGTGGAGTCGCCATTCGGTGGGAGCCACCTTGTCCGGCCTGGACAGAGCGTCTGCCAGAACATTCTTGCAGCCTGGAATGTGCTGAACAAGGAATTGCAAGTCTAAGCGGTCCACCAGGGCGAAGAAGCGGAAGGTCTGGTTGAGCAGGGACTGAGAGTGGAGAGTACCCTGATTCCTCAGACACCACACCACGGTGATGTTGTCCGTGGAGATAGTCAACTGGGCGTGACGGAGAATGCTCTGCCAGTGGGAGACGGCCAGTATGAGAGCTTCGAGTTCGAGGTTGTTGCTGTGCCAGTGGAGTCGATCTCCGGACCACAGCCCTGCAACTGTTTGAGTCCCCATATGAGCCCCCCAACCCTGTTTGGATGCGTCGACGAACAGGTGGAGGGAGGGCTGTAGCGCGGACAAGGAGACGCCGCCGCAGACGTTCGATTCCACCGTCCACCATCGGAGGAAGGGGTGGAGGTGGACCGGGAGGACGATGAGGGACTCCGGATCCTGCTGCCGGATAAAGGGTGCGAGAAACCGTTGAATTGGACGGAGTTGGAGGCGACCTCTGGCAGTCAGGTCTTGAGCCGACGTGAGGAGACCCAATAGAACCTGCCATTGGCGGAGAGTTCGAGCCTGTTGAAGGGCAGGGAAGAGATGAGCGAGGATTTTCAACCACCTGTCTCTGGGGACTTGAAGGAGGTCCTGATCCGTGAGAAACAGGCCCCCGATAAACTGCAGACGGAACGATGGGGTCAGCTCCGACTTGGTCTGATTGACGATCCAACCCAACTGATTGAAGAGCCGCAGGGTAAAATCCCTGTGACGCAGTAGCAACGCCGAGTCCCGATTGTTGAGGAGACAATCGTCGATGTATGGATCGAAGTTGATGTTCCTCAGGTGTAGGTAGGCCGCGACCGGGCGGGTGATCCGTGTGAAAAGCCACGGGGCCGTTGAAATTCCAAATGATAGGACCGCCCACTGGTAATGGGTACCATTGAAAAAGAACCTGAGGAAGCGCCGGTAGTTGGGGTGGATGGGTACATGAAGATAGGCGTCCTGGATGTCGAGGCTGATCAGGGAATCGCCAGCTGAGATTCTCGTCCTGAGCAGTCGCAACGTCGTCATTCGGAAGTAGGGAGGACGTTCCAGGTAGTGCCGGTTGAAAGTGGAGAGATTGTGTATTATGCGCCAGCTGGTGGGCCCCTTCTTGGGCACCAGAAACACCGGAGAGTAAAATCCTGGGTGTCGAGCCGGGTCGTGTACGATCTCTATGGCCTCCTTCTGCAGTAGGGAAACGATGCTGTCGTGAAGGGGCCGAAGCTGGTAGGGTGAATAAGCGGCTGTTGACGGAGTAGACGTCAGAGGAGGCAGCGCAGACAATGGGAGCCGGTACCCCTGACGGAGGACGTCGGTGACGAACGGGTCCTCCAGTATGGACCAGTTTCTCCAAAACCGGCCTAGTCTCCCACCCACAGGTGTGTCGGTGACCGGAACGGCTGGGGGTGGGAGGTCCCAGTCGTTGAGGTCCCGCCGGTCAACGCTTAGAGGTGGAATCGGCACCCTTGCCGGGGCGACGATCCCTTCGGGGTTGGTAAGTGCCACGGGCTCTACCACGACCACGCCCTGTCCCACGAAAGGGCGAGGTATGTTTGGAGACGACCTTCAGGGAGGAACGGCGTGGTTTATAATTGCCTTTGGAGGACTTGGCCGCTGATTGGTGTGTTACATGCTCCAAGGCTCTGAGAGCAGTTTCATCCCTGGCGAAGCTGGAGACTCGGGTGTGGGTTGCGGAGATAGCACCATTAAAAAGGGTAGGACCCGACCAAGGTTGTCGTAGTAAGGAACGCTTGAATTCGGAATCCCAGTCCGTGGAAGTCAAGTAACCCAACCGTCGAGTAGTGGTGATCTCCGCAAGCGCAGCTCTCAGGTGATTGCGCATGTGATCAATCTGGCGAAGTTGGAATGTCATAACCGTGCGCAAGTGGTCGTTCCTGTTAGGATTGGATTCAGCGAGATCCTGGTCAATGGCTCTGGCAGATGAGGCAAGTGTAGATAGTGGCTTCAAAGTACGGCGCAGTTCTGTTTCCACGAAAGCGAGTCGGGAGTCCGGCATACGTATGGTGACGGACTGGGAAGACCCGGTCATTCGATGTAAGTCCTCGTCAAGGATATGTGCACCGTCGGCCACGTCGAAGGAGTGGACGGGGAAATCTTCCCGCCGGAAACGCGGAGCCTTGAACGACGGCGTGAGGGACAACTTAGCGAAGTCCTCGTCCAACGCCGTAACCAGGTCAGTGAGCATTGGATCGGGTGGTAGAGAAGTCGGATTAGACCAGATCGTCAACTTTTTATCCACATCGGAGCCCGGGGAGGGAGCGACGGAGGCCAGACGGTCCGCCAACCAATCAGCAACCTGTGAAAGGCCCAAGTGTGTATCAATCTCGGGAGATGGAGGGTCATAATTGGGGCGAAATGATCCTTCCGAGGAGGAGGAACGACGTCGTCGTCTATGTACGGGTGAGCGACTACGAGACCGTCGACGGGAACGAGCAGACTTGGACGAGTGCCGAGAAACAGTCGGAGGCGACGAGGTGTACAATGTTCGAGACCGAGAAGCACCCGATGTGGAGGGGGCCGCAGGAATCGAAGTAACAGTAGTCGGGGCCGTCAGCGTCGCCGGCGTCGCAGGAGGCACTGTCGGCGCCGCTGAGGTGGGTTGAGCTTGCGCAAACAATGACTGCATCCAAGCTTGCATCCAAGATGGATCCATGAACGATGACGGGAGGGCATGTCCATAAGTAGGAGGCGCAGCACAAGTCAAAGGCGCCGAAGTAGTCAGAGGCGCCGTATACATCGAAGACATCAGAGGCGCCGGATACATCGGAGGCGCCGGACCAAGAGGCGCCGGAGGCGCCGGATACATCGGAGGCGCCGGACCAAGAGGCGCCGGAGGTGCCGGGTACATCGGAGGCGCCGGAGTTGTCGTAGATGGTAGAGGTGACAGGAAACCCGAAACGGGCGATGCTGCAGACGATGATGTCGAAGCAGACGACGGTAAGGGTGGTGTAGGAGACCGTGTACGGTCGGATGTCGTGCCATGGGAGGCAGACTCTACGTTGGATGACATGTTGGAGAGTCGACGCACACGCTGGGTGAATCGTTTCCGAGACACTCTTAGGTAGGCGGTGAAGGAGACTGGCGACAGGGGACTACAATAACTGCAACGCTCTGTTAGGGTACACGGGGTTGTACAGTCCAGGCAGCAGGGGTGGGGGTCCCGTCCAGATTTATTCCCGCGGCAGCGAGAGCAGCGAGACATACTGGAATTGAAGCAAAAAACATAACGATGTGTAAACACACAACGTGAAACATAATGTAACTCAACATAACTTATTCTTGTTACAAAGTTAATAAGAGCAAACAATTACGCTTCAAACACGCCAAAAACAATCATTAAACTTAATGTAAAACTCCAACCATAGAGCGAATTCAAGACACAAAACACGAAAGTACGTGGACACGTAGTGAATCGCAACAGGGCGGGAAAAAATGGCGGTAAACCAAAATGGCGGGAAACAACAATACGCTCGGAAAAACCGTGACGAGAGTCACAACCCGAGCGAGAAACGTTACCAATTAACAATATAATGAAGGCAAAGGTAATACAGCAGACTTTTGTCGTAGAAAATGAAAGAAAGTCAGGACCAAGAAAGCTTTAATAATTCCACTGAGGGATACAGTTCACGTCCGATCCATGTGGTTGACAAGGCAGTTATGAGTTTTGACATGACGTCATGTCTTCCGGGTCACGTGCCGACTGTGTGGGAGGGGGCGCTGCTTCCTGGACAGATGGAAACAACTTTCTTCAGCAGCTGGATCTCACACAGTTCGTCTCTCTGTCAAAGACAGCAGTAAATGCAATACGGAGTAATGCAGGATAAGTTAAAAAATTTGTTGGTTAAACATAGCAACTACACTGCAATGTAGACAAGGCCCAGTGTATTCACAGGTGGTGGAGGATCACGGTGTATACAAACCTGTGAAGTATTGACGACGTACAACCTAAGTAACCTCAAAAGTGTCAGTTTGAGCCTGAAAACAGATCTGTACCTGACTTATCCTGAAGGTCATCTAGACGCTCTCCGCGGTCCAGCACCTTGCTGACGTTGTTCTTCATTACGTCCACCACATCATCCACCTGGTTCTGCAGCCTATAACATTGTACAACATACACCAAGCTGTACAACACTGTACAATATACACCAAGCTGTACAACATTGTACAATATACACCAGGCTGTACAACACTGTACAATATACACTAGGCTGTAAAACACTGTACGTTAATTGATTATGTTTTCTGCACTTTTACGAACTTACCATGTGTAAAACATGGAGAAAGTTGAATTGAATCTGTTAAGGCCTTTTTTTTCAATAATTAAATTTGTCTGAGTCAGGCAGTCACACAATTTGTGGTTTTTCATTTTGAAAGTGTGATTACAAGACTCAGCATGCTCAGAAGCAAAAAAAAAACCTGTAACAAGTTGTAACTGAAAACAAATTCCTGGATTTTAGGGCCAGCGGGGTCATAATCCAAACAAAAAAAACCTTCACATAGCTAGCTGTAATGTTTGCCACATCAACATCAGTGTGTAGATGTGAGGAGTCAAAGCACTGGACCTTGTTCATGTTGTTCAATATACTTACGTAGATATTTTCGGATCTGATCTGAGATTGTTCGTCCGCACAGAGGGACCCCTGAGGATTGAAAATAATAACAATCAATGTTGCTGCAAAGAAAGACCACCTCTCTAGCTCACTGTTTGCAGATGAGAGGAGATGCTGAAACCTTGTATGAAGTCTTACCATTAGTATTAAATCTCAATTTTAAGAATGATTAGTCAAGACAGCACCAGGGAAGATGTGTGCCACAGACAAGGTCCACATAGCAATTTTAGCACTATGAGTATTACTGTGACCATAGTTACTGCACCCGATCCCGTTAGTCGCCTCTTAGACAAGCATAGTCGCCTTTTAAGGCAAGCATGGGTTGCTGAAGACCTATTCTTCCCCGGATCTCCATGGGTCACACCTGTACAAAGCCATAACATTAGTTATTACTTCATAACATTGTAAAGATACTGTATACATTTGTAAATTCCAATTCCAATTTGGGAACATTTACCGATATTTGCTGCCGATATGAATATCAGCCTCAGAGCAGGTCTAGACAAAACCCCTTAACATGCTGAACAATAGTAAAACCTCAGACATGTTCCTCAAAGCAATCTTAGCTCTTTCTTTATCTTGATGGTTATGAGTACTACATGTTTATTATCCCCCTCCCAACAAAGTTGGCGGGGGATATAGAAACGGGCTATGTCTGCCCGTCAAGTTTTGTTTCCGGAGCATAACTCAGAAACCGTTCAATATTTTTTCATGAAACTTTGCAGTTCTATCAAGTACATGCTGAACTGGTGCCTTTTGCTATTTAGAAATTTTAGAAAGTTTTATTTTTTACGTTTCCATGGCAACAAGATGAACTTAGGTTCTGTGAGGGTAGGGTTCGTTTCCGGAGCCTAACTCATAAACCGTTCAATATTTTTTCATCAAACTTTGCAGGTCTGTCAGGTACATGCTGAACTGGTGCCTTTTGCTATTTAGAAGTTTTAGAATTTTTTAGTTTTTAAGTTTCCATGGCAACAAGATGGACTTAGGTTCCAAACTTAAGTTCCACCTTGGTTTAAAAAGGTTAGGGTTTGTTTAGATTTAATTATGTCATAAATTCTGCAACAGGGGCGGGGTCATAGCCACATGAGTGGCAAACTCTTGTTATAAATTGAGTTACGACAGTCACAGCGAAAAGTTTTTTAGTTTTATGGAATGGTCCCCTTGTTACTGGATTTTTCTACCAACTTTTTTTCTACCCTGGCTGCAATGCAGGCTTGGTACCAGAGATAAACCTATGTGAAATAATACCTGAGGAAGAAGTCTTCATCAGAATCATCTCCATCCAGGAGTCCTTGCTGAAAATGTCAACACAGGTTTTAATATAAAAAAACATTTATACAACAACATGTACAAGCTGTATAATCATGATAATGTCATTAGAAGGGTTCAATAACGAAGTACTATACAGATGATATACATCATTTATAATCCAAAACCGGCTGCCATGGGAGATTGTAGATATTGCTGAAATGAAATTGCATCACCATGCTTTGCAGACCATTGTGACGTCACTGGTTACCATGGCGTCACAATCAAATGACATCACAAATGGCTCCGCTACTGAAGCTTTTAGCAGTACTTTTTACACTTAAGACACTGCTGATTACTGTCTATAAACTGAAAAAGTTGGAAGAATGATGTTGGATGATAAATAAAATCTCACCCTCACATCTTTCGATATCAAATATATCAACATTCTCTGTAGAGCAGAAGAATGTGAAGAAAAGGATGTACAAGTCCATGTCATCATGGTCATTTAAACATGTTTATCATTTGTTAATGTCCCTTCAATCATGACCATTGTGAAACAGAACATGTCGGTGAAAACATACAAATAATATGGCTACATGCTAATGTGGATGGTCATTATGGTGATGTTTCACAATAAAATAATTCCATATTGCATTATTGTATGCAATGAAATACATCAATTCGCTTGGTTAATACCTACAAGTCATTTGCTTCAAAACAATGTTTTAAGTTGAGTGCGTAGCTTCCTAAACAATTTATCCCAATTAGTGTATACAGCCTCAAACCCTGCAGAAAATGTTGTGTATAGCTCCTGTACATGTATTATTATTGGTGGTGCAGCTGTCTCTTAGTTATATCTTTGTATGCCAGCTTGATCATATTGATTTGGACAGAAAGCTCAAAATGATGCAGGTCTTATATCTTTATCACTCTGGTGAGCCTGTAAACCATCGAATGTGCAAATAACTTAAACAATATGTGACAAGTGATCAAAACTGAATGACTTGTGTATCATATCATTGAGCTTACAGGATTAGAAATTAATTGTTATTGTCCCTCATCTGCTACAGACAAATGATACCTTTGCCATCTACTAGGTTTGGCGTATTGGCACATAAATCAATTTGTAACATATCGCAATACGGAAAGCTGTATTGCGGTACATATTACAATATGTAGTGGGGCCCAAATTATATGCATCTGGACTGTTCAAATTGTGAAATTAGTAGTATGGATAAACAAGACTACCTAATATGTCTTGAATATAGAATGTCAGAGACAGAAACTAACATTTTAGTCCACTAGTCTTATAATGATAACATGTAGCAAAACCTTTAAAGATGGCAAATTTCTACTTGTCCTTATGATACCTTAACTACTGGGCAATTTGGCAAGGACTATAGGACCAGTTTCCACCACTGAATTATGTTAATGTAAACATGTGTGATGTGTGTTGTTCACATGGTTTAGACAGAGACCATATATGGTCTGTGGTTTAGATAAGAACCAAGTTCATCCAAATGCCTCAAGATCGCAGATAAAATTTATATAATCATATATTAATTCTTCCATTACTGTATCAGAAAATACTGATACACAAGGGTTGTATTACGATAAAGATGATGAGAACCCTGTCTGGTGGAAACAGTTCTTTGCAATACTTCCTTATCATGTTTATCATGCAAGTTAGTAATAACTAAAAAAATTAGAATAGGTTAGTCAAGAGTTTGCCAAGTCAGCATTATTTGTGAAGACTACTGTACGTTACTCCCAACCCTTAAACTATAGTACAACATAAGGAAAGAGACCCTAAAATAACACAGTTTGAGGGGATGTACGGCAGTGGATTCTATTTTCTAATATTTTTACATGTTTAAGACCATAACATGAAAACACTGTTCAGAGTAACTTGTACCCGTTCGACGTCATGAGCTGATCTGAGGTCCGAACTGTCTGGTATTCTGGCAAACTTGGGAGGCATCTTGTGGTGTGAAAGCGGTAATAGACGCTCACGGTTGTCAAAAATGCAATTTTCTTCTTCAGCAAGGAAGTAGAAAAATCAAAACAACGTTGTTTACAACAAAAGTCAAAGGTTATCAGTCGATACCATCATGTCGGGCGGTCAAGTATCGTGAGTGGCTCTCCTGGTTAACAGATTAACCAATCATTGTCAATCCTATCACAAAGCAAATCACAATAAAACAACCAAATCTTTGTTGTATAGATTTTTCTTCGTCGTAACGTGACACGTTCACTTAGAAACCTCCTTTCTGGAGAGTTATAAAAACGGGAGGTAACTCTTTGAATACGTTGTCTCCCTTAGACTGTTATAGGTATTTTGGTGATGATTTTACGTATGCTCTTCAAGAGACTTGATGTGAAAATAATTCTAATGATCTGAGGGATGGCAATTTGATATATTAAGAGCCTGAGCGAGTTTAAAAGCGTTTGATTCTGGGTGCAGGCTAAAACGGCACCTGAGCAAAACGTCACCGAGTTCTCGGGCGAAAACGGCACTTCTATTCTTAATAACGATAAGAACGATTTTTGTAGTAGTATATATGCTTTATTCACATGCTTCGCTATGTTATGTTGTAGAATATATGATTTATTTACATTGTCATTGTCTTCGACAGTAATCACAGTTGCTCACTGACTGACTGACTGAGGTTGGGGATTTTACGTGCGCTTTCCGACTGCAAGCTTATGTCGCACACGGGGTTGCTCACAGTTGAATGGGATCTTAAATATGGTTTATGCTTGACATTGAGTAAATTTGAATTTGAGTAGAGGTACTTAAAGCTTCAAAACATGTGATGTTTTCATGATAAATTTTGTTGCGCCTCCCAATCAAAAGTCGGTGAGTAAACTGGAGTAGAGGCTAATTTCTAATGTAATCTTGTTTAAAAGGCGATGAACATTTTACAAATAATTGTGTTTGCAAGTGACCATGTGAGTTTAATTTCATTTATTTTATCTCAAAGCATGTGATGTTTTCACAAGTTCAGTTGCGACTCCCAATCAGAGTCGGCGAGTAAATTGGAGTATTTTTTTAACATTTCACAATTATTGGTGTTTGCAAGTGACCATGTGAATTTAATTTCATTTGTTTCAGTACCAAAAAATAAGGTGACGTTTTCGCCAATGGGTGCCGTTTTCCTGGGGTGCCGTTTTAGCTATAACCCCTTTTGTTTCTTAATTCAAAGAATATTGTACAGTGACAAGCAATGCGAGATTAGAAAATAGGCCATTAATGTTCATTCACAGTCATGAGAATAGTTATCGAACGATTTCGCTATCTGTTGTAGTTTGATTAAGATGATTTAAAAGCTCTTCACCTCAACGACTAAAAAGGAGTTTTTGAGTAAAACGGAATTTTATGAACGATACTACCCCACTGGATCGTACATCAGAGAGTCCATAAGATATTTTTGGTGAACTTCTTGACTACAAAGACAGTGAAGTGTGTTCTGCATTTAATGTTCCCTTGTAGAAGAAAAATGTCGCTCTGGCCTAAAACCGCCATGCGGTGTATCGATTGTGATGTAAACGCATATGTACTAGAACACTGGATTAATACTATTGTTGATTGTCGACTTGTCAATCACGCACCTGACGTTACATTGCTAACCTGATAAGCGACATTGTCCACCAGTGCCATATAAGCGTCTCTATCGCTATGATGGCATGAACCCCCACTGTATGGTGTAATGAGCGATTACTGAGCGTCATGTTTATTTCAGAATTGATAAACATAACCAATCACTCAACACATGTTGGCATGATTAGCGTTATCTGTTTACCTAGATACGATGGATAATGTCGAGGCTCAGGTAGTCTGTCTTACAGACCCTGATACAAATATATCAACTACAGCCCATGCACGTCTATAATGTTTGGCAAGTCTAGATTACTGCAGTATCTGAAAATGAAGAGAATTACTGGGCTCCCTTTTTATTATATTTGTGTTAAGATAACTGAACAACTGTTTTTTCTGTACGATATGTTCATTTCAGAGACTATATGTTAGTCTAAGGATCAGGCTTTAAACCTGTTATTGCCACGGAAAGAGAGACACAGAGAGAGAGAGTGGGAGAGAGAGAGAGAGGGGGGGGGGGGGGGGGGGGCTCGTACACGAAGTGGAGAGAGGTGACGCATGGGGAGAGAGAGAGAGAGTAAGAGAGACAGAGTGACCACAAACGTAGCTAGAGTGAAATGAAGGAGATAGATGGAATTGGGGAGTTGAAAATAGAGGGAAAGGGGTGAGAGAGAGACAAACACAAACATAGCTAGAGAGAAATCTAGGGAGAGAGGAGAGAGATAGAGTGATGGAGGCTGTTTCCCTAATCAGGGTTGCAGTAAAAAAATGCTCATATTTCCATAGAAAATAAATGATTGGACAATTTAATGAATGGGCCTCACGCCATTCACAGGCGATATGGCCTGATCACGGTGTACAACTAATTCCGGGTTTGCCCGCCCACACAAGTCTGTCTGTCTGTATACATTTCTGATCTGTATACAAACTCGGGGGCGTCATGAATGGGCCGAGGTAAGGTGTTATATATCACCTGATCCACCCTCCGCTAGGGCTTGAAATGAAATCCCTCAGTACAAACGTACACATCCCCGACTACCCACTGTATTATATCTCCATTCTATTGTGATACGAACCTTGGGCCCATTCGCCACCTACAGGTTCGTTTTGTATGCGATTCGAAATGGGCGACGCGACGCACAGAAATAAGGCGGTCGAGTTCATTTCCAGATCACGACAAGGTGATTCTCACTATCAATGAAACATTGATCTGGGAACGCTTATATAGTTACTATACTGAGCAACGATTCGTTAATCCAGACATTTGTTTACTCGGATGGTCTCAGAGGAAACGGTACCGTCCGTAATAACAAGGTTCCGCTGTACCATGGAGACGGAGCAGTGCTTTCTCATCATTCGTTGTAGACAAAACAATGACTGTACTTTAGAGACAGAACGGTTCTTCGCGATGTACTCTAGATACAGAACATTGCTTCACGATGTACTTTAGAGACAGAACATTGCTTCACGATGTACTTTAGAGACAGAACATTGCTTCAAGATTTACTCTAAAGACAGAACGGTTCTTCGCGATGGAGTGAGTGAGTATGGTTTAACGCCGCTTTTAGCAATATTCCAGCAATATCACGACGGGGGACACCAGAAATGGGCTTCACATATTGTACCACTGTCGGGAATCGAACCCGGATCTTAGGCGTGACGAGCAAACGCTTTAACCACTAGGCTACCCGACCGCCCCTCTCCGCGATGTACTTTAGAGACAGAACATTGCTTTGCGATGTACCCTAGAGACGGAACATTGCATCTACATGATGTACTCTAGAGACAGAACATTGCTTCACGATGTACTCTAGCGACGGAATTTGTTTCACGATGTACTTTATAGACAGAACATTGCTTCACGATGTTCTTTAGAGACAGAACATTGCTTCAAGGTGTTCTTTAGAGACAGAACATTGCTTCAGGGTGTTCTTTAAGGACAGATCATTGCTTCACGATGTATTTTAGAGACGGAACATGGCTTCACGAAGTTTTTACAGACAGAACATTGCTTCAAGATGTACTTTACAGACAGAACATTGCTTCAAGATGTACTTTACAGACAGATCATTGCTTCACGATGTATTTTATAGACAAAACATTGCTTCACGATGTACTTTATAGACAGAACATTGCTTCACGATGTACTTTAGAGACAGAACATTGCTTCACGATGTACTTTAGCGACAGAACATTGCTCCAAGATGTACGTTAGAGAGATTCGGGAGTTCCAAGATACCTACGAACATTTATCGTTTCAGGAGTCACAGGCGCACATTACAACAATCCCCGTATATAGACAGCTAGACTAACATATAGTCTCTGAAATGAACATATCGTACAGAAAAAACAATTGCTCAGTTATCTTAATAAAAATATAATAAAAAGGGAGCCCAGTGATTCTCTTCCTGATACTGCAGTAATCTAGACTTGCCAAACATTATAGTCTTGCATGGGCTGTAGTTGATATATTTGTATCAGGGTCTGTAAGACAGACTAATAGACAGCGCCTGATGTATATGAGTATTAAAAAACACACACACCCTCGGCACTCTACCACTGTCCTCCGACCAGCCCCACCCCTCACACACACCCTCAACGCTCTACCACTGTCCTCCGACCAGCCCCACCCCTCACACACACCCTCAACACTCTACCACTGTCCTCCGACCAGCCCCACCCCTCACACACACCCTCAACACTCTACCACTGTCCTCCGACCAGCCCCACCCCTCACACACACCCTAAACATTCTACCACTGTCCTCCGACCAGCCTCACCCCTCACACACACCCTCAACACTCTACCACTGTCCTCCGACCAGCCTCATCCCTCACGCACACACCCTCGGCACTTTACCACTGTCCTGGGCATCCCACCCCTCACACACACATCTCCCCTGACATCCCTGATGTAATGTATAAGTCGTACACTGTCAACGAAGAACATACTACAGCAGCGGTGCGTTATTCCTACATACCTGGATAGTGGAGGTTATAGACGACTGTGCAGTGCATGCGGTAATGTTACATACAGATCGATCTGGACCTGAGACTGGAGATTCCAATTATATTTGTCTACAATTACTGCGTGCTTAATGTCAACATAATCAGGACACGTTCAACAAATCACCACATCACCACATCTGTTGCACGACAGGGCGTGGCCGGATTGTTGGAAGAGCCCGTCGTGATTTCAGCTGGAACATTGATGGTGTGTTCATCAATAGTGAAATGCCTTGCTGTCTTTCACCTAGTTCTGGAGGTACAATATGACATAGGTATACACATTGAAATGACATCCCCAATTGCTTCAAATAAAACGAACCGTTTTATCCGCTCTTTCTTGAGTGAGGGGGTTGTGTTTATCGCCACTGTGGACAGAATTCCAGTTATATCGCATCATGTCCGCTTGATGTGGGAGGAAAACCCGAAGTGATGCAGATGTAGAAAGGTGCGGAGTCATCCAACAGATGTCACCATTACCTTGTCAGCTTTTGTTAGGCCATGTGTCCGACCTCGGATCAGAAGGTCTGTGGTTCGAATCCCATCACGGGACTCGGAAATGTTACGGCCCTACATAGACCACTTTGGTGAAACCCACGAGGTAAGGTATGGAAATGATCATGGCGAATCGTGGTCGTCTGGCACGTCTAATTGTCTAATTGTA